ATATTTGCCGAGTCTCCGAGCGTCCCTCTTCTAGACTATTAAAACGAAAGCTAAAAAATTTCTCGATGTTACTTTAATCTGTTTTGAGCATTTCACCCTCGCCGTTGCTATACTAGCGTTAACTTTACTAAGGTTAGTTAAGGTAGTTCTCATTTTATACGAATTTCGACTCTTGTTTCTTTGGATTTTAGTTTTGCGCATTTCACCCTCGCCGTTTTTAAATCAGTATAATACTTTAATGCACATTAACATTTTAGATTAATGATTAAGACAGCTTTTGAATCTTTTTTTAACTAAATAATTATGTAAATGAGATCGAATAACTTACCTGGAAATGATGAGCAATCTCGAGATTCATGAGCATGTATAGTTAGCTAATTACTGCTTATTAATTTCGTTGAATGTGCCAAACTCGTTATTATTCTGGCAGTGAATTTGTAATTTTCAACTTTCAATTTTTTACATTTTCAGACAATTTTATCCAAAAATATTGTCGTCATGTGAAGGTATCAAATTTTCAAGATTTAGATAAATACGTAAATATACAAAATTAACCAACTTTTTGATTATTATAGCAACTTGTTCAATTTGAAGTAAAATATAATCTTTGCTTTTAAATATCGTTTTTTAAAGTAATGTTTACTCATTTATCAGATGCTTCCGAAAGTTAGCGATCATTTAGGTTATAATGAACATTTGCCAATGAAGCAACCACGACAAAGAAAGATTATGTTCATCTTCACGTAAATTCAACAGATTATCTCGTAATCCTTTCAATGTTCGTCACAGATAACAAATATTCTTAACGGTCTTCTTGGAAAATGGTCTTTTTTACTTGATTATTTTTCGCTAAACTTTCCACTCTCTTATTGGCAATAATTTGATCGTAGCTCTTCAAGGTAATACTAAATACTAAATGCTAAATGAAGCGACAATAGTGTCGAGTTGTGTGGTCAATTCGTTTGGATAGAAGCATTCAATAGTGGCATGAAAAAGCGAATCAAATTTTGGATTTGGGCTTGCTAATTGTTTATGAATCCACTTGCTCGTTGAGCAATTGGTGAATAGTTTTCATTGTAGTTGTTAATTGTTCAATTATCACGATTTCACATCATTACCGACTAAAAACAGTCAACAGAAAGATGATTATATTTGCCAGAACAGTAACAAGAGAAAAATATTTTGGTACATTTTTGACATCTTCGAGTCAATAGGGAATATTTGGTGAGCATTGGATGATAATGGGAGTCGAGATGAGAAAATTTGATGCAAATCCTTAGACAGTTAAGTAGAATGGATTGAAATGGATCAGAATTAGAAGGCAGGAATCCAGTTTACGTCAAAAATTGTCATTCAAACAAAAAACCTGGCTATATAATCAACATTAACAAGAGCAAAATGACAACAATTGTCGTTCATTGTGCTTACATTTGGTTCAACATGAGCAAAAGTATCAGAGGTTGTTCAAGCCTAAGGGAAATCCTCATCTTCATTATCATCTCCTTCATCTGATCCCAGAAATAAAGTTGATGCTATTTCCACTTTTAATTTTCATCTTTCTCTAAGAATCTATTTCCATGCCAAACCAGTCAACATTTTCCATTGAATTAATATTATAATTAGCAATATTTCAGTTGTTCAAGCTGGGAAATAGACAAATCACGCAAAATGCAAAGAGTTCTGATTGATTGATTTAGCTAGATGAATCTTGTAATACATCATTTTTTCGTCTGATCTCAACACCCAGAACCGATTGTGAATCAGCAAAACATATGCACTCATCAACAAAAGCGACCAGAATAAAGTGACAAAAACGAAAGGTAAACAAAAATTAAATGTAAATTTACTCAATAGTTTTTGAACAGGTTATTAACAGGACTCACAGAGATAAACAACAATAACAGAGAAAAATCTGAAATTAAATTTGATAGCTGTCATAAATCAGAAGCACTTTTAGAACGAGAATTGTGATGATCTTCATGAGATGATAAAGATTGAGAGGATGGTTCCTCATCAGATTTCCAATCGTGTATCCATTTTTCCTTTGGTTTTGTTTCAAAACAATAACAGTAACTTATCCTTTCCTCTTCGGCACAGACACCAAAATTTTTGGAACAGGTTGCTTTGCAGATATCGTGACAATCTTCATCGCAATTGTCAACCATAAATCGACAGCCAGTAAAGTCACCTAGTAAGGTTACGAATTGAACAAGTGGTAATGAGAAAATAACAACAATGAGAAGTAATAAGTAATGATTGTCGAAACAAATGAAAACAAAATAAATACAAAATCGATGCAAATCAATTGCCAACTCTTTCGAATAGAGATTGTGATCAATTGAGTCATAATTTGTATTTAACATTTAGAAAAGATTTTATTCTTACCTGGCTTGAAAAAGGATGCAAAAAGCAGGCAAAGTAGGTGTAAAAATAATGATCTCATGGTTTATAATTGATGGTTTGTTGCAATATGACAGTGGCAAACAGAACGAAAGAACGAAATGATGAAGTATTGCAATGTCCAATCAAAGAATCACTAGCAATTGAGATTTAATTTTAAACATGGCTCAGGTAAGAGCTCGAGATTGAATTGGTTGATGGTTGAGAAGCCAAGACGCTTATGGTTTTGATGATGATCTTGCAGTAGGAGTTGAATGTTTTCTTGTTTTTGTAGGTAAAATAGAGACTCTTGCAAAAATGAGAAGGTGAAGATGATGATTATGGAGGATAGGGTTAAGCAAAATAAAATGAATAACGTAAATAATGGATAATGCAAGACAGAGAAATAACATAGACAAGGTCTTGAAGGAAAATAAATTGGAATCAGTTTGTTGCAAAAAATGTCTCCTGATGACGCTCTTTTAACTTTCTCACAAAACGGTTTTCACATTGGCTTCAATCCACTTCTGTTTGTTTGATTATCTTTTGGCATTAAACATTTGTTATTGCTATTCCTTAAATCATCTTAAACAGCATTTAATGGTTATTTCTCTCTGCCATTGAATCTGATATCAATGTTTTCCTCAAGATTCATTTGACTTTTGTAACGCGACTCAACCATTGTCCAATTGGCTTAGTGGGTAGCTTAAAGATCAAAGATTAATGTATAAGATACTGCAGTAAAGAGGTACAGAGAACCTGAAGGGACAATGCCCACTGGAGGGCACCACAGAAAAATTTTGATCAAAATTGAATAGGAAAACTATTTTTAATTTTTTTTACAAAAAAATGAAAGATTAAAATTAAAGGTAAATCACAGTAAAAATGCGACAACTAGCGCTTGAGGTGGGCATTGTCCCTTACTAACATCAGTACCTCTCAATTGCTGTATCTTATGCTTTAATCTTTGTTAAAGATTGTTTCAAATCTGGTATCATCTAAAGAAGAAAAATAAAAATTCATTTAAATATTTCTAGCTTAAAAGATAGTAAATCATTGTCGTTAATTTGATAATTTGCAGGCTTGTCTAATTGTATAATCATTTGTTTACTTTTAGTATGCTCCAACATTAACGCCTGTCTGTGGTTTCTGCATAAGTTGTTGGTAATTTACATTTGAATCAATCCTTGCAAGTTTAAAATTAATTAATTAAAAGAAGGTAAAAATGTTAAATTGTGATATAAAACGTCTCAGACTAGATTAGATTTTTAACTTTCACACTTGAGTTAATAGTTACTGAATTAACTTTCATTAATTGGCAACAAGGGGAGTTTAGTTGTGTTTTGTTAGTTACTTTGCTCAATTTCTTTACACCTTCCAACGATAATTAACTTAACTAGATCCCATTGCACTCTTTTGATTTTATCAAATCTTTTTCCTAGTGAATTAATATGGCACTATTTTGATTATGATTATATCGCAATTAGACACAGCCTGTAAGCACTTACAATAACCATACTGTGATTGATTGATGAATACAACGAGAAAGCCAAATGTAAATGAAGCACTTTCTATCCCCAGCGTTTGTTACCAAGTTTTAAACCAACCCTTTCCAACCAACAAAATGCAACAGTATCTTTTCTAGCAAATCTCGCATCAACGTTGAATCTGAATTTAAATATTAATAGTAATGATAATAAGAGCAATACAAGTTAATTTGAAACAATAGATAGGAAGATCAATAAACAAAAACATATTTTAAATCAAAATTTCCAATAGTGAAAAGACTTACCCGAGCTATTATATTAAATTTATCGTCATTATGGATGATTTATTTCTGAAATGGTCCAAAGGCAGTCAACTAACTAAGTTAGGTAATCAGTGTTCAAGGTGATTCATCTATATTACAGGTATCTTACAATTTAATTATAATGGCATTAACTAAATCTGAAAAGATTTACACTTGTTTCACTGTTGAAAGATGGCGTCTGGACAAAAAATGACGATGAATTTAAGCGGGAATTTAATTTACTACTGTTTAATGAAAGATTTTTGTTAATCTAGATGGCGTAACTTTTTATCCTTTCTTTGACCGGAGAAAACCCTTTCTTAGATAGTTTCCGTTAAAAGGGGTTCTCTTAGATGATGACAATCAAAAGCTTATTGTGACAATCTTTTAACTTGTGACCATTTCAATTTTAATTACTGATTCCATTCTTTCCCACATTTTAACTTGATACTAGTTCCTTCTTAAAAATGTATCGAAATCAAAATGTTGTGCTTCGTTGTAATAGATGTACTATGCATAAAAGTGAGTCACTAGAGGTTAGCCTGTCGGCCAGATGGACTTGCAATATCTGTGGATTGGCACAACCAATGCTGAGGATTTACCATTATGGTACTGTTGCTGAATGTCATTCGTATGTTTCAATACTAAACTCAAGAATACGTAACACAATGCGTGGTTAGGAACTCGAAGGTTTCGAACTGTAACCGAATGAATCGGGATAACGAGTTTGTCATCATCTGTTAGTAGGTGAAGCTTTTCCTCTCTATTTATAAAAATTTGCCGATAATGTATTTTGCTATCCAAAATCAATTTTAACTACCAAGAATATTTATTATGACCTAAGACTGGTTAAATATTGAACCTATTACCGAATGAATTAACCGTTTTCATGCTTCACTTTTTGGTCGTCATCACATTTACATCATCATCTTCATCAACTGACAAGAAAAATCGACGCCAGCAATTGGATTAAAAGCAACTTTCCTTTTGATTGATCCAATTGGTGACAGTCCTATCAAACCATATGATTTTAAATTTATATTATGTATCATTAATTTTATATTATGTAATATTTTTGCATGTAATTGTGAGCTTATTTCCAATAAATTGTGTATATTCCAGAAGTCGATTGCTTATATTAATCGATTGTTTTATTAACGATATTTATAAGGTATATTGATGAAAAATAAATAATAAACAGACGATCAATACAATCGTATTGATCGTCTGTTTATTTTCAGATCGAATCAAATTTTCAGATTCAGATTCTTACGCTGATTACAAAAATTAAACTCATTTTTTGTAACAATTTATAGTTTAAGTGATTGATTCTCCATCATTACCATCATCCTTCTGTTCATCCTGAATGAATGATGCTAACCTCCCGGAAAACTTGGCGAAGTCGTTAATCGCATCTTGTTTAATTTCATCGGTGATTGGGTTGAGGTGAAGTGGCTGGTTGAGATGTTAGACCGGCTATAAGTAATGCTACTCGACAGATTATGGTCAGAGAAGAGCATCAATTAGACCATCATTTGCCTCGACTTGACTTGCACCCGGCAAGACAATCAGTCAGATAACTCAAGTCGAAAGATAAAACAACCAAAAAACAGTCTTTACTCAAATGCATAATCAGCAACACCATTGCCACCCTTTGACCTTGCCATTGGTTTAAATTTTCACAATTAACGACCAATATTTCCTTCAAAGAGCTACTTGTGTTCAAACACACAAGTTCATGATTTTTTAAATATACAAAAATTGCTGAAAAATGCACATTTCATTAATCACATCAAATCAATTTATCAAAAAGACGATAATTTAATATTGATTTGAATTTCGTCTTAAACATTGAAGCTGACCAGTTCATTTACGAAACTTGAATGGCGATAAAAATTTGAACACAACACACAGAGCTACCAATTCACTTGTTTAACTGTTGAAAGATGACAAAAAATGACAATTAATTTAAGCGGGAATTTAATTAACTACTTTGCTATGAAAGATCTCTGTTAATCTAGATGGCGTAGTTATTTATCCTTTGATAGTTACAGTTAAAGGGTTTCTCTTACAAATTGTTAGATGACAATTAAAACCTTATTTGTGACAATCTTTTAACTATTGACCATTTCAATTTTAATTACTGATTCCATTCCTTCCCATATTTTAACTTAATACTCGTTCCTTCTTAAAAATGGATTTTGCTATCATGCTTCGTTGTACTCAATGTCTTTTGTATAGAAGTGAGTCATTATTCATTTACATGTGGCGCAGATGGACTTGTGCTATCTGTGGATTGGAACAACCATTGGGGTCGGTTCATTATCGTGGTTCTAGTGCCGACTGCTCTTTGCTCGTTTCAAGGTTCAACGAAATAGCACGGTTTCATGGCAGGCTGTATCAAAATGGATCGGAATAACGAGTTCGTCATCATCTGTTAGTTGGTGAAGCTTTTCCCCTATTTAAAGATAATTTGCCGATAATTTATTTTTCCATCCAGAATCAATTTTGACTGCCATGACCTAAGACTGATTAGATGTCGAGCCTATTAATGAATGAATTGACCGTTTTCATGCTTCACTTTTGGTCGTCATCACAATTTTACATCATCTTCATCAACTGACAAAAAAATCGACGCCAACTCCAATTGGATTAAAAGCAACTTTCCTTTTGATTGATCCAATTGGTGACAGTTTGATCAAACCATATAATTTTGAATTTATTTTATGTATCATTAATTTTATATTATGTAATATTTTTGCATGTAATTGTGAGCTTTCCAATAAATTGTGTATATTCCAGAAGTCGATTGCTTATATTTAGGTTAAAAATTCGCGCAACCAAAATTATTGTATCAATCGATTGTTGTATTAACGATATTGATAAGGTAAATTGATAATTAATCTTTATTCAAACGCATAATCGGCAACACCATTAATACCCTTTTGACCTTGCCATTGGTTTTAACTGTCGCAATCAACGGCCAATACTCGTTCCAACCAAACGAATCACTTTTCAACCTTCAATAGATTCGTAGAATATAGATATTGAACTATTCACATCGAATCAATTAATCAAAAAGACGATAATTCCAATATTGATTTGAATTTCGTCTTAAACATTGAAGCTGACCAGTTCATATACGAAACTTGAATGGTGATAAAAATATGGACACAAAATGGATTGGATAAAATAGTGTAAGATTATTTAATTGTTCAATGAAGTCAATATTGAAAATTAACTTACAGATGCAATTTTCTCAATCTTTTAGATCAATTGTCGATTTTAACATTCAATTTTAAGTACAATTATTTGACCAAATAATTTAATTTCAATGATCATTTATGCTTTAATTTATTTATATTCATTATCATTGTATGTAAAACACCATTGAAAATTGAGTTGCAATTTGTAACCAACAATATCAAGTAAAATGTTCAGCTTATAGTCAATTTGATTATCAAGATATAGTCATTATCGTTTCAGTTGATTGTGAGACATTTAAACATTATCATAGTAAATAGTGACTTAATCATGAAAAAACGACTGAAAAATTTATACAATTTTAGCTGCAAAGGTGTTGGTTACAAATGTGAACTCAATTGCCAATGATGTTAAATAGTCACAGGAATAATTAGATTTATTTTGACAATATGCTGCTTTAAAATGGTTTTTAAATAATTTACAATTAGTTAATCATGGAAACCTTTTCGTGAGACTCGATAATCAAATGCTTAATTCAAATTCTCCCGTGAAAATGAAAGAATCCTGAGATATCCTTTCAGTAGAATTGGAATAAACATTGAAGAATCTGATTGGTGATTGAAATGCGAAACCAATCAATTTTGTAGAGTCACCATTATCACAATCATCATCATAATCACCTTAATCTTCATTGATGTTGGTAATCAATTCTCAATCAATCGGTTAAATAAAAATATGAAAAATAATAATAATTATAATAATAGTTTCATCACGTAATTGAGATGATTATGATGATTTTATAATGGATTACAAATGTTTGAAATTGAAGGGGAAAAATGTTGATTCAAACAATTTAATGGCAACTGAACAATTAAATTTCAAATTTCAAATTGTTCGCTCTTTTGTCTTGTCCGTTTCATTGTGGCTCCATCTATTGAATTATACAACATACACATTTGCGCTTTTTGTCAATTGTAACAATGTCTGCTTTTGGTGGTTCATCTGGTGATACAATTGTCCTTTCAACTTTAATTATGGCCAGACTATTGCCATTACCAATTTTAGATGAACCTTTAAGTTCGCTCCCAAGTCCATTTCTTTCAGAATGACCATTGGAATCGACTGTTGTTTGGTTATTTAGAGTATTCTTCTTTGTTACTTGGGACTCGTGACTATCTCCTTTCCCAGATGTTAACCCTGTACCAATTAAATTGCCTTTTGGTGGTTGTGCCTGATTTTGATTAGATGACAATGAGGATGGTGATGAGGTTCCATTGGGAATCTTTTCACTAGGTAATTCTTTGGTTGGTGTAGTCGGTGTAATTGGTTTGCCTTCTTTAATCAGATTGACAATAGTTTCCGCTTCACGAGATAGTTCACCTCCAGGCCTGAAAGGATTTTCAATATCAACACTGTAATTGGAAAAAAAACAGAAGAAAGGAGATTCATGTTAATGGAAAGTATTTACTAATGGTGACAATTGTGACAATTGTCTTTTACATGGAAAAAAAGGAATGAATAAACCCAATGGTTGGCTGTGCTGCTGTATCAATCATTTCAAGCTTGCTTCATTTTTTTCTGGTGATAATGATTGAACAACATTAAGACGAGTTATTCTGTCACAAGTTGAACTCATGAAGCTGATGTTATTTATTAATGTTTGACAGGTGAAAAATATTAAGGAAGACTATTATTTAATGAAACGAGAGAAACAATCATGTTAATTTGATTTTCGTTAGCGATCTGGAAAATCAATTGGATTCATTTAATTACCAGTCTATCTTTGTGGATACAACCGTGATTGTTAATTGTCATTTTTTCATGTAAATGGAAATGGAAAATGTAAAGATTGAAAAAAACGAAACCTATCCAACAAGTTAATCACGAAATCTAACATGAAGTCCATCACACAATTAACCAAGTAAATTCATCCTAGACATTTTAATTTGCAACAATTCCATATAAAGCAAGATGCAATTTGAAACAGGAACATTAGCTGGAAAATTTAGCCACAATTACCAGGCTGAAACCCATCAAGGAATAAATTGTGATTTACCTTTTCATCATTCCTAAGCAATTTATGTTTACAAATCATACTTTGTAAACATGAAATGTAAACACGATAATGTAATGTTGATCAGAGAGCAAATTTTTATTGATCAACTTTACCTTCAATTTTACTCAAAGCTACAAATGTCAAGGTAAAAACACTTTTACAATCATCTGATAGTATCGATGAATTGCTTACCAAGCTTTTCTCATATTGATTAATTGCTCTTTTTATCTATCAATCACTTAATCAGGTAAAATTGTTCAACTAAAAGTCTAGTAAAAAATATTAGCAAATAAATTGTTATCGTAAAAGTAAGTTACCTAATAACTGATTCCTTTATATTACGCTTTTCACCAAGCCAAATCAGTGAATTGTTTACATGTTGAACCATTAATTAAATAACGAAATACACAAATCAATAACAATATCGTATAAAATTTCCGGTAAACTCACTAAGCCATACTAATTAGGACTGGTGATTAAACTGTATTGTATTATAAATCAATCAATGAATATTGATAAAGATGAGGGAAAGAATCCAATGGAAATTTATTGATTAACCAGGAAATCACCAAAGTAAAGAAATGTATTCAATGGAATGAAAACAAATGTTTACTTCAATTGTCGATGAAATTTTGTTTAATTAACCTAAAAATTTGATGGTTAACCAAAAATTCTGGTTAAACTCAGAGTTTATTAATAAACCAAGGGCAAGTTAACTCTCATTTTTCTGGTTTACTTAATCAAAACCCAATGTTTAGTGTTTGAAATGAGTTGAGATTAATTGATGTTGCTATTGAATAGTGTTGATGATGGCGATTAAACTTGATGATTGATAAAATTTTACCAACAATTAAAAGGTTTATTCAAGAAGAAGCATCAACAATTAGAGTGATTTGATATTAGTTGATGAAAGCTTTTCAAGGATTGTTTTCAAGGATTAACCGAGAAACTAAAAGATTGTCTATTTTTGGTGTTTAACCATTGAAATGTTATGATATTGCATGATGTTAAATTAAATCATCTAATATTGAATAGGAAGGAAGGAAATGAACTGATAAAATTTCAATGACAAAAGCATTTATGCAAATTGAGCTCATCTTTAGTTGAACATTTTGCTTCATTAATAATGTTTCCATGGTTTTCATGAGAGACATCATGTAATAATCAATAAGGTTACAACAATAAATGGCAATATGAATAATTTTAAGTGTTACAGTAACCTGAAAATGTCCATTATAATGTTGACCAGAAAAAGACAAAAAAAGGTGATTTACATAAATAACAATCAAGTACAAGGATTTACAATTTCATCAATTGTCAGTCAAATTTTGATCAACTAATTGTGAAAAAGAGATTTATCATAAATTCAATTGATAATAAGATGAGATTTGAAAAGATTGAAAGAAGATCAAGAATTAGATCAATCATTTGAATAGCAAAATATATAAATATTTTTTCCTTTTCAATGTTTTATTATTAGAAGAATCAAATTGTTGTCATTTTAACCTTTATGTTTACACGCAAATAACAGTCAATGGTTAGTTGTCAGTTAACAATTAGATTAATTGGAATCATCATTTTCTTCCAATGACAATTAAAGATAATTTTACATCTAAATTACACGTTATTGCAATAGTTCGGAGTCTCATGAAGAAGATTGAAATTTAAAATTGTCGCCATTCATTGAAATTGAAAAGCAACTTATGTTAATTTAGATCAACCATTAACAGCAAATGATACAAACTAACATTAATTAGGAGAGGAAAATATAACAATTAATTTTACTTCAGAGGTTGGTTAAAATGTAAATAACAAATTGATCAAACAATACTTGAAACATGAAAAGAGTAAAAATGAAAACATTTCAATAGTCGCTATATTTTTAATGTTGATTAAAATGGTTATTCAATAGCAATTAACTGTTAATCAATAGGAAGAAGAAGAAGATTTGAGGCGAAAAAATGATTTTTCTTTTGAATTTATGACTGATTAATTTGTATGAATTAATATGGATGAGACACACCTGAATAAGTATAATATGATTAAGTTATTGTTACATCTTAATCAGTGGTTTTAATTTCACAGTTTGAAAGAGGATTTGCAGACACATTTGGGGAATGATGAGAGAAGTGTTTTAAATGGTTTGAATTACAATTAATGATTATAATTACCTTTCTTTTCTTTCCATTATTTTGACTAAATCCAATGTTAATGGATCCTGATTAGGATGATGATGGTGATTATTATCAAGAAGATGATTTTGATGATGGTTTGTTGATGAGTTTTGTGAGTGAGAAAATGAGTGATGTTGAGAGTTGTGATGATTGTTTTGATGGGATGAGGGATAATTTGATTGAGGACTGATAATCCGGGAAATTGTTGAACAAGAATTCAATGATAATAGTAATGGTTCAGGAGTCTCAGGGCTAACAATAGACCCAGGTCGACCTGATTCATAGAGGGAAACCCGAACACGGGAAGGTCGATCAATTAACAATGAACCACTTATCGTTGAATCGGAAGCAACTCGACTTCCCAATCGACGATTGATTGGATAATGAAAATGGATTGGTTGATTGTAATGGTTTAAATGGTTTCCATTAAGGTACCTAAAGATGGAAACAAGGAAAACATTATTAACATTGTTCGATAATTAATTAGACATGAAAAGGGCAGCAATTAGAAGCAGCAACAGCAAAAGCAGGAGAAACAGTAAAATTAAAAACATTGGTAAAGCGTTGGTAAAGTGTTGTTAAAGGTGTCACTTTGGGTTTAGGTTTTTGTCGACTTTTGGGTTTCACATTGATATTCATTTGGTGTGTTCACTTGGCTTTTAAAGTCAACAGTAAACCCAACAATTGAATAATCAATAGACACTGAATCAAGTCTCAACTGAGACTAACATCAACATTTTCAGGGTAAATCATGAAGTGTAGTTTAACCTTGCACTGGGAACAAAATTTAACATTTTCATTGAAATTGTTCCAAGTATCTTTTACTCGTCATTTTGCTTTGATTATTGATCAACTTTGTTCATTACTGATTAAACAGTTTCTTTCAATGTTGCTATATTAATTGTTTCACATCAAAGGGTAACATTTTGGGTGAGAGTTTAAAAATTGGGTTAAAAATAGTTGAAAGTGAATTTTTGGGTGAAAAATGTTTCCTCTTTTTGTTTCCTTGCGCTCTTTCATTTAAGTCAGATTAATATCACTGATTAATATAATCTAACGAACCTTTTCATTTCTAATTCAATAGATTCCATTCAAATTTGTTTTCCCAATCTTGGTGGGCGAGTTGATAATCAGTATTTCATTTAAAGGTGATTCTTTCTAATTCTTAATCCAACCACAAACCTAAATAACAATAATAATATACAATCTTGTGAATAGCACAATATTATAGCTAAATAACAATAAAAGGTACAACCCAATACAATAAGCTTACAATCACGCAATTTAAAGTTAATCAGTTTCAAACAATTTTCAGCTTCATCTTCAGCCAATTCATCTTCCTTCTTCATCACATTTGTATCATTTTGTTGTACAATTGTGTATATCCTTGTATTACAAGTGCAGGGAAGAATGAAAAATGTTCAAGAAAAAGGCAAATCTAAAGATTGTGAATTAATAGAAACAGGTAAACAGTAAAATGGTCAAATTGATCTTCAATTGAATCAAAAATATGAAAAGGTGGATAAAGGAAAATTCCGGTTTATCTGATTCTTTTCTTCATGTTGGCGACAAAATTTTGACACAAATGGGCAAACATAAAGTTTCTTCCGATCAAAATGATTTGATTAAAAGGCTTTTCACATTTTTTCCTGATCTTGGATGACAATTAAAAATGAAATGATTGATCATTTTATCTCATCTTAAGGATTGACAGCGAGACGAAATTTACACTGAAAATGAGTAAATCATGTAAACATGAATCATAATGGCTATGAATTTTGTTTGGTTTGCTTTCATTTGCTTCTAAGATCAACAATTAACTAACGGGAAAGAAAATTGAAAACAATTTATTAACCATTAAAAATGTATTTCCATTGGAGTTACATTTTGTCATTATTTTTCCAAGGTTAGTAAATTAAGTTAATCAATTGAATTGGAACAATTAGATGGAATGTAATTTCATCATAATCATCTAATTGATTGACATGAAACACTGAAACTTATCGTTACAATCATTTTCAAGTAAACCTTATTTAGCTTTTTGTTTTACCGTCTTCTTATCAAGACTACAATCCATTTTCAAGATCAACAGTTTCAAGGTTCATCATGAGATAAATTCAATGGATTAAATTATCAATTGAAAAGAGTCAAGAAAGTGACCCAAAATTGGGTTAATTTTGGGTTCAACCAGTCTCATTGTAAACACATCCTGTTGGTAACAAGAGCGCGAAAAGACTCGCCATCTTCTCGAAGGTTCAATCCATTGACAAAGTCTGCTTTTAACCGGGAAAATATCATCTCTCAATAAACCTCAATTTTGGTTAATTTTGGTTAATTTCATTAGAAATGATTCTAATGATTTGATCCTTAAATCATTGTCGAGCTTGTTTTGTTTGGTAAACAAAAAAAGTGTAAAACAATTGACTTACATCATTTTGGTTAATGAGTGTGATGATGATGATTAGTTGAAAGGTAAAACAATCACAATTAAACTAAAATTTGTTAGTTAACTTGGGATAGGTAACTGAGACATAAAGTTGACAAGATGGTTGATGTTGACTATGATGATGGTGATGTTGCTGTTGAGGAAGAAAGTATTAGTATTATGATGTTGATGAAACTGATTAGAGTTGTGATTCAAATTGATGGCAAGGTTTCAGTTTTGATCATAATTTGGGTTGAACATTTTTAATGTATAATAGGGAATCAACTGACTTTGGTTGAAAGCAAAACCAATATAACAAGAGCATCAAGCTTCTCACTCAACAATTGCTGGTCTCACTCATCTGTTCACCTTTACAAGTTAACATTCACACAAAATATAATAATAAACAGGACAAGAGGAATGATGATGAGGATGCGAAATGGGTGAGCTTTGAAAAGAAAAAGTTAATTAAAACATTTTTCCATCCAACATTGAATCAACGCTCAACCTATTTTCATGATAATTTTGCTTCATTTCACTTGTAATCAACTTTGATTATTCAATTGCAATCTTTGATCAAGATGTTCAAATTTCTTTGCACGCCATCTCGCGGATTTATTAACAACTATTTTTTCTGGTTAACTTTGGGTATTGATTTTGTTTTGGTTTTGCTTTTTTTAATACATTTTTGATTCTCGTTCATAATTCAAGATGAAACAAAGGGAAATGATGAAAAATGTATCCATTTACAATTGATTGATTAGAATACAAAAGAAGATTGAAACACAATTTAAATCTATTATTAATTTTTGTATTTACATTTGTGCTTATGATTAATGGGTAAAGCTATTTGTAGTTCAATTAGTTTAGGGTTTGTCAAAGAAAACAGTTTTTCATTTTTAAAAATAATTTTCTGGTTAGTCAATCAATTTCTGGTTTAACCAAAAGGCTCTTTTTAGGTAACAATTTCAACTGACCCAAGTTTGGTAAATCAATAAAGGTATTGATGATGGTGAAAGAAAAAGGTTAACACAATTGGATTCAACAATTAAATCAATATTTGACTATCAAATAAATCAATAATAAGTGTAACAACAAAAACGGGATAACATGCATTGCGGTAATCATTGTAATTGTGATTAATATTAGCAACAATTTAATGTTTAGTTTATAATTTAAAGCAATGGTTTGACCAGAATTTGCTATTTATAATTGCAATTAAATGAAATGCTTGTTAATATCGTATGGAGATACATTTTTACAGTTAACCCTGAAAAGTAAACTGGAAAATGTTGAAAGCAAAATAAACATATTGGGTTAATTAAATGGTTTGAGTAAAGAAACAATAAACTTGATTGAGATTCAAGTTGAAGTCTGAATGTTTCCAACTGGAAAGATGAGTTATTTATTGGTTGATAAACAAAACTATTAGCTGACAAGAAGCTCTGGAAAAACAAAACCATAGAGTTGATCATGATTGAGACAGGGAAAGGATTCCAACAGAATTATTTGTTCAACATTAGTTGATTACAGAAACTGAGACTTGGGTTTACAATGGATGCAACAAAAAAGGGAAAGTTATTTGAAGCCTGAAGGTGAAGGTGACTGAAATGGAAACAATCAATTTAACAATGAACAATTATCTGGTGATACAACAATTGATGCCAAGAAAAGGTGAGATATGGACAACAAAAGTGCAACAAGAGAAGCGCAAAATAACAGGTAAACTGATGAGACTTTGTTTTCAATCAAACATGTTGTCAATGAAACAAAAAATCAATAAGCAAATCATCAAAAGAGAAACATTTTATGTTTGAAAAAAAAAGTAAAAGTAAAAAGAAAATGAAAAACATGAATTGTCATGATGATTATCAAGATGAAGATTGAGACAAATGCATGATAAAGTTTTTGCTCAAAGATTTTCAATGTTTTCAGCTTTTTTTGTATTCAGTGACAAATAAGGTTTTAACACCATTATCATCATTATAATCATTATAATGTGATTTTATTGAGAAGAAAAGTTATGAATGTTTCCCTTTTCATGGAGAAGGGAAAATGAATTTAACTTGATAACATTAATTTAGATTTTCTTGTTTTTCTCAGTTCACCATTTAACTGTAATTTTAATTGTCAATTTGCTGTTTAATTGAGTCGAGAAGGTAACAAGAAAACAACAAAACAAATGATTCTATGACAACCCAGTTTTAGCTTTTCAAGCAAAAGAAACAATCAACCAATTATTAATCATAAATCAATGGTAAGTGTGAAAAGGTTGAAAATTTTGTCAACTTTGAAATGGTAATCAATTCCAATTTCTGTAAGCAATTAATTTCCTTAATCAACTTCCAATTGATTGGTGAATCATGTTTAGCCTAATATTTATGAGCAACTTAATCAATGCAAATCCCATGGCTAAATGGCAATTTAACAGTTTAACTGTAAACCTTGAAGTTACTTAACAGTCCATTGATTGTTAATTGTTAAAATGCATGTTAAATTGAGATTCTTTGATTTACAGTTGACAATAAACAATCATTTCAATCGATAGATTGTCAAGCAAAAGTTAGATTAATCGATGGTTAAATGAGATAAATAGTGATAATTGTTAACATCTTTTTCATCAATTGGAGGAAGATGATGAGGAAGGAGAAGACAATTGTTTCGCTTTACTTGACATTTTAATGATCAACAGAATGTTAATGATGATCATGATAAATTGATTGTTGATTCATTGAAATTCATAGTAAAAATAGCAAATCATTTGGTAAGTCAAGGTTGAAACAAAGTCAGTCAAATTCAAGGTTTTCAGGTTAAGATGTGAATAAGCAAAATTCAGGAAATCTGTTAAAGGCAGAGAAGAAAAACTGTTTTCTTAAACAATTAGCTTAATCATTGTTGTTACAGTTTCCATTATTTTACCATTTAAATTGTAAAATTGCTTTTTACGGACAAAAGTCACAAGTAAACAATAAATGTAATAAGATTGTTGATGAATAAGGCATTCCGAGAATTGAAATTAACGCGAAACAAAAGATGAGGATAAAGATGATGAGGAGGGAAAAGATGGAAATGTTTAAGGTTAGTTGTTTGCAAACTTCAATTTTTCAGCTTCTCTTCAACTCAGATAAACATTGCAATTGGCAACAATCCAAAGATTGTTGATAAACAGAAGATATTTATTTTTTTTCTTCATCTCAATTCTGTGCTACTTTGCATTCATTTGCATTTTTTGCAAGTAAACAAGGAGTCAACCGAGAAGAGAGACAGGAAGATGGAGATGATTGGGATGAAAGATAAACTGCTTATCGTAAGGAGATCATCATCATCAGAATCATGAGTCTGACACAGAATTGAAAATACACCCAATGGTAGAGAAAGTTGAATAACAACCAATTCTTATCAAAATTATCACAATTTCGCTTTGTTCAAGGAATAAAGAGAAGCGAAAATTCGACAGCATCATCCATCATGAGATTTTCACCTTCATATTTACTAGGAAGTAACTAGGCAGTTTCAACTTCAATCGTTAGACTAAACAACAGTCTAATTTGATTATGACGTTCATGGATTCATTAGGAAGCTTTTTTTGTCTTTTGTGTTTTTGGGTTGGAAATTGGGTGAAAAGTATTTTTAACAATAATCACGGTTAATCCACTGGTTTTCATGGTAAATGGTAAGATTAAGCAAAATTGAAGTGACTTACAGGGAAAAGATAGGAAAGTAAATATGGAAGAAAAAGATTCAAAATTTTGATCCAATTTTTTGTAACCAAAGGCCTAAAAATGGATCAATTTTTGCTATTTAAAAACATTCAACATTTTCTGTCTGGAGAATCATCAATTGTTATCTATGTACACTGTTGATGGATTGAATTAATTGTTGGATTGATGGTTAATTGTAACAATTAAGAGAGAAATAAAGTGTCGAGTCTTTGCAGGGAAAATGTTAAACGCATGAAAAGCATGAGAAGGCAAAGCAAAGGGTGGATTTGAGACTTACCGGTAAATTGATGCTATTAAACGTATTTTATCTCAGAGGTGGCTCTTAATTGGTGATATATTTAGATGACTAGCTTGAAATTAATTTTAAATTAACAGAGTAAAACATTATATAAAGTGTTAACAATTAACAATCACAATCATATTCAGGGTCACTTGTCTGTCTGATTAATGCGCATGTTGTTAACCCAACTCGAAGCAGATGATTTTTACCTAAACCTTTGGCTTCTCAATGTGTCATCATAACCAAGTAAATTTAGTTTTGTTCAATCATCTTACAAGTGAATTAAAATAGGTTAATGATTCATTTAGTGTTTAAACCTTGTGGATGATCAAGATCGTACTGTTGACGAGATTACTGGTTTATTGTTGAATACTGTTGTTGGAATCAGACGAATGTTGGTTTCACTGTGATATTTTGTGTTGAGTTATCTGGTGGTGTTTAATCTCGCTGTTAATGATGGCAACACAAATGATATTGATGAGGAAACAAGATATAAAAAATAAAACTGGTTAACACATTTACACAGAAGATAGAGGGAGAGAAAAAAGGAGGAAGAAGACGACTAAGAAGAGATGAAACAGAGTCAACTTGAAAACATCAACAATCTCTCAACTCCCTCACTTTCATCTGTCTTCTTCTGTCTCATACTTACTGTCGCCTTCATTTAATCCCTCTCTCTTCCCCTTATCGTCATCATCAATTCGTTCAATTTTTATGAATGAAACACAGGGTAAGAGGATCCAGTTGGCGACAAACAGTCAACCTTTGAGCATGATCCCAATACAATTGAAGGGTTATCCTCAAGTTTTGCATTCAAGACGATCCATTGAAAAAAACAAAGCAACTCAACGAATCAACTCAAGACTAAATTCAAAATCTTTATTCGTTTCACTGAACAGAAAGATCCTGAAATGATTTAATTAGAGTGAAGAGCAATCATGTTAAGTAACCGATTAATAGTAAAAGCTTATGGCTATTTTGGTTATTAAAAAATGATACAGATGGCGACAAAATCTGCCTCTAAACAGCTGTGTAACCGCTTTCAATGTAACGGAAAAGTAACCAGTTTTTTGATATTTTTTGTTCTGATTTATTATTCATTATTTAATCAAGTGTCAATTTCAATTAATAAGTTTTGTTTGATGAACAATTTGTTGTCGATACTGCCTTTGCTAAAGATTTGCTATTTCAACGTTCTAAGACATTTTTGGCTTTTTCAGTTCAACTTGTTACTCTGTGAACCTGATTTTTGTTTTAGACTTGTAGTTGATTTAGTTCTGTTTTTTTTCAGTTCAATCTTTTTGTTGCAACTTTGGTTCACAACTTTACCCAACCCATTGAAGTCAACTCTTTTTTTTCTCGTCCTGAACTTTGTTTAATATTGTAAAAAAAGAGGCAAAGAGAGATAGACTCATTAGCTGTAAGCATTCAGTTAACATGCTAACCGTTTCCACCCAATAATCTTTAATGGCGTTTTATACCTTTTTTAACTCTTGATGGCGTGATTCTTATTCAATAATTATTGGTTAATCATCATTTCCTTGACTTTATTCTTGATCAACTGACAGGATTGACTAAAACAAAGTTATACTGAAAAGATGTAACCAGAATATTATCCTGGTTTATACTGTTTTTATCCAACAAATTCAACTCCAGTTGTGTCAAGGTAAATGACTGGTGTACACTTTTACGTGAGTTTGAATGGACAGAGGACATGAAAAGTTGACATTCATGGTTAAAGATTATTACCAAGAATTGCTTGCAAATTGTTTACCAAAAACGTAATCAACTCATCAAGAAATAAAACAATGTTTGGTTTAACTCCATTTTTATCAAAACTCATCATCAGCACAATTAATCGGTAAAGACCAGTTTGAATTGTAATTCGTAAGACTACATGATGTGATTCAAATTCAACCCGAACAACTAGTGTAACAATTGGTTGATCCTTGATTTACGATGAAATATAATTTAACGGTTCATTGGACTGTAAAATGTTAAATTAACAATCATATAGAGTTAAGGAATTATACAAGAGCACAATTTAGATGGAAACAATTAAAATCAAGTGGATAGAGTTAAACTTGAAGTACCTAAAAGTCCAGTGATGTTAAAGATGGAGCGATCAGATTAATGTATAATGTGGTTAATTTTGTGAAACAATCAACTTGAAATTCTGAAAATGATTAATGGTGAAATTTGATCATCAAATTTGATTGGTTGGTAACCTGGTATTGTCTAACAATTAACACTCCTAAAATAAGTTAACATCTTGGGATTGTCTTCATTTGCCTATCTTCAACTCTGCATACAACACACACGTCTACACGTTAGGTTAAAATAATTGATGTTAATTCATTCAAATTAACCTTAAATCATGATTATCTTCACAGCCCAAACAAACGTTGGTTACACAAATGAATTCATTATCAACATTACCTGCTGCCATTACCAAGTAATTTAAATTATACAAATTTACACATCGACATGATTGACGACGGATTGTAGACATTTTGCCATTTCAAACCCAAATGTTACTAGTTTTACAAGTCAATTTGATTATCACAATTCATCTCATCATTTTAAAACTTTCAATTGATCATTTCGCACTCTCAACTTAATGATGGTTTAGTCATTGCCTGAGCGCAACAACATCGTGACCTTTCATCTATTTTGATGGAATAACCAATTCCAATCTTGTAGGAGTCAAGAGGATTGCTAATCATAATTACGGACGAGAAATTGGCCTTATGTTCAGGTCTCAGTGGGTGGTAATCATGGGAACAACTTTGGATTTCATTTTATGATTACCTTTTTCACTTCATTTGAAACCAACATTTCTCTGTTGATTCCTGATATCAGACTTTTGTCCTGAGTTATCAACAAATCATGCCTTTTCTCGCCAATTATTGACATTGCCATTGTTTTATACTTAATATGGTATTTTATTTGACAGATTTGTGGTTTGTTTTAACTTCAACTCTCAATTGGCAAATGATTTATGGTTGATTGTGTTTTTTATTGGCGAGAATTGTTGCCTTTGAAATTGAATTATTTTCTGGTTTCTTTAATTTACGCTCGTCCTGCATTATCTGATTGTGTTAAATTTGAATGAGTAAGCATTACGTTAATAGCCTGATTAAATTATGGCAATTGTTTTTAATAGGAACATGTAAGATCAAAGATGATTTGATAACTTCAATTGCTTAATGAGATGAGTATTAGAGTTTTTAGAGGATCTTTGATGGGCAAATCCTTGGATCAAGCTAATCATTCTGTTCTAATCATAGATTATTTCTTATCAAACTCAGATTTTGTAAACTACATGTAATGGACAGATGGACAAGAATGCTTAAAGTGGACATTAAGTTGTCAAATCAACTATCAACTTTCCCTGACAAAATAATTGGCTTAAAAGCATAAGAAAGTTTTGACTTTTCAGAATTAATCTTCAAATCCTTAATCTTTAACGCAAGTAGCTAATCGACCAAATTATTGACGTTGTCAATGTAACCAAAGAAGACTTATAATGTTGTCTGGTTCAATTGGAGCAATTAAAGTTAATACAGATTAACTTTGTGAGCAACGCAGCCATATTTTTATATGATAACCTTTTGCACCTTTGAAATGAATAATTATGTTAAACACTCAACATAATACAAATATATAAATCAATATTTAGGTGAAATGTTTATTGGTTAATTTGCTTTCTAACTGTTTTATACGTCTTGAATGGTCACAATTGATTTGCACTAAAATCTTGGTAAATTAAATTGTCACATAAATTGTAGGTTATGTTGGTTGTTAGGACTTGGTAAAAGTAACCTTTGAACGAGGCAAACCAGATAAGTAAGCTTCACTAATTAAAGACTATTTTCATACTAAAAACGTATCAAAATTACGATAATTATGTATTCCTGGCAAATTCACAATTTAGTTATAAATAGATGAGATGAAATTTGGAAGCACAAATTATTTAAAAACATGACAATCAAATGATTTTAGCAATTTCATTTGATTAATTTCTCTTTGCTGCTATCTAACGACAAGTTTAAACACTAAAAAATCAAGTGTTGAAATGTACCACCAGATGACGGGATAACTCAAGTATTAATCAGATTTTATAACAAATGTATTTGTTTCAATATTATTGTTTATAATTTGATAAATTTAGTTAATTTGACTTGATTGCATGAAATAATTTCATGATTGTTTTAAAATTATCTTGAATTCATCTCTACTCATTCCAAATGTCACTTAAATAATCAGTGTTAACAGTTTTTGATTTAGTTAATGGCCATCGCAACTCAATGGACATCAAAATAGACAGTTTATATCGAATTGGAAAATAAAGCTTCCCAATTGTTCCACTAAAAATAGCTGTTACTGTTAAAACTGCTGTTAATCAAATGATCATAACAAGCCATTTGCCTGAAAATTGAACCATTGTGCTTGTATGTCACCAATCTAAAAAGCTAAACCAGAGACAAGCAAAAAGTGATTGAAAACCGGAAGATTTATCAATTTGACTGTAATTTGGGTAACGACACAAAATCATGGTAATAATTGATCGAGAAATATTGAAAAAATAGTGAATCATTTAGAGTGTATATTTTTAGTCTCGGAAGTAACTTTAAAACATTCATGATAAATGTAATCATAATAATGATGATGATAATGATGATTGAAAAGATGTGGCCTTGGTATTTGGTGAATCAAGCAGAAAAGCTAAATTGATTAAGCAAATATAATGTGAGTCAATGGATAAACCTTGGGAAGGACAAATCATGTAAATTAAAGTGAAATACTAATATTGTGGAAGGGCAAAATTAAGGGCAAGATTAGTCGCCAGCCATATATGAGTATTAATAACTTAAATGGCTAAAGTTTGAAGCGTTGGCTTTAGTTGATCAAATATTGACCAATCTAATAAATGAATAACAACTGATTTGTTGAAAGACGAGGAGAGGTAAAGATATGATGATGAGAAAGGTTGGGAGTAAATAGATGGTAATAGATGAGGATAAAGATGATAGACAATGGGATGGAGATGAGGAGACATTTTGAAAGCTGTGAGTAATAATAAGATGGGTGAAACTAATACAATCTGCTAATGAAATTGGCTAACAGGCAAATGTAATCAGTTCATCGATCCATTTTGATGTATCAAATAACCAATAGTTAACCTCAACAGCAAAGCACAAAGAAAGTTAAATTCACCTTAAATTGGTTTGTTAGATTGAACCTGAAAAATGGTTATCTGGTAATCTGGTTAAACCTAAATCAAAAGCAACTTTAACTAATTTGCGTTTTATCGGAAGTGGACAATGATTGTCATTAAGGTTAAGTCATTTGAAACAATTTAAAATGAATCATGTTTAATCAAAAACAAAAGAAACTGAAGACAAAAGGTTTATAAATATTTTTTATCATTTTGTCATCAAATTGTATTGTAATGTTATTCATTCATTGAGTTTGAATGGGAAAAATGGTCTTCACTTTTTCAATGTGAATATCAAAAGTGATGTTCATGTTTATGATGATGGTTTAATGGATGGCAAAAAAGGGAAGATTAAAGTTGACTCTTCAGTAACAAGGGAAGTAGATGATGAAGAGGATGAGGAGAGAGACAGAGAAGAGGACAAAAGATGAATTTGGAGATTCAAATGTATTTTCACTTTCCTTTTCATGCCTTGTAAAGGTTGAAGGAAGACACAAAGGGAAACTCAATTGACAATGTTTCACTTCATGTCTTCAGCTTTGTCTGGCTTTGGATTTGCAAGCAAAAAAGTAGTCAACTAAGGTAATTTATGAACAATCAAATTGCAATACAATTATTAATCTTTCAAAAGCTGTACAAGTTGGAGTCGCCATACAAAATACAGTTAGCTTTTCAATGGAAAAGTATATTTTCCTTTGGATTGGTTAATTGTTGCTTTACATAACAGATCAATTTAGACATTTTGTTCAACCTTAATTCTGTTTCTCATGTAAACATGATGAGCTTAGTGTGATTGATTGAGGCTTGCAAAATGGATCAATATGGAGCATTTTCATTCCTTTTTTTGTTGATTTTGTTCAACTATTAATTTTCACATGGAATCATTAGATGGATTGGTAAAGGTTATACTCAATCAACCTCTCATTTTAATCATCATATTCCATGTTAGACTATTTCCATCATTATCAACACTTTCAGGAGCAACTCATCTGTAACTTCAAGTGTTGGATTGTTCAAAATTCAAGTTGACATTTTAAAGCAACATTTATTTGCCATTTGATGATAATAAGGTTTGATTATTTATTGTAAATTCAATTGATTTACCAATTCAGATAATTTGATTGTTATTAGGTGATCAAAGTAATGGCAACAAGAAGAATGCATAAAAAATGGTTTCAACCAGAAAGTTTCAAAAGCTAAAAATGGGTTTCAAGTTCAACCATTTTCAATAAGAAATGTTTTCCTTTTTTTACAAACCAGAAAATTTTGAAAATAAAAAATTGATTGCCAACAATTTTGTTAATAAAATCAATTGGCCAGTAAATGATCATTTAACATCAATTGAATGGAGAGAAAAGGTTTCAACCTTTACAATGAGAAATGTTTTCCGATTTATTCATTGATTGTCAACATTGAAAATTAACATTAAAAGTTCAGTAAACTGAATGCTAAAATTGGTGTAAACTATGAAACTCTGGAAATGCAATGTTCACATTGGAATGTCAATTGTTTAAATTGTTGGCAAAGTCTTTGCTTGTTATATTTATTTGAGGCTCGAAATGCTAAAAATGAATCCATTTGAATAAGTTCAAGTTCAGTCAATCCCATGGTTTATCTGATGAATAATCATCTGATTATTCAAAGTTAAACTCCCACTCAATTGGACTCTTTACACTCAACTCATCACCATGAGCAATTATTTAAGACAAACAATCAACTTTTATTTACATTTGAAAATTTTGTAAACACTTTTTCATTTGTATTTACATGACTTGTAATCTCTGAAACTCTGAATCAGATTAACCATTTGACATACTTTTACCCAATTTAAACAAACCATAATTCAACAATCAAATTCAATCTTTTGTAAAGTCTCAATGTTTCAATGTTTAAATATTGATTTGGGATTAACATTGAAATCCTTTACTTTATCCTTAATCTGTTCAATTGAAAGTCAATAATTGGACAATATTTTAAACTTAATCTGAAACCATTTCAATTGTAGATTCAAAGGTAAACAACAATTGAAGCAAACGTCAAATCTGAATAAGATTTCAATCTTTTCATGAAAATTTCACCCAATTTTTGCATCAAATTTTGACAAAAGAAATTCAATTTTTCTCTAACAATTTTCATGGAAAGGTTATCGAGTTGGATAAACTCTTTTAGGTTTACCTTAAGTGAAGCTAATGATACAAAGACTAATTATCTCGATGACATAATTAATTAATCATTGACATGTTTATCTGTTAATCATAAGTGATTAAGCTTTTGAAACTGTCAATCAAAGTGTTTACATTGTGGTTACAATGAGCCTCAAACAATGTAAAGATGAGTTTCAAATATTGTTACTGATTAAACTGAATCAATAAATAATTACATTTTATCACAACAATCAGACATTAATTATCGCCAATTAAGAAGCCATTGATACAAATTACAATTGTAAACATGAAAAGTGAAAAACCAGTAAAACTAATGGAAAGTAAATGCAAAGGTAAAGACAAATAAAGTTGAAAGTTACAATTTTTTTACTTCTCTTGTTGAATGCATTTCAAGAAATCATTCAACTATCCATTTGAAATGAAAAACAAGTTTCAGGCTCTAATTTCATGCATAATTAAACAATTTACCTGTTCATTTTTACTTTCATCAAACTCATCATTATGATAATCAAGAGTAAGATAACAATTGTGAGTAAAAAAAAGAGAAAAGAAAAGCTTGTCAACTTTTTGGTGATCTTTTCAATGTTATCCGAGACTTTGTTCACCTCACTGTAAACCCTAATAATGGACGGTATTACATGTAAATACATGTTTAACAGATTAATCTAGTTGCAAGACTGAACATGACTTTGACTAATCAGAAGAAGTAAAGAATGGGAAAGAAAAGGTGAAAATCTCACAATTGGTCAAAAGGTAAATTGACATGGAAATGTTTCGCTCCAAATTAAGATTAATTTGCTGATTAACTTTTACCGAAAAAAAGCCTTTTTTCTGTTCCATTATTAACCATAATCTTATTAATCATTGTAATTGACCTCATCACGGTTAACTTGAATATGCAATGAATTATTTTCACAGGCAAAAGGCGAGTTAACAAGGCAATGATTAATTTACCTTTTCATCAGTTAATTGGTTTCATCATAATTCTCACAATAATGTAATTTAAATCTTTAATTATCATGAGTTTTTCATAAAATCCCAGAAGTATTGTTTACCAAGTTTTCAACTCTTTTTGTGACTTTCAATTCACATTGAAAATCAAGATTCAGTTGGCAAACAGATGACAAGTTGATTGTGTTTTTCATCATTACTGTCAATCATTATGATCAAAGGGAAATCAAGTTTTTTCTCAATGACAAAACCATTTTAATCACTTGGACAAAGAGTCTGGATTAAGATGAAACTGATGAAAACCAGACTGGACTCAAGATGAACGATGAAAGAGGCAAATCATGGGCGTCAATTTTGCACGGTTGAGGGTGATTATGATGTGGATGACGAGGACAATGAATATCAAGATGAATATGGAAGAGATGAATTTGCATTGAAAATTGACCAACCATGAGTTGAGTTTTTTTCTGTCAATTTTTTTCTCCTCACAACTCAGGAAGATTAAAGGCTATTTCATGTAATACTTTGGTGATCATAAAATCATTATGATTAGAAACATGTTACAATTTTCATGTTGGCTTTGATGAAAAACATGAATGATTACAATTGAGTGACAATTTAATCGTTTGTCATTTTCTCATTTCAACATTTGTTTCAATATTTAAATTCATAATCAATCTTAATTGTTTCCCTATTTTGTTAACAACTTTTGAGAAACTTCAACATTAAATGATAAATTCATTACAAATGATATCAATTCGTTGTGACTTTTGGCTACTTTTGGCGTCTGTTTACCTTGAAAGCAACACCTTTTCAAGGTAGAAAGTGATTATAATTGTTAACAATTAACTTTACAGTTTAATAAATTTCCTCCCATTCAACATGATTTGTTTATTGTTATACAATACACAATCAGTGAGAGGCAGAAGTTTTTCCAAAATTCATTTCAATTTCAAGTTTTTATCCAAAGGAAAACAAGTTCAACATGAAATTAATAATAGCAACTGATTAAACAATGAAGAGCAAAATGTTCAATATTTACTGTTTGATTAGAAAGAGTTGGAAATGAATGAAAATGAGAAAACAATATTTCCATTTAATTTAATTTGAGGATATTTTGAGAGAAAAAATTCATTTCTAGAAAATGAATTTCAGATTATCTGTATTCTTTCATGGTTTGATTGACGCTCTTTAAGATTATGTAATATGATTCGCCCCAGTGAATGTAATATCATCCACTAAGGTGAGGGTGAATCAAGACATGATGAGAGAAAGAAAGAGAAAGAGAAAGATCCGTGAGAAAAAAATTCATTCACAACTTTCAGGACCTAATATTCAGTTTCTGGTGAAATTTTTGCTCTTCAAAATCATTTTCATCAGTAACTATCAAACCAATTATCATTTGACAGTTTTTTTCCCTCAATCTTTCAATCATAATCTTCATATTTCTGGTCACTTTTTAACCATGATATTTGACTCTGTGATTGTCATGTTCAGGGTACAAGAAAATCTGGTTGACAATTGTGAGCAAACAGCAAAAGGTAAGTAACATTGACAGCAAAAAAAAGTGAATGTCTTTTACAGAACAGGAAATGTTGAGTTTCTTGACAATATTTTTTGTTTGCCTTTTTTCGTTTCTCTTCAGATTATTCATTATAATTATTTGGAGTCAGTTTATGTTACATGTTAAGGTCAAGCGTAAGTCAAGGTGAAGTCAAGTTAAAGGTTAAGCTAAACAGAGCAGCACAAGCAAGCCATAAGGTGAACAATTTAAATTGTCATTACCTTTCACTTGGATTGTCTTTGGAATTGAATTTATCTCGAAGTAAGTCCTCTTCGCTGTGGTCGTAAATTAGCGTCTCAACCATTGATCCTTTGCTACTTCCAAAGGAAACTCTGAAAAAGAGAAAAAATTCTGATCAAAATAATGTAAATTAAAATTCGAATGGAAAATTAGAGTAAATTTTGGTAATTGTTGGCCTTTGTTTATCAAAAGCTATTGTAACTACAGTTGAATCAACTTTAGATTTTGATTTTTTCTGAGAATTCGTTTGTTCTTCAATTTTTAATTCAACTCATTTTTCGATTTACATTCAACTCAATTGCATGAAGTTGAAAAATGAATCAATAATTGATTAAATTACTATTGACCGGTCGATCAAAATATTTGAATATCAACACTTGTGATAGCTTTAGGTTTTGCTCTGTAATTCAATTACAATTATGCCTTGACAACACATTAAAACAGTTTTTTTTCTGGTTTATTTGGTCAACTTTCTGGTTCTCATTGATTATTCACTATAATAATGGTAAGATATTAAAAGTTTTACATGAGCAAAGGTAACAATCTAAGCTGTTAACAGGGAGAATTAATGAAAAAGTAAAACATAAATTTGACTGGTCAATAGACTTAATAGACTTGGTTACGATCAAAATGCAAACATGGAAAATTTTGGGTCATTTCATTTGATATTTTTTCATTGTCCTCCTGGTGAAATGACATTCATTTTCATACTTGATTACATGTTTGAATTGGTTACTTTTTATCATGAAAAACTTCCACTTTCCCTCTAGTTTTTACAGGTGCACAGTACAAAAGGGTAGAAAAATTAATCTAATCACTTAAATGTGAACCAGAAAGAAATGTTTGATCGATTGAACATCACAAGTGTTGATACAAAAATGAATTGAAATCAAAATGAGTTATCAATTGTGAAGATTGGAAGAAGATGAAGAGCACTTGGAAAAGGATTAAAATAGGATGAAGATAAGGAAGGAAGAGAAGTGGAAACGGTTAAGTTAAAGTTGTCACTATTTCAATTTTATCCATTCAAATTATCGCAATTTGGGTTTTCTCTTATTCCTTAATTCTTTTGCTTTTCCTGCTTATTTTATCATCTTTTCATTCTTCACCGGCGACATCTTTACTTTTACCATGCAGAGTCATCATCATTATCATCATCTTTTTTTTCTAGACTTCAAATGTAGAGCAACTTGAACAGGATCGATATTTTTATATTGACTAAAAAGGAACTCGAGAAAAAAATAAATAAATAAGTCTGTCTAAAGGATGTTAACATTGATTTCTTTGCTGTTGTTGTTGTTGTCGATGTTGCAGTTGTTGGTGATGATGATAAGGATGGTGATGCTGTTTTGCCTGTTTAGTCTCTTTCCTCACTCTCTAGGATGGAGATGAAAAGATGATAGGAAGAATAGGCAAAAGATTTCAACTGTGTATAAATAAATGTACAAAAATCGAATTTCTCTTCTTCCTTTTTCTTCTTCTCTTCTGGCCTTTTCTTTCTTCTTTAATTTGCCTTCCCTTGAGCTTTCCCTTTCTCTTTTACATCCAAAACCAACCTTTTGAGAACCGGGCTTTTAGATCGAGCATGACTTCGAGGTTTGTATATTCCATGTTGATGGTTGGTTGATGATGATGATGACGAAGGAACACCATTGGTAATCATTAGCATCATCTCTTCTTTGAGATCAACATCAATCCCATTCCCTGTATCAATATGTTCATTGTAACTTGATTCACCAATAGACACCGGTACCGTTGTAACTGGTGTTGATGGGCTCATGGATAGTGATGATTGGCGGGTTCAGTGTTGGTGATATTTGGTGCAGCACGATCAATAGTGTGGTTACAGATATTGATGGAAACAGTAGGAAACAATCAAGATAAACACGAGTAAAGATAAGGAACCAAAAGATGCTGAAGTGTGGTTGAAATGGACGATAAAAATAAATACCACTGGACTAGAAAGGTAATAAGGTTTGCTTTTAACGGGTTATCCACTTGTATCAATTGTAGCTTTCCCATTTGGAGGTCATCTCGAAGCTGACCAAGGAAAAACCAAGGAAAAAACAAAATTAACAAACAAAATATAACAATATACACCAAATGTGCTCACAGACTACATTAAAATTGGCTCCACAATCATATTATTCATTCCATACGAAACAGTAAACAGAAAAGGAAAGAGCAGAAGCAAGCTAAAAATGCCAAACGAACCAAAGAAAGTGTAAAGTAAGAAATCAAATGAAAGGGAGAAACTCGGTTCTAAATAGTAGCGACATCTACTGTAGAAGAATGGAAACTCACGAAAAATTACAGTTAATAGCTAATAAGGTTTCAAACTTGAGCATTTTGTTTGAAATTAATTTTATTTCGATAAATTTAAAGTTAAAAATCACAATTGAATATTTAAACAACAAAATCAATCTTTAACTTGTTAGCTTTATCAATTCAAAATTAACTATTTTAACATTATTCAATTGAGTTAAAGCTTTCTATGACAAGTTTTCTTGATTTGAAACTGAAAAAATGTCTTAGAAGCAGCTTTTGACCTCCGTTAAGCAGTTCATTTCTGGTTTGTAACTTACGGTTTGTAATGAATCTTTATCTATTTACTGCTGTTTACCTTTCAAGCTCAATGTGAAATCCTAAATCGAGACTTTGGAATCAAGATTCCATCAAATTTATTGATTGTGAATAGATTAGGAAAGTTAATCGAAACGAGAAAATATGTCCAACCTATTATCATGAGTAAACTAAAGAAATGAACTTTTGGTCGATTATCCAAGAGCTATTCCTTGATGCTTTACATGATTTATGATTAAGATTGAATGTTCAATGTTTAATGTCGGAATAAATGGGTTGAAAGAAACGAATATAAATGAATATTTATTGATAGTCTTTGCTTGTGTTGAGACAATTAAAATTTAATTTTGTTTGAAAAAATGTTTAATTACAATTTGGGTGAGAATTGGTCGCAAAAGTCGAAAAAAGGCGAAAAAAGAAGAAAATAACTGAAACAATTTAATGGCCATTTTAACATGTTTAATCATGATCCATCCATTAATCAATCGATTCCAAGAAAAATATGACAAGTGGCTGGTGAACTTGGTTCTGCTGAGAAACGAAGAAAAAACAAAATTAAAAATTCCAACAGAAATGAATAACCAAGAAAACAACATCTAAATAAGAACTAAATTATCGGTAAAACTTCCGTTCAATCAAGTATCGAAATATGAAAGAACCGAAGACTGAAAAATCATGATAATTACTCACCACCTGAATTATCAATCGTTACCTTTGACAGTGTTGGAGAACTATTTGACTTATTTTTGGTCACTTCAGGTAAAATGGTATTATTTTGCTAGAAAAGAAAAAAAGTAAAACTCGAAAATGTCCAATTTCCATGAGCAAAGGATACAAACCTTAACAGGTAAAATGAACTTTCCTTGATGAGAGACTTTAGTTGAAGATATTTTCCTGTGCAACAAGATTGCACACAAAATGCCATAAGCGAAGATTGCAAGGATCACAAAATCGAAAGCAACATTTCCTTTTTGTGAATCATCATCGACCAAATGGTTATCCTAAAAGAGCAACAATTAGAATCTGAAAAACTGCAAACAAAATAAAATTACCATCGAGTTATTAACAAAGGTATGAATTATGGTCAATCCATTGGTACAGGGAATGACGATTATCCAAGGCAAAAACATTCTTCTACTTTCCTGGTGAGAATAAAATAAAAGAGTAAAGATTAATTCTGAGGAAGCATGAAAAGAAATTCAGATTATTATTGAAACTTACAACACAAACTCCAATAATGAGTAGGACTGATGATAAAATGCTCAAGGTGCAAAAAAATATCACCAAAAAGCCTAACGATATAAAACCTGTTGAAAGGTGAACAAGAAAAGGAAACGATGAGATAAGTTGACATTTATTGAGTCGTTGATATTACCAAAAACATTATCACTGGAAGCCCAAATGGTTCCTCCGGTTACCACCATGCAGTAGTAAAGCTTGAAAGTGAATAACAATTTTTTAGATGAAATGTTGTTTATTGTTGAAACTCTTGTAAGATTCAATTTTAAACTTTTCTTCTTGTTATTCCAGTTATTCATGAGAATCCAGAATTTCCAAGAGTTTCATAATTCACTATTTAATCATTGTATCTGTGCTAACTTTTATAGTTTACATTGTTTTCAAAATTACAAAATTCAACTTTTATTGAAAATTTCCTTTTTTTGTCTCTTCTCTCAATTTTTCATGTTCATTCCAAGTTTCCTTGTTTGCTCTTCAAAGGTTGACTAAAGGATGCAAAGGTTGAGATTTATTTGCTTTGTTTGATCATGTAAACTTCAATAAATTATTTTATTGTGAATCTCGTTTCTTCAGTTATTCATTGCTTTGCTTCAACTTTCAACAATTGAACTTAAGCTTAGAAAACGAAATTCCAGATTCGTTTTCTTCAAGATAAAGAATAGCAATGGAAGTTGTTTAGATGCAAAGATAAACGTATAACGAAAACTTGGACTTTCTAAGGGAATGACCTCCGAAGTTTCGTTCGACTAATACTTACGTACGACTTAAACTTGCTCGATCTCATTCACATTCGTATTAACATTTGTTCCCTGAGCTTTTTCGCTCTTATTTTCAATTCTCTCTTCTTTTCCTTTCTCAGTAGACTGGATTTTCTGGTATTAAGGATGTCAAAAAATTAATCCGATTCAAATAGTTCTTGCCATAATTCACAATCAAAAACAAATGTTTTTAAGTTACTATCGATAAGTGTAGTGTCCTTTCACCGCACTAATCCTTTGGACAAACAAAAGCTTGAAAAATGTTTGACATCTAAACTGAAATTATTAATAACTTCAAGCTTATCCTCGAGATTATCAATTATTAGCTTCAATCTGATTTTAACATAGTTGATCATTTTTGGGTAATATGATTCCAATATAACATGAACAGATCATGAACACATGAAATCAATCAAATATGAAGGAGTATCAGGTAATTGTATTCACTTTTAGTTTAGTATTTGTTCGCAATGGAATTCATAAATTATTTGTTTGGTGAATGGACAGGGAACCGTTACTTAACATCACTTCTTGTTGGGTTTCGATGTTTGGAGTTTTTGTGACACTTTTAGTTATATAATGGACCAAGAAAGGGATAAACCAAAAATCCTAATATGTGTTACTATCAAAATATCAATTGTGATTTAAGCTTGATGGACGCTACCAAAGTCCGATATTTAAATTTAAAATGAAGTTTCAGTCAGTTTATTGAATCAAATGCCGATTCATTCTTTAATCGAAATGGGTTCTCTTATCGAATGTAATTTTCTTAGTTTCTTAATGTGTTCATAGTCTTTTCTTTTACCTATTTTTGGGAATCAAGGTGGAGACAAAAGGTTTAGATTCAACTGAACAAACATGATGAAGTCAAGTCAAGCTTCATCGATTCATTCATTATCCCAATCCTTGGACAGGTTTCATTGTATTGATAGCAATTTATTGAAGCAAATGGCAAGAATTGATCAACAAATGAATCCATGAAGTCAGCGTAAATCACTGAATAACTCAGCATTGTTCTGTAATCTTTATGTTTATCAATGTTTGTTTAATAATATTTGACATCAACTAATTTTCATTTCAGTTTTGACTAAAAATGCTAATTTGCAAAGAAAATTGAAATTTCTCGAAAAGTTCAAATGTGAACATAAGAAGATAAAATCAAATAAAATGTTTTAAATTCACCAAAATTCATCTTGCAATGTTAATAATTCAATTAACAACTCATGCTCTCAAAAGACTGAATCTCAACTGAAACCAAACTCGAAACATAAATCAAGACCAAAGATGAAAGCAAGTTATGAAATTGTATCAAAACCATTAGATGCAATAATGAAATACATTTCATTCAATTCAAAATTATCTGATAAAACTTGATTCACTTTCAATGAAATAGCAATGAACAAGACATGATTACCAGTTAATTAAAGCTTGCAACCTTTTTATATCAAATTTCATGGTGAATGACATGAAAATTCAATTAGTAGTTCAATCGAGTTGAAAAATCTACAAAAAGTGAATTTTAAATAAAATGTTCATTCAATTTATGCATGATTTTGATGTGCTATCAATTATCAGGCAAATTCCTGGATCAGATGTCATCATATCGAGTGCAAATGAACTTCAATATCGACTGACCATATTCATCCAAAACTAAACAGAAAAGTAACTCCAAAAATGGCATCAATTTGATAACTTGTTATATTTAGTTTTCACCAAAAGGAAACCAAAAAAGAAGAGAAATTTTTTCAATTTTCTTGAAACAACAAACTTGACGTGAAGACGATTTGAAGAGCAAAGTGCAATTCTTGATGAAAACACAGAAACATGAGCATTAACAGTCGACTTGTGACCTAATTGTGACAAAGCGTCCATCAAATACAATGGAATAGCATGAGAAGCTGACTATCGGAAACTGAAATGAAACAAAAGTGAAAAGCACTCAACGATGTTGTTTCACTTGAAAAGTTAAATGTTGTTAAGTGAACAATAAGAACCGGAATTGGTGGAAACAGGGAAACGAGGAAAAATGAATAAATTACATTTTCCATGTTGAATGATGAAGAAGAATGGAAACATTGAAACATTAATGGCCTACGGATAGGTTCACTTATGCTACAGTAAACCTTTGAAAGCTCAAGGCAAATTGATAACTTGTTTAGTTGATGTTGATCACAAGTTTATTGGTATTGTTTGCTCAACCAATATTTAGTGTTGGCTATACAATGGTAACAGTTGAACAATCTGTTGAATAACATTCTAATTGAATTGTTAATGCAAACAAATCAAGTTTCACTTTCATTGTTAACTAATCGTCTTAATAGTTGATTCTTTAAATTGTTACATTATTCCATTCAATTGCCATCATTTACAGTTACATTGTTATATAAACTCAAGATAATCTCATCTCTAGCATTTCAACAAGCTTTCCATTCGTTTATCAGAATTTTATTTTCAAACTTGATACTTGAAGATCGCATGAAAAGAGTTGTTCAGTTTTTGTTGTCTCAGTGTAAGGATTTAATTTCATTATGATATTACTCGATCTATTGATCAACAATAAAACTGAACTAATCACAGCTCAAGACTGAGTCAATGAAGCCAATGATTTTATTATTAATAATGTTATTAATGCAATATGGATCAACAACCAAAGAATCAATCATTTCTGTTTAGTTTGTTCATCTCTTGATAATATGATATTCATAAATATTATTAATTGTCTGACAATTGTGAGCCCAAGAGAAGACTTTAAGATGAAAAAAGTACACAAATTATCAACACTGGAGCAAAACAGAATAGTTTCAACCAAGTTTCATATTGGCGTTCATTCTATGGCTTTGGCGGATAGCAACCTGGTTGAATTTGGCCCATTCTCCAAAAATTAGTTGATATTGATTTAAATAGATAATGTTTAAACTAAAACTGAACCTAATGATATGACCCTAGCTTTAACTGTTATATTATAAAATAAGACAAATTGTGAGTTATTAAAAAGACACAATCAACACAATCGATCTCAAAATAAGACCACTTTCTTGTTGATCATCAAAAGTTACATCAGTGAAATAAGTTTTGTGAAAAAATCTGTTAATGATTACATTTTTCGGCCTGATGGAGCTACAGCTGACGAACTGAATGCCAATTATGCAGCAGAAATGGACAATCCACCAAAAATACGCCAGCTTAGAGCGATTTGAAAGTTTTGGTATCATTTGAAGGGCAGAGTTTACCAATCTGGTTGGAAAGCCGACAATTTTGACCAATTAAGACGTCGAATAATGAATAAACTAAAAGATTTTAACGACGCATACTTCAAACTAACAGTGTCCAAAGAAATGAAGTTTTACCCGTTTTTACCCATTTGTCAATTTTTGTGTGAATGTGACAATTGCATTGATTGTTTCATTTTAGTAACAAACCAAATTATGTGAATCTTTTACTCTTTCGGCTTTTCTGTTGATCTATTGAAATATTCAAAGAAGTTATGGAAACACTCTTTAATTTCTACACACTTATATTTACACACTATTTTATTTGAGCAACTATTTTACAATTAGTAAATTTTTACTTGTAATGATCGAGTGAAGCCAGTGGTGTCAACAATCAATGAAAGTCATAAGTAATTGAAATAATATTATTCGATGCGCATAGCAAAGGATGAGACATAAACTCTTAGAATGGACTAGAAATATTGAAAGACTGAAATGACTGACGATGGTTGTTGAAATGCGAACAGGAATCTTTAGGACTTTTACCAAGAGGATAGAGTTGCACAATTAGATTAATATGAAAAAGGAAAGGAACCAAAATAAACCCAAATCTAATTCAACTATTTAAATTTGTTTTGTATGGAAATAATCACTTGTAAAACTTTGTAGACAAGTTGTTGACTAACATAAGCCGTTTAGCCATACATTACGTTCATGTAAACTCCAAGCTTACATACAATAAATCTTGAGTTAAGTCGAAAGTGCGGTGAGCTCTTAAGAGCATCAAAATGAAGTCTAGAAGGCAATAGTAAAATTTCCTGATTTTCGAGAGAATGGAGTTCGAAGCTCAAAGATGCCATTACACGTGGTCGCTATTGTACTGGGAATTAAATCCTTTCCATCAAATTCATCTTCTCATGTAACTTTAATGCCTGATAAATGCTTAGTCTAAGAAAGTAAATTTTTAGTCAAATGCACACTCAAACTCGACTGTTATCAACAGTCTAATTGACGTTGAAATGGTTAACCAGGTTGACAGTGATTAATCCTTGGTTTTACTTTTCTCTGTCACTTTAGTTTCAATTCAATATTCAGTTAATTCGATAATTGTTTATCATCTAAACAACTTTCGAATCTCATTTGTTATTGAAATTTGAAAGGTTTCAATAAACGTTTTCTTCATTGAAATTACAATGAGTTTACCTTTTCTGAATCATTTTTCATCTTCTTTGTTTTCCTCAACAAAAAATACAACTTTTCTCATTTTATTATTGCTTATAAAACCTTTTCAAATCAAATTTTCTCAGATAAACAGGACAGAACTGAATTGTTTACACTTTTGGCAGAAGAAGAAGAAAGGTAAAGAATTACAGGGAAGGAAAAGAAAACCTTTTTCCTCATCACTGAATCCGTATCAAGTTTATCTCAAGGGTTTGTTTGTTGACATCAAAGTCGATATTAAATTTTATTTTGTTTCTTCTCGATTCCATGATTAACTTTCCAACTCTTTCCAACTAATTGTTACAGATTCAAATTCAATGAACTTCACCAAAACCCAAACGAAAAACTTGCAACTAAAATAGTCTTTTAATTGTGTTATCAAGAGGTCAAATTGAATTACGATTATAATTGAATTTCCAGGTTCAACAGGTGAAGGTTCAATATTGAATTCTTGCCGGAATAACTGAATCTTTCTATAATTCATTTTAATCCAAAACAGAGTAAAGTGAATGAGAAATGGAATCAATTTTTTCTCCAAAAACTTGAAACATTAAATTCCAAATCCAGATTATTTGGAAAATATTTCATGGAATTGAATGAAACACAATTTGTACAAATAATAGTTTATTAATGTTATTTATCATCGATAACAAGGTAAAAGATGGCAAACTCTGGGAATGATCTCATCAAAAACAAATAATCTTCTGAAGCAAATATTGTGATAAATCAATGATCGGGTCAAAGATTGTAGCTCAAGGGTTTGGAATGAATTTCATGGGAAAATTCGAACGAAATAAAAACAATTGTTCAAGTTATCGAAACGTCTTGGTTACTCCAGAAATTGGAAAATGAAAAATTGCTTTTTAATGCGTCAATAAAGTTTCGACCTTCAAAGAGTTTTGTTTTTCTTTGAAATAAATTTCGAGTCAACATTGAGTTCAATATTATCTGACCAAGGTGTTCCTAAAAGAACTTGAAATGGGTGTAAAAAGAGAAAAAAAATTCTCCAGTTTATTCTCAATAGATTATCATTTCAAGTGATAATCTCTGGAAAAGTTGAGTAAAGAAAATCAGTTTGAAATTGTTTCGCTCTACATAGCATTAGAAGAATTTCAGTTTTACCTGAGAATTTGTTTTACAATTTTCTCTCTTTTTTTCATGGAAACATTTTTATCAACAGAAAATCGATATTTTCTTCTCAGCTTACAGATTGATTCATCTAATGATATTAAAGCTTATCAGTTCAATGATTGAATCAAAGCAACAGTTTAAAGTTTAAAATAACAATTTGATCAACTTTCAGTAAATGACTTTTCATCTTGAAACTGATCACTTGGTCAAGTTGTTAATCTTAAGGAACAATTTTCTTTATCGATTCAGAAGAATAAGTTGAAGAGAGAAAAAAAGCTTTGATGATGCTTACGATGATGGGTTAATCATGTTGACCATGATGAAATATTAGTCTTGGAGAAACATTGATGACCCAGAAAAAAAGAGAATCCAAAGTCATCCAGAATTGTTCCGAATAAATATATACATTTTTTTGGCTTTTCTCATCAAATTGTTATTCTCAGTATCAGTGTTCCTCAGTTGAACATTATTGAACAATTATTCAAGTTGAACTGCTGAACCTGACTTGACCTGTGATTCACATGGAAATTTTTCATTGAGAAAAGAGAAAAATCAAAATTCTTTATCATTCCTTTACTCTGGGAGTGAATATTATCACAAGATATTATGATTAAATGCTAATCAAACGAACTTCAAATATCGTCTAAAGGTGTCACAATTAATCAGTTCTGATTGTTTTAATTGGATTTTCTGATTCGTTCTGATTAAACTTCACTTTGATTCAGATTCAGAATGTTTCCTCATTTGGAAGAATAAAATTTTCAGTTTTTCTCTCCATTTTGAAATGATTAATGTTTTTCACGATTGAATGGACATTTAAATGATAAATGTTTTCTCCATGAAAAAAGTGTCTCATGAACTTTGATGTTAAATAGAAGTGAACTTTTTTTCCTGTAAAACGATATTCGATTGGGAATCTCAAGAAAGTTTAATCGATTTTTAAGGTTGTTAAATTGTTAATTATCGAGAATCAGATTACTCTGAAAGTGATATTAATGGTGTGTTTGTTCAATCGTTTAACTTTTTCTTTCACATTTTCAATGTTTCTCCATGAAAATGAAAAGAGAAATCAATTTTGGAGAAAAGAATAAAATTGAAATTGTTTTCGATGTGAAATGATTCAACTATCAATGATTAATCTAGAAACGTTGCCTTCAGACAATTATGACTACCAAGTTTACATGATAATAATGAGAGTTTAACTTGAATTGTAATTTAAAGGTAAAAATGATTTTATTGTTTGGTTTTACTGTTTAAACTTTATTATCAACTTTCACCGAAAATTGGATTAATCAAGAATTGAATAAAACATTTAACAGCATTGAATTGGTAATTTAACAGGGAATTGATCCAAGCTGGGAAAATGCAATTTAATGATATTTCATTATGATTATTTCAAGGTTCATCATCACTGGATATAATTGGCAGAGTAATTGAGGAAAGATTGAACTTCCATCAGTAAATCATGATTCAATTTGGCGAATAAATGTTTGTTGTTAAATCAAAATTAAGTTCAACATTTGCGTTCATTTCAAGATTTTTTCAAAGTTCTGTTCAAAAGAACAACCAAAAGATCATTTTCATTCTCATTCCTACTAAACATTTCACGGAATTTCATTTCCTATCAGATTGATATCAAAGTTAAAAGCAAAGACTTGTTCCAAATGCTTTTCAATCTAAAAAGATTTCAAGTTTACTGTTTCATTTTATGTTGAAAATATGAATCCAAATTGAATAAAATATGAAGTGAAATGTTGAATTATAAATCAGGTCGAAACAACTCGAGATTAAACCAGTTTGCATCTTTTAATTTTGAAGCAACATTTAAAATTTAAAATATCGATTTCATGAACATGGATAAAATATTCTGAAAAGTGATAAACTGCAATCTGTAATCGACATTCAACCAGAACTGTCAAAAACAGTTGAAAAATTCAATTTTATCCAGAAGAGCATTCGATTGCAACTGAAACTAACTTTTGATTTGAGACAATTATCAAGAAGAAAATGTTTAACATTGAAATCAATTTTGAGGTTGAATGTGAAATGAGGAAAATAGCATTTGGAAGAATCAGAGAACTGAAAAATGTGAATATTCTGTTACTTACCATTGAAATGATTCCATAGCCCATCACTCCTTTCTGAAGAGACACACAAAGGCAACATTTATTCCAGATAGTTTCCATGATATTAATAATTTATCTGTTGGATGGACAGCACAAAGTTGTTAATCACAATTAACTTTATGCTCTTTGCTTCACTCAACTTTTAATAATTTTGTCAACTTAACCATGTTTACCGTTTCCAAGCTCACAGGTTATACAGCTAATAACAGTGATGATGATATGATGAGCAAAAAAGATGGAAAGGAAAAGTTTGTTTTTTTGTTCTTCTTTCCCTTTTCCATCTCATTTTCACTCCCAGCTTATCATCTTTGCGCTCTATTCTGTCAGTTTAACTTGCTTCTGTTATTATTTTGCCATTTGTTATTTGCGCAGTCAATATATTGTGATACAAGCTAATTTAATGATAAATCAAATGCGCAGGTTTTCACTCACATTATAAACATATCAAACGTTATATCAGTTAAAGCGATCAGTAGATCATCATTTCAATTTGTTCATTATTTTGTCTCAACTTTTTCTTTTTCAGTGAAGATGATTAAATTTCAAGGATTGACTCAACTAATTGTTTACGATATTGGAACGACATTTGCATGTAAATTCATCTCAAAGCCTGGAGTTGCTTAGACAATTGAATTTCAATGATATTTCATCGATAGTTTCACAGTTTTCGCATTCAACAGGCGAATGTAAATTTCTGTGTCTTTTGATTTCTTTATTCAGTTCAATGCTTTACATAAATATTTATTTCTCAATTGAATATCAAATCCTTTGTTTTATTCAGTTCAAGAGTTCGATTGACATTTGATTGGCATCGTGTTAAGGTTGATATTACAGGTTAAATGAACAAATTGACTTTGAAATAAACATTTTACAGTTCTTATAATTTTACTCATTTTGCTCATGAAATTCAATCCAGACTTTATGTAATATTGAAATCTCTTAGATTCTGTCACGCTTTTCACTTGAAAATGTTAAGTTCATTTTATAACATGTTTCCATTTCATTTGTAATTTGTTTGGAAAGCAATTAACAAGCTATTCTGGTCAAATGAAACTTCGATTGGTCAAATTATATAAATAAAGCAATATTGATCGACATTTTGTTATTGTGATTATTGCAAGGATAATTATTGTATTGCATTATTTTGCGATAATCTATTCATAATCATCCCTGTAGGTAACAATAAATCCTTTAGTCGATGAAGTTTGCCAATTTCTAGAGCTTGAGGCTCATTAATATTTTCAATTCTTTGAGCTGAATAATCTCTTGTTTGCCTCAGATTAACGTGCAATATCAGTAATCGTGAATTAATTTGTGATGCTTTTGAGTTCATTTTATGGTAAAACAAATGTTGTTGGTTGGAATCAAACACATTTAGTTTGATTGAGTGCTACAATTTGCTCAATTATGGTCATAAGTTACTGACTAAGGCTCATTTAATGTGCCAACTCCAGCTTTTTTGCCAAAGTGACAAAATCTTTGGGTTTGTTTGTTTCTTTTGAGATTCACCTCATTACAACCCAAATTGTGTTCAAGAGTTGGATTGGCATCAAATTGACTGGTGAACTCACCAGACATTTCGTTAATCGTTAACATTGATACTGTTTTTGAACAGCTTAATTCACATTGTCTGAGGCAGTTTCGAGAAGCTTGCAATATCGAAATCGTCAATTGATTTGACTTTCCAAACGTTCTCTGGAAGTACTTAAGAGTATACTTGTTTAAACTCATTGCAGTAGCTTCTGATCCCGATACTATCGAGTCCTCGAGCTGATTATCAATTAAATCAACAATCATGGAGTTTTGGGAAGATCCATTTATTTTTGTTATTTTAATATCAATTTTTTTATTATCTTTGTTGTTTCTCTATTTCATACGCCTTCGGAGAATCAGTAGATTCAACCCAGATATCTACGTTTGTAGTGAGTGTAATGATCATCAGGCTGCTATCGTAAGTTTCAATTTCATTTCTTTCTTGCTTTAAATTCTGATCTGAATTTCTTTCTTACTATCTTTCTTTCTATTAGTGGATAAGGCGAGTCAAATCCGCTACCGTGGTTATAAACAAACTTAGTTCTTCTCAACAAACTCGAAAAATCCATGAAGATTTCCTGACATTCGCGGATTTGGTGTATTACTCGCAATTTTTCCTGTTCCTGCATTCAATCGCTAATGGACGATTGGGACGCTGCTCATTTAAACATACCTTATTTAAAACATTTTTGACAATATGTTACACTACAAAAATGTTGGATTTTGGGACACAGAATGTAGTGGACATAATGTAATGTAAACCATGTATCAGACCTTATGATGTGTAAGACTCGCTAAAAATCCTTTTCAAGACACAAAAGCTTTTAACGAAACTCGAATTTCGTATTTCATTTATTCTGATCTCAATGTATTCTTTGTTTATTATGTCTGTTTTGTCGAGTTTCTTTATGACATAAGAATAAAAAAGTATCTCTTGCTATTCATTTTCATCGTAATACAGAAACAATAGCAAACAATGATTGTAATTGGATGATAAAACGGTAAACAAATCTGGTTCATCATTCATAATAGGAACCAGAAAAGGGTAAACATTTAGAAATTGATTCAATTTTCAATGTTCACTATTTGTCTTTCACATTAAACCTGCTTCTTATTTTAGACCGCAATTATTCAAGTCTGGTCAAGACTAATTTTAGATGGATGAACATCAATTGATGGAACAATTTCAATGGATTGATATTATTTAACCTTTAACTAAATCTGGTTTTGATGTTTTTGTCAAACAATAATTGCTATCGTTCTCGTATTCATTGTCCTTGTCCATCCATTGGATCTTCATTGACTCTCAAGAGCCTCATTGTTCCCTGTTTTGCAGCCCTTGAATCAAATTGTTAATAGTTTAGTCTATTCAATGTCATCACATTCAGAAAGTTCATCATTATCTCTTTTATCTCGAACCTCATCATCTTCATTGCAACACGATCATTTACTCAAAGTAATCATTCTCGTGAATCACTGAAAACTGAAACTCTTTCATTCCAACTTTCATAATCATCATCAACATGAGAAGAACCAACTCCAGCCTTACTGACCAGCAAAAAAAGGTTCAATCAAATTAAATGTAATGATTCAACGCTTCTAAATCATCAGTAATCAATCTGAATTATGACCTGTTAAAAGCTCATCTAATGGTTAACAATAAAGTGTCGATTTCACCAATGCTAAAGACATTAAGTTGCTTCGTTTTCATATTTCTGATTGAAATGAATTACCACAAAGACTGCGATCTAATGAATATATTTCAATACGAACAGTTTGAATATCAGAAGTCAATTTGCTAACAGAGTGAAAGAATCCAATAATCATCTCTCTATCAAATCTGATACAATTAGATCGAATTGGGTTCAGTCAACAAACTAATTGCCAATAAAAGTAGATCCAAATGTAATTCTGGTTAACAATTAAAAGGATTATTTATGCACAGAAGCAAATGAAAACCATTTCATTGCTAGAACTTAAACAATTCAGATGTAAAATTGCAAACCAAATCTATTGCAATCCATTTTAATTGTTGTTCAATTTTCTTTTGTCCAACATCTAATTTCAATATCGATAAATCTAAATCTTTCAAAAACTTTGCATAAACTAGTCGAAGTGTTTAATTGCTTGATCGATTCGAAAATGACTTCAACCGTTTCTACCATCGAAGCGTATTAAAGGACAATTTGAGTCAAAATCAGTCTTAAGTCAAGTTAAATACACAGTTTACACATTTTTTATCCTTTTATCCAAGCCATCTAGTAGCAATCCAAACCCACTCTTGGATGTATTTTCATTCATCTTTAGACCTTAAATCTGCTTACCTTGAACAAGATCAGTAACCCGAAATACCAAGCAAACAATTGATTTTGTTTACTCGATTTCGTGTTAAATTTTCAGCTCATTACTCTTTAAGAATCAATCAAGCAAGTGAACCTGATTGAAAACAAAGCGATTGATTATCTGATATTCACTAGCATGTGTATTAAGAAACGATGTTTCTGTATTTAACCAAATTCATTGCAATTCATCTTCTCGTTGGTTAATTAATTGAAAGATTTAAATTAATTCCAACTATTTAAGTTAGTTGATTAAAGAAAAGTAAACTAACCTTTTCTGATCACAATCATAGTTAATCTCATCTAAGTTTTGCATTATTCAACCTTTTTCAATGGAGAACCAGAATTTTGGTGAAAATATTAATGACAATATCACAAGGAAGGCAGTAAATTATGCAAAGCTATTTTGCCAATTTATACTCAATCATGATATGCAGATGAGTTTTGCTTTCATCTGTCATCTTACTTCGTCTTGTTCATTTGCAGAGCAAATGATTAATAATCGATTTAATTGCGAAGCAAATGATGGTTAAGACTAACTAACTTTTTCAAAAAATGATTGCATCAACATCAACATAATCCAAAATTAAATTTGCATAAAGTTTGAGCTTAAAGTTCATTAAAGTCATGATAATTGACTTAAAGGATGCCGGAATCATGAAAGAAAACAAAGTAATTGGATTAATCCTGATCTGAATAAAACTAGTTAACCGTTGATAACCACTTCCACTTTAAGTTGACAAGCATTTTAGTTGAATTTGCATGAGAATTTCAAGTAAACTCTGATTGTCTTAGAGCTACTTGATTAGAAAAGCCAATAAATTCAATTTATTCAACAAACAATTTTGTTCTTGTATGAAAATTGTTTGACAATTGACTGAACAAATAAAGCGATCCTTCCTCTGAACTTGAACTGAATCTCAATCAAAATTCAGAACAAAATTTACTTCTGATTTTGTTACTTTAGTCAATATCAAGGTTTGCAAATCATCGTTTAGACTATCGTCAGTTAATTATGAAGATTGCTTGGGAATCCAAAATCGATAATCATAAGCAAATGTAACATTGATAATTTATTGGAACCAAATTAATGTGATTAACCAGTTAATGCACAAACGTAATTTTAAACCTCCATCAATTGATTTACATGAAAATCATTTCAAGTTTAAGGTTCCAATAACTAGTCAAATGAATCAATGAACTCAAATATTTTTACAACAAACAAGTATTTAAAGTTAACAAAATTAATCGAAAAGTGTCTTTAAAACAAAGTTTGATTGCAATTTATATCCAACTGAAACTTGAGGTTATTCAATGCTTTCAGTTGTTGTACTGAATTATATTTTTAGCAAAGTCAATTAATCTCTGTAAATTACCTTCGTATTGATTGAAAACAATTGTAACTAATCTGTACAACCAAAGCCTGTTGTTTTCGTTGTTATCAAAAGTTTATTGTTGATTCTATTTTTTATTGTTATTAATAGCAGACTTTCGCATTCAATGTACTTCTGTATGCATACAATTCATTACTTATTCATCAAACGACATTAAAATGAATGAGGAATCGAAGTCTTGAGAAGCTTATACATTGTATGATGTTGTTTGATTTTTAGTCGACGATGAAGTAGAATAGATTTAAACAATTTTATCGTGAAAAATGTTGAGTTATTCCGAAGCAAAAACTGAGTTTTTAGCGAAACAAAGCTGGTCTATGAATAATTTTGGTTGCATTTTTAATCACAAAACTGAAGGAAAAAAAGTTGAATATTAACATAAGCTATTGTATTATCTGATGCAAATAAGGCCTTCAATAGCAACCAACTTTCACTGACGCTAATGCCAGACAGTTACGTTCTTGTGCACTTGAAAGGTTAAATGATCATTTAACAATCCTAATTTGCAGATTTGACTGAAAGATAGTTCAGCTTATTAGATTTGTGAGAATCTCAAACATCAATTATTATCAACTTCATCTTGATGTTACAATAGATTTTGGGTTAAAAACTGAATATTGCATTCAACCAATTTTTGGGTGAATGTTTGTCTAATGCTAAATAGATTCACCTTGAGACATCACCAAAGATCAAGCTTGTGGATTTTCATGACAAAAGTTTCTCTCGATGAAATATGAACATTAAAACTGAAATTAAATCTATTCATATGAAACTTGAGTAAATATTGAACAGAAATGAAATAGAATTGTTTCTTATTCAGAAGATTGTTGATTCTATTTAATTTCAATCATTTCCATCAGTACAATGGTACCAGAATACAAAGTAAACGGCATTTTGATAATTTGCTTGTTATGCTTGCACATAAGTGATAATAAAAAGTAAGTATTCAATTTAGCAAAAAAGTTAAACCATTTATCAGGTTTATACCAGTTTGCAGATACAGCTCCCAAACAGTTGATGCTACTGACCTCAGATCCGCAGATTGAAGATCGAGCGTTCAAATTTATGGCTCTTAGATCAACGGAAACTCATAGTTTGAATCTGTAGCATCTTATAAGAAATTCTGAAAACGGCAACAGATGATTTAATGGCAAAGCAAACAGATATCTGATATTCATATTTTCCTAGTGCCATTTATAAGTTTTTTATGACACTTATACAAATATAATAGAATTGCTTTGTCAACTCCAGCAATAGTTGATCCTTTGTTGTATTCCAAATACGAGTAAGTCACCAAAACAAAATCACGGAAACTCTCCTAATGAATTGATTGGGTTGATTCACACAAGAATGTTCAGTTCAGAATAACAGCTCAACTCTGAAATTTTGTTGAATTTCACTTGTTTAAATGTACGATGATCAATTTTTCTTTCTTGAACCAAAACGATACTAAAATCAAAACGCTGATTAAACTTAGACAAAATTTCAACTTAAGACTTCAAATTAGCAATAAGTTACTACTTTTGAGACAAATCCTGTCGTAGTCGCGGAAATTTAAATATATCATATACCATATCGTCATTTCCATTTTCTGAATAAAGTAAGTTGACATTGTTTTACTATGTGTTTTTTTACTTTTGCAAGTTAAACTAATGTTATGTTGTTTTTATGTTCTTTTTTTGTTTTGTTTTTAGATGCCAGCAAGATATAAGCGAAGCGTTAAGGCTCTCAGACCATCCTTCTATGCTTGAGAGGACATAATACGATATAATTTAGAAGAGGAAACAGAAGATAATCGTCTCCAAGAAAATGACATTGCCGATGAAGAACACGAAGATACTCGCAGCCAGGAAAGTGACATCTCCGATGAAGAGGATTTAGAGAGAGGAGAGGAGTTTTCAGACGAAGGTACGGAAATCGATGAAGAGGAAAAAAGACAATTTGCCAAAATACCTGATGCTGAGTACGATTATAAAGCCGTGGTTGGTTCTGGATATGCCTGGTAAACCAAAGACCAAAGAAAATTTCAGGCTGGAGGTGTCATGAACGGAGCAAATTAGTGGATGAACGGCTCCGGTTCCAGCAGAGATTACTCAGGACGTCTCAAAGCCTCAAGATTGTGCAAATGCTGTTCATTTTAAAAGTACTATCGTCGATTACAGGTATCGTTGGTGCGGGACGGGCTACTCGGGCGGAAATAACCAATATCGACACGGGAGAAAGTGTGTAATGGCCGTGGCTCCAGGATACGTTTGTCCCAATCATCCACCAGATTGCGAGAAGGCTGAGAAATCTGGCTATTTTCAATACAGATTCGCTTTCATAAACTTTTCACTTGCTCAATATTTCAACCTTAAATGTATCAGCTTTGTGTGTACTCGATTATATTTGAAGAACCACTAAATGTTAAATAAACTTGATTTCATATTTTTCGTTTGTGAGATTTTTTTGCTCTTTAGTTTAATGCAACCTCAATTAAAATTCAGTTGCTTCGCTTGCTTAAATTTTACCACTTACAACGAAGCTACCAAAAGTCAGAATGGCTACACAAGTGATTAACAACCTTTCAGCACTAGATACAAAAATGTATAGACATTGTGACTATTACCGTTGCATAGTCATTGGTGAAATAAGGTACCATTGAGGATTCTTCTCCGATTTCATTCGGTTCATCCTAAGATTGAGAAAAAAATAACAAAAATTAAGTACGATTACTATTAGTACTACCTGTCAAATGAAGTCGAGCTCGTTATCTCAAAGACTTGCTGATTTATAGCGAGAAGCTTTAGATCATAAAATTTTTAAAGCATTGACCTCTTGATTTGGCTAGCTATTTATTAAAAAATCAACTTATTTGTGATCATTTGATGAAATTAAGTATGTAATCAAGTTATTAAATTAAGATCAACATTTATTTTTTCATTTGCAAAATATCTATAATTTTGATTTATAATTTTTTCATGTTAAAGGTATGAATAATATATAATATATATAAGAGTATTCAATTAAATAAAATAATAATAATGATAATGATAAAGACAGTAAATCAATATGCAATAATAAGGAGAATTGGAGAGACAATAATAATATCTTGTAGAATGATATCAATTATTGTAATCCATGGAATGATTTCCGGTGATGTTTTTAAAACAATTCAAACAAACGGGAACTTTTCTCCCCTCCATTTTGATGGATTCGTTGATTGCGACTTTCTCATTATCTGAGATCTTTTTTGCATTTGAATTTCCAGATGATGGATTTACTCCTAATGGGTCATTAAAGGCATCACTTGATTCTTTGTCAGATTGCTTTTTAATTGATTGTTCTGGTAGTTTTGTTATTTCGTAGGCTACTGAGTTTTCTTGTTGAGTCGTTGTTGTTGAGGTTGGTTCATTTTCATTTAATCGATGACCAGGCAAAACCATCTTCTTCTTGATGCAACGGATACAAAAAATCAAGCCACAGGCCCAACAATGAAATCGAACATTAGACTCGGCGAAATCATAAGAACAGGTATGACATTCTTTCGAATTGCGAAGTGATTGCCAATCGAGAGCAACTGATTCCATACAAGAGACTATTTGCTTAACATAATCTTCTTCTTCATTGGTTTCCTCTTTGGTGTTCTCATGAGATTGTTTTTCAACTGGTGAAATATTTTCCGTAGAATTGTATTCTTCCTTATCTAAGGATGAACTGGACGTTTCATCGGAACCATCTTGTTCGGCGGCTTCTTTTTCAGCTGCTAAACGAGCATCATGATGAGCTTGAAGTCTCATCATGCATTCTTGCACAATTCGTAAGGGTGAATCCACTGAATCAAAAGAGTCACCAAGATATGATAATTTATTAAGCTCATCATCCCCATTGCCTTGAAATAAATCTGATGAGTTTTGTCGAGTTGTTGGTGCAGTTGCTTTCATTTTTTCCTCCTGTGCTTTAATATTCTGTGGATTATCAATGATAAGTAATGTTAATTATTACAAGATCAAGAGATGGATTACGGAAAATTCCCACAAAGATAATTAAAGATATTTACCTCTTGTAGAAACCGAATATGCTCCTCTAAACTCTGGATATGCTTGTATGTAACAGTAATGAGATCTTCATTTGATTCTCGAGGGTGTATTCCAACATCGAATCGGTTATACATGGATCTCCAAAAACGAATTACTTGTGGACAAGTGTTGACATCAAGGAAATCTAATAAATTTTTGGCTTTTTGACGTCTATAATAAAGTGGATTAACATATTCTACTTTATCAGCATCAAACAATGCCCATAAAGAAAAGGTATTTTCTTTGAGCATCCATTCAGATCGTTCTTTATCACAATTACCAATGAAGGTTCCAAATTGACAAGAGTAAACATGATCATGTAGTGTTTGCAAGAATTTCTCGTTAAATTCAAATTCAAAAGGGAATTGTTGAGTTATCTGCCAAACACAGTCAATAAATTGAGTGAAAACAGGAGCTATTTGTTTAGGGTCAGATTGCTGGATAAAACCACAACGCTGGGTAAATTTATGTCCAAAGGCTAACCATTCTTTTTCAATGAGAGCTTCAAAACCGTCAATTGTTCGATAGTAAGGGTCAAGTATTAAAGAAGCAAGTGAGCAAGTTTGTGCAGTACGATCCCAACCATCAGAACAATGAACCATCACAGAAATACCATCACGAACTGAAATTGCAATGAATAAAGCGGCATCCAAAACTGATTTGATATGTTTTAACCAGCCACTAGCTTCTAGGGCACTAAGAAAGGCATTAACTGACGGAACTTTAAGTTCACAGGCTAATGAAAAATAAAAGGCGAATATAATTAGATAAATGTGTGTTCATAAGAAATTTTTGTTAAAATACTCACCATCCATTAATTTTTGTAAGCTCGATCTCATAACATGAATATTTTCTATTGCATAAAAATGGTGTTTAATATTTCCATAATAAGTTTTATCCTCGTAACCTTTTCCGGCAGCTTTATTAGCCATAGCATTTATCTGTGTAAAAGTAAAGATTGTATATTAGAGCTGCACTAATGGATATATTGTAAGTTTAAGGATAAAATAAATAAATAATCACCATTGGGCGTGTATCAACAACGTATAAACATTTTGAACCTTGATTGGCACCAAGAATTGACCGGAGAAGTCTCTCATCGGCAGAACACCTTGTGTTATATAAACCAGGTAAGGGTTGGCTACTACGGCATATGCTAGCTCCATTATTATGGCGATAAGTTAAAACAGGTATTCGAGATTTACTACGAAAAGTGGCACTTTCTCGTAAAGTTTGCTCATTTTCATTGCATGGCACAACCAAATAACGTGGATAAGTATCACATAGAGAATAGTCAACATTAATATCTGTTATGGACCAATCTTCATTGGGAAGTCCCATTCGCATATATTCTTTTCTGATATCAAATTTATTCCATGCAATAGATTTATCATGGCCCAAATCTTCATTGAAAGCCGAATACTGGAAACAAAATAAATCATTGATACTGGTCGGTTGGGAAATTTGAATTAGGCTAACATAAATATCATGAGCATCTTTTTCCTTGGGAATAACAAAGGTAACACAACGAAAATTTTTGCAACGCAAGTGAAGCGGGGTTCCTCCAGTACATGTAGCTAATTTTTCTATGGTACCAAGATGGGAATGAAGGATCCAGCTATCACGCTTACCGTCAGTATCGGTAAAAATAAGATGAGTTGGGGTTAAAAAAAGGGTTCCTAGAACACCTCTGGCACCAGCGCCATACCGACTACTTCCAGAGTTTTGAGAGCTAAAGCGATCCAATTTACGGACACCATCAATCTAGTAAAATCAATAAAATCAAAAAAACAAGTACCAGAATTAAGCAATGGTATTACATATAAAATACATTATAGAGAGGCAAAATCATGGGAAATTTTGTATTTTTTAAGATTAAAATGGGAAGAAAATGTTTTCCATATGATGAATAAAGGAATTGATTAAAGTTAATAATTATACAACCCATAAAAAGATTTTATCTGAGGTGTTTGCATACGGGAAATTGTCTTCTTACCTTAGCTTTTTTGATATAATCCATGATAAAAACAATCTTACAAATGTAAATAAATTAAATAACAAGAAATTAACAATAAAACATTCAACAAATTGGAACCATAAGTCAATCTAATATTTTTGTTATTATCATTATTTTCACAGCAAATGCTCAATGTTTAGCTACTCTTTGGCTATTTACAGTTCAACTCAAAATTCGCGGCTTTTTTTAATTTAACTGTAATTTTGCATTGAGTTATTTTATTTAAAGTAAACAATGTTTGACAAACACGTTGAAATTTTTTTCAAAACTCTAGTTAAATTAATGATGCATTGCATCAAGCTTTCAGCTTCAACCTCATGTAAACTAATTTTCATGTAGATTACATGTTATTTTCACTAATTTTGAGGTAAATGTTACTTTCAAAAATTATTTAAAATCCTTGAATTTATTGTTTTCTTACATTTTACCCTTTCTATTTCTAGTTACGTGATCCAATTCATTAAAATGGGGACAACATGAACACATGATCAGCATATCCAAGCCAAATCTTCTTACCTGATGGCTAGTGAAGCATTACAACGTTAAAGATTCAACTTTACTCCAGCCAATGTCAATTTTGGCTTTCATCAATGACATTCTACATTTTGATTTAAACTCTGAACATCGCTGTAACAAGATTAACCTTCAATTTTGGATTTCATTGAAAAGCTCTTCAACTGTTGAGCTCAAGCTAAAGATACATCTTCTATGCTTCACCTGTTGAATATCAAACATCTCTCAGGATTCACCAAGAGCTGTCCACTCCAAACATATTTCATATCTACGCATAAAAAGCAAATTTATTGAAGTATTCGTTTAAGAAGCTGGTAAATGCTTTTTGTCTGACTATCTAACTCTAATATGTCAAAAGTCGAAAGTCACTGTCGTTTGGTTTGTGAATACAAAATGGTTTCGCATTAACCTGGAAATCAATGGACTTGTTATGAGAAGACCCAAAGCTTATAGTGTTGTGAGAGTCAAGCAATAAGGAATGAGAAACGAGTTTCAAGGAACATAGCTTGCCTCAGATTAGAGTTAAATTTCAATGGAATTCTGAATAAGCTTTGATTAATTTGACTGTCTGGATTCACCAGAAAACAGTTTTCGTGTGTTGGAAAATTAAAAGAGAAACTTTCCCCATAATTTTGATAGGCACTGTACCTGCGAATGGAACAAACAAAAGTACTTACAATGTTTACATCTGCCTTCAACATTCAAGACAATCTAGTTTATCATGTTTCTGGTGTTAGTAATTCAGTTAATTCTAGGTTCACTCTTATCAGCGAAACTCATTAATCAGCATTTTCTTAGTTTTATGACATTATAATGCATTTACTTTAGTCATTTTATTTGCAAATAACGCAGCAATCAGCCAATTTTTTTATTTACCATTTGTTTCTAATTAGTCTCATAATTGTTTATTCATTTTTCTACCATTTCTTTTTATAAAAATCTCTTATTTACGTGTAACATTGGTGCATTCAATCGGTTCAACTTATACTGAATTCACTGAAAAAACCGATCAGAAAGGTAATCTCTTAATACAGATAAATCATTTTCATATCAATAATTTTTTCTCTCACTTTTATTTTATTTTTTTTCTTTGCATAATTTATACAGAATCTAAAAGTTAATGGTCTAATCCACCCTGGATTACAGTCAGGATCACCTTTAAAAGCTACAATTAAACCTTATCAATCTTTCAGATACCAAACAGAACAGTAATAAAACATGGTAAAAGAGCCAATTAAAGACTTAATATTTAACAAATATCAGAGCATCTTGAAGAGTGCATAATTGGTGTCATTTCCAGGAGCAATGCTAATTCCTTCACAAGACAAAGAATCTTCCAGAATCCATAAGTCATCTATTCCAAGCAATCCACACCAAGTTGAACAAAATGAAGACGCAAAAACTGAAGCTCTATGATGGATGAAGAAACAGATTCACATTGATAGAGTCAATAAATCTGCAAATTTTTTCGCAATTTTTCATCTCATTTCTTTCTCATTTGTCCTTGCTTTTTTACAACATTATCATTATCATTCTGATATATTTATATCATGCTATATTATAATTTATAAACATAATATCAAGAAAGTCTCACATTTTCCTCCCCTTTTGCCTTACTAATAAAACATGGTAAAAAATGATACAGTAAAATGACTGACTGACGAATGAATCTCTGCTTATCTTGAATAAACTCCCCTAAACTCTCATTTCCCTTTTCTCTCTCTCTTTCTCCCACCTTGCACATCTTAATGAATTATAATTATTATTACAATCAAATCAGTGATCATGTTAGAAGCCTTTTGACCCTTTAGCATTTAACACCCAAGTTCTCAGCCTAAATAAACAAATCTATTCCTTTCTAATGCTTCTCTTTCCTTGTGCTTACATTATCAGTTACGGAACTAGAAACATAAAAACATGGTATTTCAAGGAATCTAAACCTGAATACAAATCATAATCATTATCCTAACCGAAAATATATCTTTATATTACTGTTTCCCCATAATCTTCAATCTCTTTCTCTTCTCCCACTATCTTTCCTCTCCCACTTTTGTAAAGGTATTATGATGATGAGGGAGGCTTTTATTTCCTCAATATTTACACAATTCACAAATAATTCACTTAACTCCACCGAGGAATTGTTGATTGTTTGCAAAAAATTATTTATAAAGTTACTTTAAAGTCAACACATTCACTTCACACCGACAACTCATACCTCCATTCAACTTGTAAATCATATTTTGTCTTGTTACCTTGTTGCCTTCCTCTTCAACAAACATCCATGGTAAATTCAAGTCACAACCCTGGGTTAACTTCAACATTCAACTGATTTCATCCATTGCCTGTGTAATGATACATTTTTGTTGCGCTTCTGGATTGGGTTCAACTGTTAACTACGACTTCCCAAAATCATGCCATTTACTCACCTTTTAGAAGAGTTTCCCTTTCGTTTCTCTCTTTGGTCATCATCATGAAGAGAGCTTATCCGTAGACAGTATTTAATCGTTTCCACTGTCATGGAGTTGCTCTCTTTCTGGTCTGACCTTTACATCACCTTATTGACTCAAAGAGGTATGTAAATGACTATTCAAATGATTACGGTGCTAAGTATCGTTTATTTTTATATGCTTTTCACCATAAGATGAAAGTGATTTTTTAAACAGTGAAAGTTGAGTGACAATCACTTTCAACCATGAATCTTTATGATTTTCAGTTGAATTATTGCTTTGCCAGTCTAACCTTCGAGGTAACAAGTGCAGAACGCAAAAATCTAAATTCAATAACATTAATCAATCTGGTTTTGTTTATCAATTTCGTACAATGCTCATTGAAGGTGTTGCCACAACATTGAATTTATAGCAACACAAAAGAGAAAGAAATGAATGTTGGTTGAAATGACACAATTCAGATTGAATTTATTGAATGGGAAATGAAAATGTTGAAATAACACCCATAATTGATTAAAATTTTTCAAAAAAGCAATTTATTCACTTTATAAAATATTGAATCATTTAATATAAACGTTTAACTTATTTAAACAAAAGTCGCCTTCAAAAATATCCAATTCTTTGAGTGGAAAAGTGAATCTATTCAATAATTGAACTACAAATGCTGACATTTGATTGTTCATTGCATTTAACTTTTCATATTAATTAAGTCTTTGAATTGTAGGATTCGGTATTGATCAAAACTTGTCACTCAACTCCTCAGTATGGTTAAACAGTTGTAAGAATTAACAAAATTTGAAATGTTTGTCTCCAATTAAAACCTACATTCTGGTTATAAATTGATTATCCTGAAAGGTGGATCTTTGGTAAAAAATCAAAGCAAGAAATAATCAAATCAACCTTGACTGTCAACAATTTAACAACACCAAGTCTTACAAATTCACAACAATACTAAAGGTTTAAAATTGGTGATGTTTTAATTGTGATATTTAACCTAATTTTTATCCTTTTTTTCTAGATTCAAAAAATAATCTGAGAAAACAAAATCTTGTCTTTATGTTTACAAAATTATCAAGATTCATTAACAATCAATCAAGTACGTTGAATATACAGTAAAAAATCGAAACAATTGAGCACAGGTTTGTTTTTTGCTGGTTGATATTTGAAATAAGTACAAAAATGGAACGTATTACAAATGAAAAATGAAATAAACAATCAAAATGTAATGAAAACAACAACGACAACAACAACAAGCATGATAACAGCAAGTTTACCGTTCCAATTAAAGGTGTGGTTAAATTGATTGAGGTCAAGGAGCAGGAGATGGATGAAAGTTAATGGCTAACAAATTGTGACTAGTTTTTTTGGAGCTATTTCTTTTGTTATGAAATTCAATGTGTTTACAACCATATTGCATCCAATAGACTTTGATAAAAAAAATAACAATTTCCATGACAAATTGAAACAATCTCAAGTTGACGGTGTTTTCAAGCATTGCCATTCATCTTACGATATATGCCTCAACACTCGACTCTTTTAATCCACCATCAAAGATTAATTCATAACCTAAAGTACGGATATTTCAGTAGTTCAGTTTTATCTAATCAACTACTCTTTTAAACTATTCAGATAACTGGATAACTTTGAATAGCTGGTAAACGTGTATGTAAATCAAGTTACTTAACATACACTTAAATTGCTGTTAAATTGTTGATGTTATCTTGTGTTTCTTTTCCCTTTTGATTGTTACCAACATTTTTCATTTGTTGTCATAACAAAATTTTTACAATTAATTTAGTTGCTGTGATTATCCAACTGGTCACAATTCAACGGGTAAGGCAAGTTTAACAACAACATCTCTTGTAAATTGTGACAACACCGTAAAAGGGAAGGAAAGCAACGGCAACGCTGACAAACAAGGTTCCAGCGCAAAATATTAAAGATCCTAAGACGGGTGCGAGAAATAATTTACTGGCAAAAACGGCTCCACGAATGGCCTTTCTTTGGATTGGACTTTCCTTCTTGTAACGATATTTACAGCCAAATATGCTGAACTTTGAATAATGATCGCCAAAAAATTTCAACCGACGAAGAGGTTCACCACATCGATAGCAAAATCCAGTTTTACATCTGTTACAATGCATATGATCACAGCCTCCACTTTTTTGGATAAAAGTCTGTTGGAAAAAGATAAAAGAAAAGGAATTAAAATTTGAAATTTAAAAGTAAAGGTTAATTTGATAATTATTTTTGGGTATTTTATTTTTTGGGTGTTAATTGTTTATTAAAACAAGTGGCATAAATGTCCATGAGAGGAAACATGAAATACTAAGGTAAATACGGAAATGTATAGTTCCTTGTCTGGATTTAACAGCCAATCTAAAATTACCTATTCAAGATAACCTTGATTATTGATGATTGATTGTTGTTAATGAATGTTTCGGTTTCTATCAATATTAAACTTGATTACTTTGTACTCGATTACACTTAAAGGTTATTGGAGATCAATTTATTCAACTTTTTGAAAAGCTGTTACAAGGATAAGTTGGACGATGACTGAAGAGCAAAATCAACTTTAAATCAACTTGTAATATTAGACAAGGACTTATTACGCCATTGGATTACCTTGCATTTTGGACATCGTTGAGCATTTAGTTGACCTTGACTTAGCTGCTTAGCCCAAACTTTGAGAAGACGATCACCTTGTCGATATTGTCCACAGGTTAATCCTTGGTGCCAAGGAGCATGGCACAAGAAACACCAATAATATTGACATTCATCACATTTTACTCTGAAAGTGAAAAGAGAAAAATAATTCATTAAAATCTTTATCTTGTTTACTGTCAAGTTGAACATAAAAAATGACCAACAGAAGCGATTGGTTTTTCCAGAAACAAAACAAGTCAATGACCATTGTCCTAAACACTATGGCAATGTAATTAGGCAACAATTGAGTAAATTTACCATTTAGTCGCTAAAATAATATAACCTTGTATTAACCATCAAGTAATTGGCAAGTAAATTGTTGAGTAAATTATGTAACAATTTGATGGTCAATTAGATGTGAAGAAGCAACAATAAGATGATAAAAATTGTGCTATTTATGAATCTGATTTCTGGTTAGCTTATGAAATGGTTTTATATGTATCAAGGTATCTTGAGATTCTTGAAACTGATTTACATTTGCAAGGAAGAGGAAGTAAGATGTAATTTATTAATAAATAAGGAAGAGATGTGAAAGTGGAAAGTAAGGTTAAGCTATTAATTAGTATCATTAGCTTTTTGTTTTTGTCTTTACCTTGATTAAGATTTAAAGATTGAAGGAGTTGCAATTTAAAGGTAATTCATTAACAATTAAATTTTGTTTCAAATAATAAAGGAAGTTGGAAAAAAGATCATCAAAATGGTCAATGTTGAGGAGCATCACTAAAATAAAGATTAGGTCAAGGTAAATGAGCAAACAAGTTATTGAAGGTTACTTATTCATTGAACAAAAATATACTCAGATATGAAACTCGTACGAGGTAATCAGCAATTCATGAAGAATCGTGAATAAAATATCAAAGGTAAAATAAAATTGAGAAAACTGGGAAAATAAAAGAACCAGAATCAAACCATTATCACTCTTAATGAACAATAATTTTGCTCATTTTTTCGATCATTTTATTCCATTGCTTCGTTGATAGTGATTCTAATTGTTAGGTAACAATAGACAGTTAATGAGGAATTGATTGTTATTAGACTAAAAATGGCTGAAAATTGTATTGAAAATTTAGCTCAAACTGATCGCTGACAATCTGATGAAGGACAGTCATTAATTGGTCAGAAAAATTGATTGCAACCCTTCGAGTTAATTGGCTTTGGTAAATTAGGAAAACACGATTAACTAATCAAGATAAATTGTTTGGCTAGACATTTTTTTACTTTAATGATGAATCAATTTATTGACAATTATTTTACCTTGAAAATGATCAGCAGTAAAATGTAGCAAAACAGACAAATTATCATAGAAACTTGTTTTCATGAATTATTTATTCATGATATAATATCGATAACAACCAATGAAATGAATCACTTATTGTTTTGTGCAAATGATGATACAATTTAATGAATCCTTTTTCATGATTCAATCCATTTCTTGGACTCTTGCATTATTTGGGTTTTCATGGTTAGTTAATCTAGTTTTCATTTGGAGGTAAAGGTTTGTTTAGGAACAATTAAGCAATTTCATTAGATTTGGAAAACAATTTGAGGCAATCAAATGGGACGAGATGAAGGGTTACAAATTGTGATTAAAATACGGTTAAATCAATTAAGGAAACTTGTAAAACAAAAGTAAGTAAAGCTGGAAAAAATAAACGCAAATGTTTCGAAGTGAGTATTTTTAAAATGCTTAATCTGGTTCACAGAATCAAAATCACAATCAACTAACTTTCCTTATTGAACTTAATTCAATTGTAGCTTTGCCTTTTTTATGCTTTCACCACTAATTCAAATAATGAATGATTAGCTTTTTTGAAAAAAAGATGATTTTTTTAAGTTTAATTCAATCCTTCTCTTCATTAACAATTTGCTGTCTTAATTGATTTTTACCAGAAAAACTCTTTTGGTTTGAGATAGATTCTGGTTTGTCTTGGTAATTATTTAGGTTTGGTTGTCAGTGGGTTACTGGGTTTTCTGGGTTTGAATCGCTATCACTAATTGCTCCATTCGCTCTGGCGTTTGAGCGTTCAAGTATTTGGGTGTTAAGTTGGACAATCTAGATTAGCTAGTGTAATTGAAATATTTAGCAATTAGAGAGAAAAAGATAATTGTTTGAAATTAAGTAGAGTTGGAACTTAAATTGGAATTGAAATGTAGACATTTTTCAATTAGCAAGTAAAATGTGACACATAATTCAATCAGCAAATCATGACTGTCCATTAACTTCAAAGCAGTATAATTGCAACAATTGATTTCCTTGCACTATGGACAATCATTAATAAATCATTACTGAATTTGAATGGACTGGACTTGAGTGATTTGTAGGATCATGTGAAGGGAAATTTTGACCATCAAAGAAAAGAAATTATCTTTGCAAAGGTAAATTTGATCTAACGATTTTAAGAAAACGATTTTTAGTGGCATTTTGCGATTAAATCATCTAATCATTTCTTGGGGCAAGTTTACAGAATCAAATATGGGTAATTTGAAAGACTTGTCGTTAAACAATATTTCGATTAAAATCAAACCTTGGATATAAATATCAGCAATATAAATTGACAATTGAAAAACTGGTAAACCGATTTGCATTTAATATTACTCTGGTTTATGATTTTACAGCGGCTGTGAAATACAAGAAGTAGTCAAGGATAAAGAGCTAAAAAACGGTTGAAATTAACTAAGTTAAATCATATTAATCAGAGATAGCCATGAAAATTGATTGTGAATAAAGGAGGAAAAATTGCCAGAGAAAAAGATTGAATTGGTTATGAAATGAAAGATTGAATAACCTGGTTTAGTCAGAGGCAATGAGGGAAAGAGATTGTGATTAGTAGAAAGTGAAAACCAAGGTGAGGTGCATAATAAGGACTTTGTTTAAAAATAATCCTAAAGCAAATGTACAATGAATAAGGGTTCAGACTTAGCCAGAAGGTTGGCTTGTTAACGATAACACTTTGAAAAATATGTAAGCTGTCATGTTACTGGAGAGACTTGGAAAAGAAACGCAATAATCCAAAGAAAGGAACAATAAACATAAATTATTGGTCCCATGATAAACTTAATTTTTGTTGAAATTTCTACATTGCAGTTCCATTATATTCTTACCTTGAACTTGTAGAATCTTTTTTAACCATTTTCTTCATTGTTCTCAGTTGCTGGCTGTTTTTCAATGTATACATAGTTGAACAGGAGGGACATGTTTTAGCGAGAAGGTTACAGTTGTTTTCTTGAATGAGACGGAAATAAATATCTCTTAACTTGGAATCTAAAAGGGAAGCAATTTCCTCTGGATCAACGGGAAAATGACACTGAATGTTGATGCACTCGATTCTCATGGAGCCCATCTCAACCTGAGAGGCAAAATATTGCCGCAAACAATCGGTACAGGTGGCATAATCACAGCAAGAACGACGAGCCAAGGCTAAATTCTGGTAACAAATTTTACACTCTTCTTCAGACTCGGATCCAATGTCGAGTATTAACACTCCACCATTATCAAGTGTAACATTGCCATCAACAAATGAAGGTAAATCCGTTGAGTTTGTAGATGAGTGTGTTGATGAAAGTGGCGATGGCGGTGGTGTAATGATGGCATAAGTTTCCATTAAAATTAATTATGTACAAAACAATTAAAGGCACAGACACAGAGAAACACAGAAAGCTAAATCCAATGGAAATAGAAAAATAAAGAAAGAGAAAAAATAAAGATAGCCAAAAAAATGAAGAGACAGAAGAAACAAGAGTAACTGTTGGCTGACTGATTACCTTCTTGTTGTTTTGCCGTTGTTTTTGGATGAAAATTATGTAGCTGTAGCTGCTAATTGTTACTTGTCAACAGCTAAGATGGGATTTAGTTATCAAAGTCGGCTGTACAATTGTTAAAAATGATTGAAGTTAAGTTAAATTGTTTCTGTTCACAATTGAAAAGAGAGAACAAGTGAAACATGCATTGAGATGAAGCGGTAAACAACGAGAAACAAAAAGTAGGAGGGAAAGTGAGAAGTAAAAGGCGTTCGGCTTAGCTTTCAATGTCAACGAGTTTACTAAAAAAATCTAAGCTCACTTTCAGCCTTATTTAACCAGTCTTGAATTAATTGCTGATTAACATTTGTTCATCTAGTTACCAATTTAAACTAAATATGTAATACTTTTTGCCTCGCTCACTTCGTAAACAAACTTAATCGATAAATTTTCAGTTGTAACACATAAAACCATCATTTTTATCGTGATTATTGTCAATACAACTAATTACATTTACCTTCACTTAAACCATTAACAACACCATCATCTTATCATCAATTACATCGCAAACAAATTTTCCAATTTACTTTCATTTTTTGCACTTTTTTGTCCTTTCTTGACAATTCTATTAACTTTTTTGCTTTGATTGTCGTTCAACCAATCAACTTGCAATCAATAATGCATCTCTAACTGCCTTGGTCAATAACATTAGTGTCAATGATATCAAAAGGCTACTTTTCTAGCAAATTCTCGTTTTAGAGGAAATTTCCAGCCAATCATCATTTTAATTTCATTGTTTGTTTGCATTTTATGAACAATTTAAAAAGATAAATCAGTCAAAGTCTTTATTGTGATCAAGTCTAGATCATGATTAACCTTTAATCACCATTTAAACACAACTGGTAGCTAATCTGATATTTGATCTTTGTTTTGTAAATGTCTCTTTTTGCAAATCTATTGGTAATCTGTATTCATACAAAGCTAAATTCACAATTTATTAATTTTGACGTTTAAGGTGCAGGTTAATTATTTGTCTAAACAGATTTGTAATCAATAACAAAGTAACAAAAAAGGTAAAATTAACTATTCAAATTGAACAATTTACTGGTTTAAAGTTGATCTCAAACACTTAAGCATTCACAGCTAGACTAGTTTCACCCAAATTTTGGATGCAACAATTATTCTCACTCATAATTGGAAACTTCCTCAATTTTGCTTGGCTAATTGCTACAATTTGACCTTCAATAATTGGCGTACGTTGACATAGGTAAATAAGTGGATCAAACGAGATCAAAAATTAAGAAAAAATATAATCAACTTTATATAATTAAACTAAAAGGTTACAATGATTAGATTAAAGTGTATTAAGATCTAGGATCGATTAGTTAAAATCCATTTGATATGGGACGCTTTGTGCTTAGTGAAGATGAAGATAAGCATGAAGCGACAGTTTTACATTGACAAGCACATTCAGTGTGCGATACTACTTCAAATTGATTAACTTCTCTGGTGACTTTGCCTTTCTCCATGGTGTAGACTGCAGCCTAAAACAGAATAGAATAAAAATCAATTAATCGATGTCATTTAAATCAACTTTCAATCAAATCTTACTGAAAAATTGTAAACATGTTTTTTCACTGGTAGACAGTCAAATTGCCACGAGAAGCATGCTTGAGGACAACGTAAAACTTGCACTGATGATGGATTGTAGATTATTTCTGGTTTATTGATATTACCAAATTTGACAACAGTCATCACTGGTTTACAATCGGTGCTGCCATTATCGAAAACGTGACCTGCAGTTTCTAACGAAAGTAAAATAGAAGAGTTAAATGGATATTCACTGAGTTATGCAGATCAACATACGACATATTACTTACTCTCTAAATTAGCTTTAATTATCGCTTCATCAGCAGTAGTGTTGGTACCAATTATGACATTTTGGAATAGATTTACGGTAGTCAGTTTATTTTCCTGAGTAAAAAATGAATTAGAATTAGATGAACTCTATAAGTTTCGCTTATTACCTTAACATTTGATTTAAAGAAACTCGAGGAAAAAAAGTCAATCATTCTATTCATGGGTTCATCAGGAACATTGTACGAATGAGGAACGGTCACCTCATTTCCACTGACTGCTTGGCGTTGATAAGTATTTCGTGAGTATTCACTTCGATACTGATCTCGATCAGGTTGATAATCAGGTTGATAATTGGGTTGATAATTGGGTTGATTTTGGCGTGAATTTTGAGGCACAACTGGACGATTCCTAGGAATGTTTGGTGATACCAATGGAGCAACGGCTGATGAAAAAATTGGCCCAGCCATTGGAGCAGGTAATCGAGATGGTAGGGGCCGAAATTGAGGTGGCAATTGAGGTGGCAATTGTGGTTGCAATTGTGGCACCATCAGTGGTGGTGGTAAACTTTTATAGCTCAATGCTTGAGTAAATTCTGGGTCTGCGCCAATATTCCTTCGAACATTGGGTGAGTAACCTTGATTAATAAGTAACTGGTGGTTAAGAGGCTGACTGACTGAACGTCCATACGTCTGTGGTTTTGTGTAAAGATGTTCACTATAACCAGTGTCATTCAAAATGTACGAACGAGAATAATGCGTTTCTCCATCGGGTAAAGTTGTAATTTTATGATACCCAGAATATTGACGTGGTTCATGCTGTGGACGATAATGTTGACCATTTATAGCTGTAATGACTAGAAGATGGCACACATAAAACAATAAAAATGACAACGAATAAGTACGATTAAACATTTTAAACAGCTAATGAAATAATTAAATTATAAGTAAAACAATAAAAAAATTAATACTCTAATAAAAAAGGGAAGTTTAAACACCAGTGACCAGGAAATAATCATTTTAACCCTGGATTTCAATTTATATTTATAGAAAGAGTTTAATTTTTGCTTAAAATTGATTGGTTTAATTTGAAAATTATTTGATTAAACGTTTTTTTCTATCAAGATTACAGCAAATAGCAAAATGTTTAAATTTTTTAAGTTCGATGTATCGAATTAATTCAATATATCGAACTGCACCGGTGCTTTGTGAGTGATTCAAATTGATTGCACATGTTAATCAGCTGACTTTTTTGAATCAACTTTTTCCATGTTTTTTTGTCAAATTTTCTCCATTTTGAGTTTTAATTAAAATTCTTGTTATGTCGGCAGTTAATGGATGTGTTGCGTTTATAACTGGAGCTGCCTCTGGCCTTGGTAAAGCTACTCTAAAACATTTATTGACCAAAGGAGCTCGTGGAGTATACTGTTTTGATACTCAAGCTTTTCCTGAGGAGGTGGAAAAAAGAGACAATTTCGCCGCATATCGAGGGGATGTGAGGAGTGAAGAAAATGTTTCTGCTGCTTTGGAGGAGTGCTATAAAAAATTTGGAAAGATTGACACTGTAGTTAACTGTGCTGGTGTTTCTGTTGCTTTTCGCTTATTCAATTTTAAGAAAAACAGAGCCCATGACTTGAAAGATTTTGCCGACGTTTTTCAAGTCAATTGTCTGGGAACTTTCAATGTAAATCGCTTAGCTGCTGGTTATCTATACAAAAATACACCTGATGAAGCCAATGGATTACGAGGCTTAATTATTAATACCTCTGGTAATGCTGCTTTTGATGGACAAATTGGCCAGGTTGCTTATTCTGCCGCAGCTGGAGCAATCAATTCTATGACTTTACCTCTGGCTCGTGATCTTGGAGTTGTTGGTATTCGTTGTTTGACGATATCATGTGGATACTTTAAAACTCCTCTCTTAGCCCATCTTCCAAAGAATATCTTAGATTTTCTGGAAAATTCAACTTTGTGTCCAAAAAGATTAGGAGAGCCTACAGACTATGCAAGATTAGTGGAGGCTATAATGGATAATGAATATTTGAATGCAACAGTAATTAAGTTAGATGGTGGAATGCGTATGTTTTTGTAGATTTTTTTTCTACGCATTTAACTTTAATATTTGAATACAAGACCTGTCCAAGTCTGCATTTTCATTAGTTTTTCACTGAAATCTTTAATAACAACTGTTAGTCAAAATTGTAAATAGTAGATACAGAATAAAATGAATTTAGTATAATTCTTATTATTAAGAACACTTAATTTGTTATAAAATCCGATCATCTGAAAAACGAACTAGCTCGGGTCGATAAAATGTCCATAGCATTCATTCTCTTGAGAAAGATTCTGGATTAAAATTCAATAGTTTCCAACAAAATTCAAATGGAACCAGTAAACTATCTCGCAAATGTAATTTCATAGAAACATATTTTGTATTAAATGATTTTTCAAGCAGAAAGCATTATAATTTTCGACTCATCGATTAATTAGTATGTTAAATAACAAACTATGAATTAAAATTGAATTTGGTCGTACATTTTAGATGATAGAATTTAATTCATCAGTTTAAGGTACAAAGGATTGGTAATAATTAGTCAAGTAATTTAGTAAAAGTTGCTGATAAAATATTTTTCTGTTAACAGTGTGAAATGTGATAATAATTTGCATTAAAAGGTACCATTTAGAACATAATCAACGGTATTGTAAATAAACACTTTATCACATTTCAAAAGACTTGATAGTCAAGTGAATTTGTTTTATTCATGGATGAAAAAAACACTCTGAGATCGTTGTTTGATTGATTTCTTTAGCCGATCGGTTAAGTCTCAGCTGGACGAGGTTTGGCCATGGTCATTGTATTGCGTTCACCATGCTTTAAGCCAATCGCAAATGAATAAACCAAAGAATCAACTATTACACCTTCTTCAGCAAACTTGGCTAATCGATCAAGCAAACCATTGACAGGAACTTGAAGTACTTCAACAATTCTTCCATGAGCTGAATTTGCGTGTTCATTTTCAAATTCAGAGTTCTTAGGAGAAGGATTCTGTAATGGATCGTCACCATCAATCATCACTGAAACTAAGCTTACTTTAGCAGATGATACAACTGTAAATAGAAAAGAAAAAATGATTAGTAATTTGTACAGATTCTTATAAACAATCAGGTAAATAACGTAATTCTTGCCAACAATTCAAATTAGATGAGATTAGGATTAAAAGAAATACAGTAATCTGTATTTACACTGTCAAGCAAGTACCAGGTTTAAAGTTCGAGAATGGTAAACGCTTACGCTGTAAGTATTGGATAACAATCTGATGATAACAATTCAACAATCATGGTTATCAGTTGAATATAAAAATAGCAACTTGAATCAATGTTTAAACATTGGCAAATTGGGTTTATAAACAACTTGCATCACCTTTCATTGGCTGATTTAGACGATTATTGTCGTTCACTGTAAATAACCACTCGAGAAATCGTTAAACTTTACAATTGTAATTAGTGGAAAAAATCTGGTCAACAACGATAAATGTCTTCAATCTGTAAACAGCGAAAAATACGCAGAAACTCGATATCCTTGTCACGTACAAAATATAAATCATAAACCAATTGAAGTGAGTGTCTAGAAGTTGCCATTGAAATGTTGATTATTATCGACTGACTACTAATATTTTTCTGCGTATCGTTTATGGAAAGAAATAAATTGTTAAGATCAACAATCGAAACAATAATCCAACTCTAAACAAAGAGACAGTTTTATCAATAGACATCAGAAATGAAAAAAATGTATTTTCAGGGAAAAAAATCGACCTTGTCTAATATTGAAAGGTTTACAAACATTTAAAGATTTATCTTAAGATCATAGTCCAATCGATTCAATTCAATGTAATTAAAGATTATCTGACAAATTGTGAGTAAAATGATTATGTCCATTGGAGGGAAAAAATACCCTAAAAGATGAACAATTGAATATCAAGATTAACCAGTGTCTGGATGTTATAATTGACTTCATTTGCAATTAGAATAACGATGATTACCTTGTTGACCAACCAAGTTGGTATCAATCAATCAATGATTGATTTTTTGGGGTAAAATCAAAGATAAAAACCTCTTCAGTGGTAAAATCAAACGATACTTAAGAAATAAAGTAATCAAGAAAATTTTTGCTGGATTAACTTGATTTTTTTATTGTTTTGCTTCCAATTAAACATAACAACCTTGGTTAATCAATAATTAAAGGAGAATAAATTTTTTCAAGTTTCCATCTTCAATCACCTGATTATCAATAGAATGTTCACTCAACTTGATTCTGTATTTCCTTATTTATTAATAATTCATCTTCAAAAGTAACTCAACTCTTGGGTAATTATTATGGGTAGTTAAGTAGAGCCGGTAAGATTGAGAGAAAGTGTTGATTATGAAAATACAGAAACTGAGAATCAAGAGAAAAAATTTGTATTCTAAAAAGGTAGAACTGTTGGTAAATTTGTAATTGTAAAATTAACCTTTCATACATAAAACAGGTAAATAAGAGCTGTTTGAGTGAATTTGAGATTAATTTTGTAGGTCGACAAAGAGTTTGGTGCAAGGTTAAAGTAATTGCCAAAAAAGATGGTGAAATTAATGTTGGGTTAAGGAAGATTAGACGAAAGGGATAATTGGAGCATATTGTTGAAACAATAATCAAATCGATTTGCACTATTAACAATGAGAGTAGAAATAAAACGTTAACGTTAATTGATAATTTATCAAGATCTGACATTTCTATTTAAAAGAATACTGAAAATACTGAAAATGGACAAAAAAACAAATCGCAAGAATGATAACAAAAATGGTCAAATTAGAATGAAATAATCATATTTGATTAAAACAATCAACCCATTATTTGTTGAATGTGAATAGAACCGACTAATTATTAAGGTAAAGGGGAAGCAGAAAAGTTGGTTAGTGTGAAACAATCATTATTACACTGCCAAATTGTCAGGGTAATTAGATGATGATGATACATACCAGGATCAACTGATGTTGGAGGAGAAATGATCTTGATTGCTGTTGATGTGTATCCAGTATCGTCTTCAATTTCTTTATGTGCAGTTTCCTCGGGATCACCATTTATATCCATTACTGTAGCTGGAAATTCAAGAGTATATGATTTTAACTGAGCTCGAAATTGTTTAACCAGGATAAGGCAGTCACACATAACTCGTCTACAAAGTATGGCAATGGTAACCAAACCAGTTGAATTTTCTGTACCAGCTTTGTAGGCATTTTTAAACTTTTTCACCTTATCAACACCTTCCCAATACCTGTCTTTGCCGGCACCATCACGGTAATGGAATCGAGTTAATTGTAAAACTTTACCAGTGTATAAAGGCTCTTCATCGACTGGTTCACAGGTTCCATGGTCGAGGATCATTTCTTTGGAGATGGTTGAGGTTGATGATGTTAGGTTGGTTGAAGGCATATCTGAGTTGACAGTTGGTTGGTTTGGTGAGACTGTTATTGTACTGATTGAAACTGCTGTGTTTGGCGACTGTGGTGATTGCTGATTGTTATAAGTCAATGGTTTGGAGTCAATAGGCATTCTAAGAGAAAATTCCGCTACCGGACAGGATCTTATTGATATTGCACAGAAAGGGGAAGAAAGGGAGAAAATCAGATAATAAGATGAAGATGATAAGAGCGACGACAAAAATGTAAGGTGTGAGAGAAGAGAAGGGGATAGGAAGGGAAAGAAAGTAAATTAATATTGAATGATATAATAAAGAAAATGATGGGAAAACTAATAAAAATACAAGGTTAAAACAATGTTCAAAATCATGTTACCTTAGGAGGAGTTGATGAGAGATGATGAGAACCATAATGATCGTTATTGATCAGGCCTAGTATCCATTGGTAATTGATAAGCAAGAAAAGGGGGGAAATGGAAAGGAATGAGATAACATCTTCTTTCTTTTCTTCTGCATAACCAGCCTTTGATTTGATTAATTTTTTCATCCCATTGATGGTTAGGGGACGAAAAATGATTAGATGATCAACAGGAGTGAGCAATTTGGGTGTTTACAACGCACTTTTGCGACTTTAATCATCATTTTCCTCTGTCTTCCTTTCTCACAGTTTCTCTTTATCCAACCTATCACGTGTAATGGAAATGGATTCATTAAAGCAATCACAATAAAAATAACCATGTTAATAACAATACTTACATCAATAGTAAAGTGCCTTTTCAGTACCAATTCAAAATGATAAACAATACTTACATTACTAGAAAAAAAACCCGAAAACGACAACAAATTAAGACATGAATTGAAACAATGACATGCAAAACGATAAAACAAAAGGGGTTAATCATATATTGCGATTGTTTTCATATTCATCGTCATTAAGATAAATGAATTATTTTGTCTTCTTTTCACTAAACCACGTTTTTTCACTAGCGATTCAATGAGACAATGATTACAATGTAAAATACTGATCAGATAATGAAGGAACAACCAAAATTCTGGGATTCACTATCAATTAAACATTGGGTGCCTCATCCTTTACCAGTTCGGTTTAATTTTTCCAGTTTTACAGTGTATTGAAATTATCACATTTGGATGGTTCATTTGATGAGATGCATTATTATGGCAAATGATAGGTAATTTAAATCCGGAAGGATCAATAGGATTGTAAACAAGGTTACTTCTTATGTTGGTTAATTGAAATCATTTGGTGTGTTTTTTGTATTTTTTATCACGAGGTAATTGTCATTATGAACACGCACTCAATCAATGTTGATTGATTCGTTTTAGCCTCTTCATCTTCATCAACTTCAACAGTTGAACACTGTTCAATGCAAGGTAAAACTCAACCATCATCACCAAACATTATCAAGAACGATGATGAAGATGGGTTTGATTAAATAATCATTTACAATTCCTTTGTCTGTGTTTAACCATTTTGTTACTCCAACTCTTTATCAATGTGATCCTTTTCAAAGCTATTTATTTTGGCTGATTGTCAATTGGACGTTAAAAATTTTCCCTACAACTAAAAATACCTTTCATCCTCTGTTATACACACAATTTTTCTGATTCAATATCAGACAAAAATTGATACAACCACTTTGACTCTAACCTGTCTCATGATTTCTAGACTTTTTGTGTTGTCCGTATCCGACAATCGTTATCTTTACTACAGGTATGATTTACCTATTAAACTATCACTCACAGGTAGGTTGATTAAGCTGTGCCATTTCACGAGCTAATGAGCTGCTTTAATGAACAGCTTTTTGATTTTTCAATTTGATTAAATGTATTCTGTACCTAGAAAAGGTTGAAATTTTTGATTATGATTAGTCTTTAGCCAAATCATCTATCATATTTGATTCCTGATTATCTTTTTCTTACAAAATATCTCGAAACTATTGAATAATCATTCATATTATGTTGATTTTTCAAGATTGACCTTTTTCAAGTTCAATATTTTTCTCCATTTCTTTGATAGTCTCATTGGTTAATAGTTTAATTTTTACACTGAATAAGAATGAAATTATTTTTATTGTAAACTTGAGTTACAATTATTAATCCATTTTCAATCCATTTATAGTTAGATACTTATAATGGTTGAATTTGATCGAAATAAATTTACATAATTATTCAGAATTGTTTCTTTCTTTTATTATTGAGGTCAACTCAAAGTGAAAGGTTTTGTTTTCATTGAAAAAAATGCATAGAAATCTAATTTAATAACAACTAATTTACGAAAATTGTGATCATTTTTGGGTATCTTTTTACATAAATCCATTGAGTATCACATCTCAAGATTTTTGAATTTCATTTTACTAGTGATTTGATGATTTCTTATTAACAACAAAAAAAGGTTCAGGAAAATGCCACAAGAAGATGAGGTGAAGAAGAAGTAGACAAAATTGATGATTATGATGACGATGGGACAATTGAGCTGGTGATGGCGAGATGTGGTTGATGAAGGAAAAAATTGATTTAAAGAAGAAACAGTCACCAGTGTTGATTGTTTAACTATTTGGTTAATTCAATGAAAAGTTCATTTAGATAGATGGACCAACATTGTTAACCGAATTCTTGGCTTGGTTTGATCACTATGTGAAGTCGATTGAATTCAAAAGGCTTTTTTGTTATGAGAATTATGTTTATAATGAAAATGGTGATTATGGTGGTGATAATGATGATGGTCACGGTGGTGATTATGATTGTGTTGATGACAAGGATTGGTTATGATTGTATAATAATCAATGAAATGAGCTCGGTATTTTGACTTGTTTGACTTGTTTACGAAATTACGGAGCAAAAAAATTAAGAAAATCTTCTAGGATGAGTCTTTAGTGTGAATTGAGATCCAATCAACATACTCTGAAACTCGTGTATAAACTCCAGGTAAATTGGGTCTCGCACATCCAACACCCCATGAAACTAAGCCAATTAACACTGATTTACCATCAGATTTGAAAGTAAGTGGACTTCCAGAGTCTCCTTGGCAGGAATCTTTTCCACCTTCCTTATATCCAGCGCATAACATATTGGAATAAATAGTTTCCCTTCGTCCTACCGATTTCATCCATTGTTGGCACGTATTTGAATCAATTATTTCAACATCAACCTTTTGAAGGACTCCTAAAGACGCTGGAACTCCATAAGTGGTTCGTCCCCAGCCAGTTACGGTGGCCATTGAACCAGTAAAATTTTCTCCTTTAGCTGGAAGACAGACAGGAATTATGTGCTGCTTAAATTCAACCTCATGTGATAATTCAAGAAGAGCAATATCATTCTGATAAGTGGCGGGATTGTAATCTTCATTAACAACTTTTCGTTTAACACCAAACTCTTCATGGGTAAATTTTTCCGTTTGTCCACGAAGATTGTAATCTCCAAGGCGAAGACGTAAATTAGTTGCTGGAGTTCTGTTGATTAAGAGAAAAGCATAAAATTAGTTTTTAATAATTAACTATTCTCATCATTTCAAACCTTTATTCTTTACCAATTTATCAACCGACTTTTTCTTAAGCTAATAAGACAGCTTTTTCATGGGCTTTTCCGAGCTATCTCAAAATGCTTTTTATTTTTTGAAATTTCTTTTGATTAAACTGTCGTTCAAATTATTCATTAAAAGATAATTAAAATATGACTTTCGCTTTCATCTAGGAATTCATCCGAGATAGTTCGGGACAGCCTAATTTGATTATTATGATCATCAATTATATTTTCATAAATTGCTTCAAATCCTCATCCATCATCATCATTACATCTGATTAATGACTCAGAAAGATCAGTCATTGTTTGTCACTAATAATATTTGAACTTAATTGTTACAATAATACAATTAGCTGAATCATTAAGTGAATCAGTTAATGCTGATCTCGGTAAAGTAAATCACTGATAAATCACTTGGATCGTTGTGCATCTCAGCAGCAATAAACCTTTATTTGTTTACAAAAATAGATGGAAACCTTATCAACTTCAACCTTTTTCATTTTCTTACCTCAATTGCTATTAATAACTTTTTATTCAAAGTGTATTTTTGATTATTTTTTCCCAGATGCACCTGAATTTATTTGAAGCAGAAAATTTCAAGGTAAACTATTTTTCTTGATAAACTCAATGAATAGTTTTCATTGAATCTATCGATGTCTTTAACCATCTTACTGTTTATGGGTTTGGATTATAAACCTGATAAAATTGATATTAATTGATCGATCTAGAGATAAAATAATTAAAGAAATGATTAAATGTTAGTACTTATGAGAAGCATAAATGTTAATAACTTTTGCATCATTTTTAGGATAAAAATTAATGATGATTAAAGATGAAAATGTTGACATAAGAATGGATAGAAAAATTTTCACAAAAATCTTTCCGTAATCAATTTGAATCAATCCATGTTTAAACAGTTGCTTTTATTGACAATCGCTTAATCGGGTCGATTAATCAGCCAACTATTGAACAGTTAAGTCGAATGGAAAAGTTAATTTCGGTCATCAATTTATTACAAGTAAAGCATTTTCCATGGAAATACTGGCAATATTAATCTATTCAGATATCGATGGATGGATGGAATCATTTTGACATTTTGTTTAACCTGAATTGACTAACATGATTATCGCACGTTCATTGAAAAATTGTCAACAATTTGGCTTTTTCAAATTCAAACTAATCTTTGTGAATCACAATCATCTTGACTGATTGCATTTCAATTGGTTTTTGATACCTTTGAACAAGTTGAAACTTTTCCATTGGCACTAATCAACTTTTCAGTTCTCATTATTATCTCATCACTGATCATTGTTGGTTAGTTTTTGTTGGTATCATTACATAAATGGATTACTGGTAAAGAAGCAAAACACTGATCAACAATAAAATTAAAAGGTTGATTGACTGTTAAAAATGAAATTACCAACTACAATGAGTGAGCTTTATATGGAGATATTAGATTATGAAGCTGAAAATGTCTCAATCAACAATTGTTGATACATGGATTGAATGGCAACAACAAATGTTTAAACTATAATTTCAAGTTACAGGGTTAATAATAATATCAGCTGGTTATTTGATTTGAAGGAGATTGTCTGATTGATGGGGAAACATTGGATTCGGTAAATCACAGCTCATCTAACATTACAAATCAAAGATTTTATCAAATCGGGTTAAGTCATTTGGCTGACCAAAGCATTTAAAATAAATTTCAGGTTTTCGCCAATATTATGGGTTAATATATTTTGAGTGATACTGTGAAGGAAATTAAAAGTATATTTCTTGGTATTTCACTTTCAACTTTGTCCATGATATGGAACTTGGATTCATTTACAGACATGATGAATTGATTAGCTTTTTAGGGTTAGATCAATTCGAGATTAACTAAGGACTTGATTTTAAAATATTATAAACAGGGTTTCATTTCATCCTTTTCCCACAAATGTTTAACCTAAAATTAAACATTAACAAGACATCATAATCATTGATGGATAAATGAATTTTATAAGATGAGGTAGAAAAGTTCAAGCTTTTGATGGTTTATCACGATTATCGAGTAACAAAATAAAATGATGACAGGCTGATATTAAATGGTGATTGTCAATATCAACATGAGAGAGAAGAAATAAACAGATAAATGAATGAAAATAATAACTGATGATAGTAACAATAAACTAACAACCTAGCAATTTTTTGATGATAATATTCAAAAAATTCATTGACGTTGATTATCCATAAGGTTTCTTCAGTGCTGATAGGGTTTAGTAGGTAATAAGATTTGGTATTGAACAAACGTTGGCTCGTTAGAAGTCAACAGTTTTGATGAATGAGAAATTATTAGCTGATTGGCAATTGAATCAAGCTTACTTATAGACACAATGAGCAGCAGTGACAACCCATTTGTTGTTAATTAAAGCTCCACCACAAGATATTTTCTGGTTGAAATATTGTCTTTTAACAACGGCAGCTTGCCAAGGAACCTCACCGAAGCGAGCGTTTGCTCCACCAACAATCTTTGAATTTCGAGCATAAGTTCGACCACATTCTATAATGAGAAATCAAAATCAATGATTAGTTTACAATTGGGTTCAGTAAGGATTAGGGTTAACTGGTAAAGAGGACAAAAGAAAATTTAGAGTCTGGGAAAATCACATTTCCATAAGGATAGCTTTAAACAAATGAAACCTGCAGAGTTGATATAAGAAAGGAATCATTAACATCAATAGGTTAATGTTGATTAGCTTTTCATTTTGTGTTTTTTTTCATGCTTCCTCAAAATAAATATGCATATTTGTAGAGAAATGTAAAAACAAAGCAACAAACCTCGATTGATTGATAACATTGTTACGGTATTGTTGTTATTTAAGGCAAATAATAGATTACGGTTATTGATGGTGATATTTTTGATACTTTTGTTTCTGTATTTGTTCATGTTCAACGCTTTGTTTCACGCTATATTCATCGAGAGTTAATCATGGATGAAAACGATGTTGAAATTCATGATATTGATGATGCTATTGAGTCTGAGACTGATACACTGATGACTGCCGCTAACCTAGCCTTGGTAAAGAGGTGATGGTGGATGGAATAGTAAAAAAATTGAATCCTTGTGTGATCAATACTCACCTGGTTCAGTAATAACATTAGCTGATGATTTTTTAACATCATGCGGAACACAGCAACTCCATAGGACTCCACCACTGCACAGATCTAGAGGACGTTTACCTGACATCCAGCAGGACACTCCCAAACCACATTCAAAAGAGTCACCCTGGTAGAAGCATTGCTGTGGAAATGCTGTAAAAAGAAGAGGAAAAAAATGAGATTAGATGAAATTCATTCAACGGAAAAGCAAACATAAACAATCAAAAATGAACAACAGTCAACAAAATCAACATTTTAAAATGAATCTTTTACATTAGTTCCTTTTCCCATTTAAATCATTCAAGTTTGACAGGTAAAATGTCTGGAAATCATTGTTTCCATTGACATTAATACTTGACTTGAGTGAAGTTAATAAAGTAACAAACCTTTGAAGATTTGTTTGTTCAATTTAAAGTCAGCTAATTGTCAAGCATTTAACCTGATAATATTATATCAATTTTATGTTCAACATAACATTATATTGAGGTTTATTTCCGTAACTTACAGACTATGTTCAACTTTAAAGTAACAGATTTGTTAATTAATTTTACAAGTGCTAAAAGTCATTACATGTATTTAAAATTTATGATTAATTATGATTTAGTTTATATCTTTAGATGAAACTAGATTTAGACAGCCTAAAGTAAAATTTTGTTTCGTGAAATTGTTAACTATAAAACAGGATAGGGATTGACAATAATTTAATTTCAAGCTGAATTAGATTTAGGTTTAGATGAAAAAAAGGTTTTTTTTGTTCATCAATTTTACCTCAAAATCGTTTAATCAACAATCACAAGTATAATATACTTTTGATATAAGAGCCTATTTCATGGTTTAGTATCATGATCTTTAATATGACCAATTAATCTCAGTTGATTGTAAACCTTCCCTCGCAATTTATTATACTGCTAATGATGATTTAATGTAAGTAAGGTAGTAAAGTTTGAAAGATGTTAGATAAAATGTTGATTGAATAATTTTAATCTAACAAAATCTTTCCTTAAGAAACAATTTTATGACCAAAATATCAAAGGGTGGATGAATATGAAACTGGTGAACCAAAAACCCAATTCAATCTCAACAATCAATTCCATAACCACAATTTGTCAAGTTATGAGTAATTGCTTGTTCAAAAAATAAAAACATAACAATTAATATGATGAAAATAAGGTAAACTGGTGGAGTTAAAAATAAAAAATAATAGCAATGAGCATAAAAACGATGTAATGTGACAACTTGACAAAATTGCTTCATGACTGGATATGATTTTTCATTGAGTCTATGTTAGGCCCATAACGGATAACGGTGAAAGACACAACGAAAGAGATGAATAAATAGATAGAAACTGGAGATTGATGAAGATTCAAGATGGATGAGATTTGATGAATGCGTGTTTAGATCATCTAAGTCATCCGATATTATAAGATATGTAATATTGAAAAAGTGGTAACAGTTAGCTAATTCAGGTTGAAGGAAGAAGACGATGGATGATGGAAATGAGGATCAAGTTGGTGATATAAGGAAGAAAAGATGATGATGAACACGTTGATGATGATGATAAAGGGAAATTTGAGTGCATCTAAAAAGATGACCTTGATCGTCGGTGTAGCAGTAAAATCGATTGGAAGAAAAAAAACTCCTTTCCTTCTTCTTGTTCTTTATCATCTTCTGACCTACAGTCAGATGGTAAAAAAAAGATTAACCTTGAAACACATTGAACTGGGTGAGAGAGAAGATGACTTTTCATCGATAGTAATGAAAAGAATATTATTATTATTGTTATCATGAAACTGGCAAGTTAACAAACAATGAAAACACAAGAAAAGGATCCAAGAGAAAGTAAACCTTATCCATCTTTGAAATCTTTGACAAACACAAAATTGAATTATCAAGCACAATCATGTTCCAACCATCCACTAATCAATTGATTGTCTAATTTAAACACTGTTGATTGATTGGCATCATGGTAAGATGATTTGTTCATGTAAATCAATACAAAAACGACACATTAACAATGAATAAATGTAATCTGGTTTATAAGAAAAGACAAAGTAACACATTAGAATCTCTCTCGTCTTTTTCCCGGTAAAATCCCATTAACCCTATTGGCTGCCAGTTAACCAGAAATGGCGACTAAAATATGGTTACTTGACTCAAAGGTGAACCAATTTTTCCAATCTTTTCAACCTTATTATCTAACCGATTTTTTAACAAAAGAAACCAAATGACTCAATTGTTTCAACTTAACAACCAGAGTAAAATAAAACAGATTTAACTGTTCAGTTTTGTTGATTGATTTTTAGACCCTTTTTGAAACCATTTTTACCCAGACACAATATAATACTCATCTTGAGGACTAGGGAATCAGGAAAATCAGTAACATCAGGATCATCAAACAAATCAAAGTAACACCATCAAAATTGAAGGTAAGTAGATACAGATGAAGAGACGGAAGATATTATCTTATAGTCAATATTTCTTCAAGTTGATCCCTTAAATCATTAACTTATAGCTCTAACAACTGATTACCAGTTTTTGATTAGCTTATTGACCAAGAAACTTACTAAGATGGAAGAATCAACAAGCGAAAGAAGAAAACAAAATTAAGAAGTAAAAAAAAGGAAGGAAAAAAGGAAGGAAATCTTTTTTTTCTCTTGAAAAATAACCCTTAAGACAATTTTCCTCAACATTAGGCACTTATTATAATGGTAAGTAGTAGTAGTTGAGAAGAGATAATTCATTGATCATAAACATCTACATGTTCATCTTCATGAAGACCATCTTGATCAAGATGAAAGGAAGAAACACCAACTTATGGTTAAGTAGCTGGGTGGGTCAATAATCATTATTCACTTATGGGTCACGAGGATATCATTTTTTGTTTGCAGTTTTGCTGTTTTTGTTCATATTATCATTTAGTGACAGCATCATCATCATCATTATTATTAATTATAACAGCAATAGTTATTAATCATAAATCGTAAGTAAATGCTATGAGTAATTAACTCATTGATTGTGTTGGTAAAGTTAACAATTTGCTCGGCAGGTTTGTAACCAATTTCAAAGGTAAGATTTACAAGGTAAAATTGATTGATGAAATAATAAATGTCCAAACAAGCCGGAACGAGGTATTTACTCTGGAATGAGTAAAAAAAGATAATTTCTTATTAAATAATAACCTTCTCAGAATCGTTCTGATGACAGTAAAACTTGGATGAAATGATAAAATGAAAACAAATAAAATGGTGATAAAATTAGTATCGCTATTATTACTTTGATTATTGGAAGCCCATTCAACAAAATAATACAACTGTTATAATTGAAAAAAAGTGCCTCAAGTCGGGTTAACTAGAAATGATTAAAATCAATTTTATCCAGATAAATGTTTAAATTGATTCAAGTTATTACTATCAAGCTAAATGGGATGAAGTTGTTCAATTATTTTAGTTAATCTTGAAAATTTGAAAAGGTCAACTTATCCTGATTTAGGTAATTTCAATATTTCAACAGATTATTTAAATTTTAAATTTAATTTCACCAACATTTCACTCATAATATTGAACTACAAACGCCAACGTAAATTGTTCATCAACCGGATTAAGGCAATAATCAAGAGTAATTATGCTCTAACCTTGTCATTTTTGATTCATATTGCTCAAACAATTTAATGAGATTGTAATGAATTTAACAATTTTTGACATAATTTCAACTGGTAATGTTCATCTCAGCAACTTATTTAGATTTGGTTTGTTCAATAATTGAAGCTAAATTGTTATAATTAGATATAATCCAGTTTGTTAGGATTATAAAGAGGGTTAAATGCTTTTCAATGGCTTGTCATCATAATCAATTTACTATCCAAATGGTGAATCGTTAACAGTTGCAATTTAAATGTTATGAGTTTATGGAACGCAAGATTGAAATGATGAATAAATTATGAGAAGCTTGAACATTGATTGTTGTTAGAAGATTAATGATTAACCTTTCACTTATCACCTTAATATCATTCAACAATTAGGTTGTTTGGGTAATGGTTACGTTAGTTAACTTTAGTCTAACAGTTTCTCCGATAATTTAACAGTGTTTTTATACGAGAGCGTTTTTTATCAGATCAAGTTTACTGTGCGAGCGTAATTTATACTCTTTTTTACTATTTTTATCCGTAAATATTTAGATTGGATTTGATTGAGATTTGAGAGCAAATTAGATGTTAATCAGTCAATTGGTTTGACCAGAATCTCAAGTAAATAAGGTAACTCTTTGAGGTGTTGATCCTTGGTTAAAGAGGTTAATCAGATGGTCGATTGTTTCACCTTTAAAGGTTATTAATAAATTGTTACCAATCGACGGGACTTTCACCTCAATCAGAAAATAGAATAATTTCTGAAAATAAATACTTTTACCCCTGAAAATGAGATAAAAGTGTAAAATACAGATTAAATTTGGCAACAAAACATTAAAAATAACTGAATTCAATACTTGATAAATTGTTATAAAAAAGGTTAACCAGAAAAATGGATTGTTATCACTTGAAAAGCTTGATTTTGCCAAAAATCTCTCTGTTAAGTCAAAACATGAAATCCTGGCTAAACTCAGCGAGTTTTCAAGAAAATTTTTCCATAACATGAAAAAATGGTTTCTGAGAAAATTATGTTCTAACAGGGTGATGAGAGAAACAAAATAAAGGGTTTAAAGGTGCAAAAATGCGTTCGATTGCATTTAGTGAACCAGATTTTGTTTTTCATTTTAGTTTTTCTTATTTTGACGGATTTTTCATCAATAATTTAAGTGTTTTAAATGTGGATTGAATACATTGTACTCAGTGAAATGAATTTTCATTCATGAGGTCGCAATAATGAGGAATTAAAAAGTAATTATTGTTAATAGTAAAGCTATTAATAGCTATTAAGCAAAGGTATTAAGTTTTAACCATTAAATGGTTAAATGACAGAACTAATTGTGTCAACATTGTAAATATAACGAAATGAAACATTATGATGACAAGAGAAACCAATAATTTATGAAATCAACTCTTTACTAACCAAGTATCCATTGAAAGCTGTAAAATTAGGACTAAATCATTAAACTGTTGATTGTAAATTGTGATTAACATGAAAAACAAATATCACAACCAAGAGCCCCTTAAGGAACAGAAAAAAATGCAATACTTTTCAGCATTATTTCAATGAGAAATTGAAAAATTATCAAATCAACATTTGTTTCTCAGAAAATAATTAAAGGATCCTGATAAAGTTAATTGTGTCCATTTTTGATTCATTTAAGAGCAATTAAAATGAAAAACTAAAATGGTTTAGTTTGACACATTTGATTGGGAAAAGTTAACCACAATTTATCAAGATTAATCCTTGTTTAAACAAAAACTATGTAAATCGGAAATTGAAGTTAACGATAATAAAGATCAAGAGTTGAACAGTTGAAGGTTTGATTAAAAAGAGAAGAGAAATTGAATGAAACTGATTAAACGGATGAAGAGATTAAATGATGAAAAGATCATGTAATCCAAGTGATTCAATCATTACGAGCAAAAAGTAACCTTTGAGGTTGGGTGAAAACAGGGTTACCATTCTGGTTACATTGTTGACTGCCATTGGGTTTACTGGTTTTGTTGACTTCATTTTGATTGTGAATGTTAATCAACAGTTTTAATCTTTCAATATTTAATATTCAATCTGTTTCATGAATCAACCTTAATTGATAACAATCAAATTGTGTCTCATGGATGTTCCAATTGACTTTACTGATTGCCAGTGCAAATGGGATGACAATTGTTGGGTTCAGGGACGAGGAACCAGTAAAGCTGTTCGTGGTTGTCGAGCTCATTTTGATGTCCATTTGATTGATAAAAGTCAACTGATTAACCTAACAGTTGAAATCAAAGGACCTGAGAATACAATTTGCTTTGAAAAGATTAAACAATCTGCAAATGAATCGCACCCATTAAGAGGATCCAATTTTAAAGGTTCACCTTTCCAACTTGGTGGACCTAAAGGCGATTCAAAAGGTGATTCAACGTTAATTCCAATGTGGTATTCAACGATTCCAGGTAAAATATCAATTTATTACATTCCATTGGTTATTGGGATTCATAAAATACGCTTATTTAATAGATATGCACAAATACGTGGAAGTCCCTTTGCAGTGAATGTCCAACAAGATGACAATTTCAACGAATTGACCAAAACCAACAAACCAACCAACTGTTCATTGGCGAGATCAGTTACTTTCTGTGAAACCGTTTCCAACATAACACCTAAAATGAGCGACAATCAAGTGCAAATCGTTGCCACATTGGACAAGAATCATCTCTCATTGCCGACTTCATCTTCCATTGAAATACGAAGATCCAAATCGAGTGAATTGTTAACATCAAAATCACCAGTTGAAACGATTGACACTTGGGATCGTCCAAGTGTTTCAGGTACTGAAGCTAATCTCTTCAAGACAAGTGAAGATGATATTTCAATGTCATCTTCATCTTCGTCTCTAACTGATTCCAAGGTGGATGAGGAGGAAGACGATGCAGGTGATGAAGAAGATGAAGATGAAGATGATTTAATGTTGAGTGATTATTTGAAAGGCTGTTCAAAATGTTTTCACAACTTGCATCAACCAGACTCAAATGATTTGCTTTTAACTGAAAGTGATCTCTTGATTAAAGCAATGGACCAACGATATCAGGAGGAACATTTCAAGGAACATTCATTTCGGGTTAAATCGCTCATCGAGTATTGGAACAAAATGTCGATTCCCTGTTCCCCTGAACAAAAATGTAACTCTTGTGCAAAAGCTGAAAACGAGTGAAATAAAAGCTTCTCAAAATAACATCTTTTATACATTATTTGACCAGAAATTGGATCGAGAAAATATCAAAATTGATTTCATTGAGTTAATGATGGAAATGAATCTTCAATAAATAAATTATTTCAGTATTTTATTACAATTTAGATTAATTAAATGGTTTCAATCTAGATTCTTGAAGTGGGTCAATGTTTGGTCTAATGAAATGCTTATTGACTTAAATGATAGTTGAAAAGGATTTGATGATTTTGGCAAAAGTTAAATGTTTTATTCACTTTTCTGGTTCATTTACAATATTGAACAATTAAACATAATCGTTGCCTTGATATTAAACTGGTTGCTAATTGTATCTAATTAATCTATTTTTTTACTCATGTTGCTATTTAATTTGGCCAAAGTCAACAGTTTTCTTCATTTAACTTTTCTCTTCAGTTGATTTATCAAATTTAAGGGTTTGTTAATTGTTCACTTTTGGTGATTAGCTAATTTTGCTGTGTTTTGTTTACCATTATCATGATGAAATTATGGAATCAATGATTAAATGAACAATCAAATGTCTTGGAAACTTGATAAACTTGTTTAACTTGAATTGAGATCATTTCAATTTGCGTTTCATATTTGTGTATCATCATTGAAATGACATGTTATTAGTTATGAGATGACCATAATCAACTTTAATTGCTATTAAAATATTTAATTAATAAAAGAAGCAAATTAAAAAATTGATACTCTCTTCATCTGGTATTTAAGTTTGACTAATTATGAGAAGTGATAATTGACAAAGAACAGTTAATTAATTATTTAACTTCAATTGAGTGTCAACATTAAGTGTGAACATTTGATTGGGAAAAGTTAAAACCAAATGAAACATTTCTGGTTATCACAATTTCATCGTGATTTGATTGTGATACTCAAATGATTATTGTTCTGGTTTAAAAATCTATTAATATCATTGGAATCATGAACAACTGATGACGGTTAAAATGGGAAACTAAATTGTGAATTTAAATTGTCAATTAAGTCTGTAAAGGTAAAATGTGAATCAGGTTAGGACGGTTGATGAGGCAAAAGGAAACCCTGGTTTGAATGTTAAATGAATTTGAATTGGATTTAAACAGATTTCCAAATATAATGGTTGACATCAAATTAAATGATTTAAATTTTGCTAACTGAATAAAATTGGCTTTGAAAGTGATTAACTTTCAGGGTAAAAAAGGTAATAATTTCAATCATATTTGGGTATAAATATGATTACAGAAGTCAACCTTTATGGAAAAGGTTAAGACATGGTTTGGATGTTAAAGATTGAGATTGATTCTTGTGATGAATTTCAACAATTAACGTAAAAAATTGCGATTGTTTTTGTCAATTGTTTCGCTTTTGATTGAATTTTTGGTAACATCAAATATTGAAAGTAAACTATTATTGGTGAGATTGAATGTTGAGCAAAAAAAGGTTATTAAGTCAAGTTCAATTAGATTGGCAATGAATTATTATCAGTTGAAACAGTTTTCATGGTTGAGTTGATTGAAATGATGATGAAGACAAACAAGATTTACAATCAACAGATAATCAATCAATTGTCTACCAATAATGATGGGCAATCGGATGGGAATAATGTCACACAGTAACATACAATTTAACAGTTACAAACTACTTTTCAATCAGAGTGAAACAAATTACTTTTCAATTGACAATTGGCAAGAGATGAACAATCAACCCAATAATTGATATCGATACTAATAATGGGTTAACACTTGAAACAAAAATGTGGCAAAAATGAAAGTTAACCCAAAATGGCATTTCATGAAACCCACAAGTTCAATGTAAAAGTAAAGCTAAAGGTGAAAGTTGGACATAAGTGACAGTCTTTTTTTCACATCGACATTGTACCAAAAAAAAGTGTATTTAAATCGTGGGAAAATCGTTGACCTCTAACTTGACCTGATGAAAGTAAACTTTGAAATACAATAAGAAGGTGCAAGGAAAAGCGTCAATATCATATAACCAATTACACATTAACCAGTGACCTTTTCGGGTAACCTTTTACCTAAAAATAGCTTGATGAAGAAGAGAAAAGATGAAAAGAGAAAACAGGAAAATAATATTTTTATATTCGCCAAATGAATGAGATTCAACCTTCATCTTGTTAGGTCAGTTGATTCAATTTCAGGTAACCTCGAATAATGATGATGGAGAGATGATAAAAGAGAGTCAAGTAAAAGGTAACAAGCTTTTCATCTTTTGGCTTCTTCTTATTCTCGTTTTTACCTTTCATTCAATAGGACAACAAACTTTCACCTAAATAGTTTTGGTCCTGCAAAAAGGGAAACAAGGTCACTTTAAATAGCCATTTGCGTTGTTAACGCAACTGTTCATCATCACCATCTTGTTCGTCTTTTTGTTTGATTTACATTTTTATCAGGCAACAAACTTGACTAGCAAAGATGTCATTTGGTTTAATTGTAACACTCACACAGGTCACTTTCAGCATCTTTCTAATCTAATTATACTTGAGGGTCAATTTTAATCATCATCAACATAATCAATATCATTAACATCATCAGATGAGTATAACCTAAAGATAGACTGAAATTGCTATGAAATTAACTTTTCGTTTTCTCTCATTAATGTAACTAAAGTAATGAATATTACATTTTTAAAGATATCATGATTAGTTTACATGAAAGGGCTAAATGTTTGTATCGACCTGAATCAATTGTATTATCGGGTGATCTCAATTGATGATGAATCATTTGAAACTGTTTAAATGATCACAATCACAATCCCACTAATGGTTAACCGTAAATTAGTCTCTTCACAGTTTTCCTTTTTCATTTTTCCTTTGATTGATTGAGGTAATTAGAAATCATTAATGATTATCACTGAATTCATATTATTTAGATACACACAAAAGTGATTAAAAGCGACACACATTAAGGTTTTAACGGCTTGTGGACACTTGCAATGTTGATTGTAAAGGAGAAATGATAATTTTAAAAGATAACTCTCTGGTTGACCAGAATTGGGTTGGAAAAATGGTTGACAGTTGACAATTGGTTTAATTGTTGATTGTTATGCTGATTAAGGTAAAAAAAGGAGAGGATAGAAAAGGTTAAGATGTTATGCTTACATAAAACGTATCGAGCAATGTTGAGGATACTCCATAGAGTTGATATTTGCTTTTGATCATCATCAACCTTATCAGGTCCAGTTAATTGTGACAATTTACCTAACCAAAATTTCCAGTCTGCCAATTTATTTGTGGTTGAATTAAAAGCAGAGGAAAAGGTTGAAGAGGAGGAAGAAAAGGTTGATGAAGATGATGTATCCTTAAAGTAACGGCTTGAAAAGGGTCGTATTAGGTTGACTTGGTCAAGAGAAGTGAAGATCAATAACACTGTGACTAGTAGCACTCTTTTAACAATTAACATCCTATCTTGGGGGAAAACTGTTTGAAATCATGGGCGTCATTCGGAGCGATGAAGACTTGGAATTAAATTAAATTAACAGTCGAAACATTTAACAGTTAAAGTTAAACAATTAAGAAGTACGAATTGGTATAAAAAAAGCAAAAGAAAGAAAACTTTGGAAAATAAAGAAAGACAAGAGACTGGAAAAGTGTGATTGGTTAAAAACAAAAGCAAACTGGTAAAGAAGGTTAAGTGAGGGAAATTTAAATTTGATTAGCAATGTTGGTGAATGGCAATTATCGGGTTTTGATGGGAAAAGTAAGCCAAATAATGGATGACAATCGGCAGATAGAATGTAAAAAAATGGTTAAAAATTGACTTTATAAAATGATGATATAGAGACAATAAGGTTTGATAAAGGTAAGGATAGAGATGATCGGTTGATACAAAACAGCATGATGATGATCAACACACACTAAAAGATGAGAGTGAGTGAGATAAATATTGAGGTAAACACAATACTTGGAGAGTTCATGATGAGCGAAGGAGATGATGATGAGGATGATGAAGGAGGGAAAAACACAGTTGAGAACGGGCTAAAGTTTAAGCCAATAATGATGCCTGATTTAGACTTTGGTTGCTGTATTTGTTGAAGTTGCTGGAGTTGCTGTAGTTGCTCAAGTTGCTTTAGTAACTGTAGTTGTTGGAGTTGATGATGATGATGATGATGATGAATCGAGAGAGGGAGAAGATGACCGGGACAGGATGAGTAAAGAAACAGGTAAGAATGAGGTTAGTACGCTCAATGGCGCGAGGTTAGCTTTTTTTGTCTTGTTTGTGTTGCTGTTTGTGCCCAATGTTGTTCAATCTTGTTGCTGATATGCGTATTAACGTTTTCAAGGAAGATGAAGATGAAGAGGAAGATGATCATGATGATGATGTACCTCAATTTAAGCTCACGTACTCGTTTTTTGGCCTTACTTTAACTTTAAGCTGAAAGTGATCTGTAAAAGCTATTATCATCTCATTCACTCCAATTATTTTTACATCTTCACCATCTTTTGCTTCACGGAATTGAGCAAATAATATGTAATTTTACATTTTTTTCATCAACTTAATCATCGACTTTTGTCTCTTCTCGATTTCCAAACAATTTATTAATCAATAATGGTTAATGTAATGAAAGATTTACATCTTGAAACGGTTATTCTGAGCAGCGATTTACAGGCAAGATTAAAGCAAGTTCACCTGGAATATGTTTATTTTTATCATTCATCTATTTGTTTGTTCATCTCTTTTTTTCATTCCATTTTTTAAGTGTCAACAGTTTTATGCAAATATCAATTAGTTTGATTGTTTATCAATAAGGATTAATCAAAATTTTCAACTAACCGAATCAAGTAATTGGTATTGATATCAATTATTGATTTATTAACTTGTATTACAACCAACATTTCAAGCTCCAGTGAATCTTTATTTTCACTGTTAACCCTCAATTGTTGATGCAATTACATTTACATTGAAGTTGTGATTTTTTTACCTTCATAAATTATGGCAATAAAGATTCACCTAATTGGTTAAAACAAAAATGTAATCACAATTTAAACAGTTGATTGAATCTCATTGTTGGCCCATTTTTTATCCATCAATGGTTATCATGTTCAGCTTTGAATTAAACCTTTTCTTCCAATATTATTCACACTTTAGTCTAGTTGTTTATCAATTAGTTTACAATAATAGCTGTTGAAATGTTTGCATGGAAACAAATCAAAGTTGTTTCAAATTTGAATTTCTGAATGAAACAATGTGGAGATGAAGATGATTGCAAAGAGTCAAAGGAAGACCAGAAAATGGTAGGAAAAATGAAGAAGCAATAATATTGATGATGATGATAGTAGAGTTGGTTCAAGTGATTGAGAAGATGGTTAATGTACATTATTCAAGGCGTGTTAAGGCGGAAGTTTCCTTAATTTTGGAGACATTATCAACAACAAAGATGATAATGATTTAAACTATGCCATTCTATTTTTTTTTGTATTCACTTCTATTCAAAGTCAAGGGTGTGCTAATTTGAGTTGTGAAAGATAAACAACAGCATCATCAGTAATAATAATCACAATCATCAGCATAATAATGGTTGTAATAATAAACTAACTGGTGAAAACTTATGGCCAAATTTGAGCAAAGTATTCACTCACATATATTAACACTCAAATTATTATCATCACTGTTTGTTATTACATCTATAAATATACTGATGAACGTCTTCAAGGTCACTGAATGCTCAATGAATCAAAATTTAGGTTTCTGGGCTTGAAATTGTAATTATCAAGAAAGTGCTTGATAGTAGTGACATAGTGAAATTACAAGTTATCCAGTTAAGGTGCAAAATTAACATCACAGAATCACGATACACGCTAACGCTGTTGTCTTTGTTAAATTTTGTTACTTCATGAATAATAATTCAGACTGAATTTAATCCTCGAACTGAATATCCAAATAACTAAGCGAGAACGATTTTCTACATCAAGAATCAAGCATTGAAATCCTATTAGATTTTGATCAGCTTATAAGTCTCCTATCTTTTGCTGGTCATCCAATAATCCTTTGCAATAAATCAAACTCAAAACAGGCCATAAACTTGTTGTCATTGTGGTATACAAGCTTGATGAAGTCCTCTCAATCCCATAAACCGGTCAAATCTTTATTCCTTGTCCAAAAAATGTCCGTTGGTCAAACCATTTGCAAATTAATCCTGAGAACTGAAAGAAATGAAAATAACAATTACTTTCTACCTTTAAATGTAATTAGTATCTGTTTTAAATGTTTGAAATTTAAACTTACCAAATTAAAATTTGACTCTTCATGGCCAATAATTAATCTAATGAGTTTAATTTCCTAAATGGTTCATCAGTTACCGTAAATAGCCGTGAAAGATAGAGCTTTAAATACACTTCGTACTGATTTGAAGGAGTTACACAGCTGTAGTTCACAGGATTGCCAGTTAATGGTATAAATACAAATAATTAATTTTAATGACAGTTAATTAATGGATCACTAAAGTATAAAGATTTAAATAAATTGTAAAAGTTAATGGAGTAACTTTATTATGAAAGTTAATTAATAAAGAAAAGGCGACTGTTTCTTACATTGTTTACTTTTATGGCGGTTAAGTTAACCCTCACCTCAAGTGTCATCTATTGATTAATTTTGTAAATCTAATGCTTTTCCCGTTACCTAAGCTTATTCGGCTAAGCCAGCCAGAGAGTTTTATCTTTACTCAATGGTTTAATTTTTAATTTGATACACTTAATTTAATCACAATATGTATATATCCTGGATCATATTAGTTTTGCTTCTTTAATTTTGTTTATAATATTGATAATCTGATCACGGTGAAGGAAATAATAAAGGTGATATTAATTTCAACAACAGTTATGTGTTCATGAAGCTAAAATGTGAGGTAAAAAAAGTAATCATCTTTACACATTATTATCTGTATTGTGTGTTGAATTTTGACCGAGTTAAAATTAATTTCACAATTATCTGAGGTTAAAATCAACAAAAGGTTTCGGAGTATGGTAAAGGTATGTTTAGATAATTAATCAATCAAGAGGCTGTATAAGGTTAATAATGCAAACATTTTTACTTCTTTTAACAGTTTAATGATGATTTTGAATAAAACAAAGTTTTTGGTGGTTTTTTGCTCAACTTTAAATAACTCATTGCTGCCGTGATGATGATGGTGATGTTATAGCTGTGTTAGTCTGTCAGCAAACATTTAAAAGCCTAAGGCTAGTATTGCCACTCATCCTTTTGTCCCAAACTCTAGTTGATTAGAGTTGTTATGCAGCTTTCTCACCATTTAACCGATCACAACCAATATTGAGAGACTCTTTTTTATTTCTCCGGCTTGTCTTCCTCATCATCAAAAAATCAACATGAACGTTCATTTATAATCAAACTAAAGACAAGATAATGTTTACAGCATATTTGGCTTGATTTATCAAATGTTTCAACCAGAATTCAAAGCAAATTGATCAACTCAGCGCGGAAAGATGTAAACAAGAGTTTTTACGTGCTGCTAAGCTTTTCTGATGAGCTTAATGATCAGTGAGAAGAAACCTATCGATGAATTTGAATCAATTTTTGCAAAGTGGTCCCGGTCAATGGAGGTCATCTCTTTGCCCTGACTCAGACCATATTAATCTGTAAAAGAAGGGGTAAAAAGAAAGGAGAGAAGATGGAGATATTTATGGCAATCTGCAATCGATGGAAGTTGATCAACCAAGCGGTCCAGAGTTATGAATTTAGGTGCACATTTGAGAGCATAAAATTGTGATTCAATGATGGTTAAATCATTCGACCTTAAATATCGATAGATTTAGTTTTTATTACATTCAGTAACACTGATTTAGTACAGTCTGATAAAAAAGTCAACGAATTGGATTGTTTCCATATAAAAACTGAATGCAGGAGTATAAGCATAATCTTTGACTATCGAGTCAGGAGCTCAGACTTGATAAATGTATGAATTTGTTCAATTTAAATTTTCTAGAGTCTAAATTTTTCGATGAAATCGTGGTCAAAGTCAAAGTTCAATTGCTTTTCGTACAGCTATAGGTTTATTTTCTCATGAACCTGATATTGTGGCGTTACCTTCAATGGTTTAATGCAAATCAACTTTTTTGAAAAAAGATTTCCGTTACTACTCAACAACATTCCTTTGAGTAAAAAGATAATGAAAGTAATAAGATAAAGGATAAGGAGCTGAAAAAATAAAACTGAAACTGAAATTCAAAAATATTGGTGAATTAAGATGATTAGGATTCATCGATAGTTTTAAAACCTTTGGGTCATTAGTAATGTTTTTGTAGAAACACAAAGAGTAAAATTTGCAGGATTTTAATCCTTAAAGCCCGATCATAGCCAAAAGGTCAAAAGGCTTAGGTTTAACCGCAAAAATTGACCACAAAAGTGTTTTTACTCCAATATGGATCATAATTTGAACCCAACAACGGCCAGAAAATGTAGATAAATAAATTATAATCAAAATATAGAGATATTAGTATGCTGAGAGAATAATCAAATAAACTAAATAGTAATTTACCTCCATCAACACCTGTAACTGCAGTAACTTTATCAGTAAATTATTTTCCATGGTGAGCCTGACATACAGATGAGTACACAGATAATTTAGTGCAGAAAAAAAGACAATCAAGTAGACAGTTAATTGAGGTAGATAAATTGAAAATTATTTACGTAATTGCTGGATTGACGCCAGTAGATCTAAAAGTCTGGTACACATGTTTTAATCTCAAAGCAGGTGGTGAACCAAAACCAGACTTTGTTACAATTGTGTTCATAACCAGACAATTGTAATCAAACCAAATCCTTCAACCAACTTCTTTCCCCAACAATAGATGGCAGTACTGATAGCGCTTCCTTACAATTGTATTTGTTTATTTTTTGATCAACAGTGGGTCAGCTTTGGTTAATTTGTTGACTTGAACTCTCGCTGGGTCAGTTTAGGTTAAATTCCGACTCACCTGAGCAGCTTGCATCATAATTTGCCCATTTGTGGGTCTAATACAGGTTTAGGTGATTTATTTCAAGGAAATGGTATTGAGGAATTGCCAAGGATGATTGTTTCTGCTTTTCAAGGAATCCAGTTTATCCGACAATATTTGTTGTTCATTTGAAATTTAATTTTGCTCACTAGATCATTGGTTCATTTAGGTGGAAATTTGGTCAAAATTTGTCGATAAAATTCCTGGTTTCTTTCCCCAGAATTCCACTTGAAAATCGAGTTCGATCGAGTGATAATTAATTTCCTGAGTTCAACCTAATTTTGCATATTTACTGTATTTGTAGTTTAGCTCAACTGATCCGATGTCACAACCTAACTGACCCACGAAGTGTGACTCACAGGTTGACCAAACATTGAACACAAAACCTAATTTGACCCAATCATGTTTGAGCACCCAAATTGGACTCTGTAAACTATCTCAGTCAATTTGGTTATCAATCGTGATTATCATATTTACAATTGTCAATGAGCAATGTAAACAATAGATTAGTGAATCAAGTGCAAGGAAGGTTTGGTGAATAGTGATTTAAATTGTGATTTAGTCAATTGAGATGAGGACTTCGTGGTGATACAAAATTTGGTGAAAGGGAAGAGGAAGAAGGAAAAGTTGAAGTTTGCATTATTGAATAGACTGCTGATTCAGAAAAATTGGGAATGATTAATCTATTCTGAAAAGGTGAAAACACCAATTTTGTGGCAAATGAAAAGAGTAATCAATTTGTTGATCAACCAGTTAACCAGCCTTTTAAACGCAACCAATTGCACAATGAGATCAACAATGAAATCGATAATAAAGTGAACATTTTGAGCGCTGATAAAAAGAGAGTCTCAAGTTTAATTGTGATTATTGTGAGTGTAAAAGAAACTTGATTATCATGAAATGTTTGATCATTTCTGTAAACCCGTTTAAACCTTTAAATTGAATGTTTGAGTTTCACTAAAGGTACAAGTTGCATGGAAGGAGAAGAAGAAGAAAAAAAGTTTCAAGAAAACGTCAAACAAGAGATAAAAAAGAGGAAAAAAATACTCGATAAAAAGGTGAGTTTCAAGAAGAAGGTAAAGATGATGATGATGATGATGATGTGTGAAGGAAAGAGAAAGAGAGAGAGAAGATTGTTGATTATCTTCTAAATTCCTTCAAACGAAAGTTGCATACTAAGAAAATATTATAAGCTTTTTCTCAATTAACTTTATTCCGAAAAGAATCTGAGGCCATTTTGTTTGTAACGGAATTTAGGTCTTCATCTTGTTCATGTTTACCGTAAATTCAACGCTTTCCCTTCATCCTGATCTTTTTAACCTCCCCCTGATTACCCCCGTCAGGTATCATCGTTCATCTTTACCTCAATTTTTCGGCCAATCAACTTCAATTCTGTTTCAATGAACTCACAAGTAAAAAAGTAAAAAGTAAAAAGAAGAAGAAGAAGAAAAGCATTTTTCTCCAATCACCAAATTGTTTTATCGATAATCACACAATTCAAATTAAAAAACATTCATTTTCATTCATTACCATCACCTTCATCTTCATCCTCCTCACCATTTCCAATTTTATCATTTAACTTTCATAGTACGTCATTACAATTTCAACCCAAAAGAGTCACTTTTGTCACACCAATATTTCCTTCCAATGAAGGTTTTTATCACCAATAGACGCAACTTATCATCTGTATCCTCCTCATGATCATCATCATGATCGTCGTTATCATTCACAAAATTATCATCTTTACGCTTTTGTTGAGTCTGAGGAGGCTGAAAATCATAAAGCCTTCAACCTAAAAGAGTCAACCTCTGCCCATCAAATTATGCTTATGAAGACCCTTTTCCAGGTTTGGTCACAGACTCTTGACTAAAGCTGACTTAGTGTTTGGGTTTAGTCAAGTTTCTTAGTTTTTTGTTTAATAAATTAATTTCCATCTTGGTCATCATCATCACGTTCACGTTCATTCCTATCATCATCATCAGTCTCATTTGTATAGCTCAAGTAAATCTGATTAGGCCGAATGTCATCAACCCATAAACCTGCGAGAGTCACTCAAATGCGAATCAAATTTTGCTTCTAATGAAGGTCTTTTTGTTTCCCCAATGATTATTATTTTTTTTCATCTCAATTCATTGGCATTCAGGATTGTCATGAAACAGCAAAATGATGAAAGAAGACGATAAACCCAAAGGTAAACAAAGTTTCGACATTGGGATTTACCATTGAAAAGATTGACTTTCATCTCCTTCAATTCAAGTTTACATTGTAATTAATGTAATAACTTTACCATAACATAACCAATAACGATGAAAACAAATGATAAAATAAACAGTAAAAAATGTTAATAATAATGATATTCATAATAAAATAATCACAATAATAATCAAACAAGTTAATCAACTTTCAGATATAAACTCTTATAACGAAAGATAGCAAAGAAACCATTGTAATAAGTACATTGTAAGCATTGTAACATTCAATGTCAACCCAACAAACTATTTCAATGGAAATCACAATTATTCTGACAATCGACTAATCGATTACCAATTAAACATCCAATCAAAGTATACAATTTAATCAATCAGCTAATTCATGCAAAATTATGACTTTCATTTTGTCACATTTTATCCATTTTATGGAATAATGAAGAGAAGAAAAAATTGCGTTTTTGTCATTTTCTCATGAATTTATCATGTTAATCATTTTACACAATTTTATTAAAATGAACACTTGATTGGTAAACGACGATTATGATGCATCATCATAATCATCCTTTTCTTGTCACCCAAGTTGATCCTGTTCAAGAATCAGGCAAAAGTAACAATCATTGAAACATCATCAAGATAAACTCGGGACAGGATTTTCCAAGGTTCTGGAGGGTCAAATAAAGGAGATGATGAAGATGATGAGAGGAGACAGAAGTGGAGAAGAAGCGATTGGAATGAAAAAATTCTGTCTCTAATTGTAACTATTCATTGCTCAGTGAATCACAATTCACTCATCACACATTCACAAGGTTCCAACCTCGAAACTAAAGTCTGACAAACTTGTGGCCTGAGTTGACTTAACAACAATAACAATATAAATGGTAAGATAATAATGTAAAGTGAAATAAGCTAAACTCAACAATTGAAAAAGTCAACTATCAAGTTAACAAGAAACGAGAAAGCAAATGAAATTGGGTCAGGAATCGTTATATATCCTTGCTGAGTTGAGCTGAAGTTCACATGCAAACTATTAATGTAATAACTTCTCTTTCTATTTCTCTTTCTTTCAGCGACTTTTCTTCTTCCAAGTTTACCTTTTTTTTTGTTTTCACTCAACTTTTCACATTCATTACACTTTTGTATCAACAGTTTGCTACAGCTTCCTAACTTTCAGTTCAATACAACTGGCTCAATCCAAGCCAACCATTCAGTTAGCAAACCTTCAAAGGTTCAATAATAGTTTCTGACAAAAAGCTGAAAATGATGAAAATTCAGGCGAAAATTGAACATGAAAATTGAATGTGAAAATTGATTGGAAGGTGAAACCCAAAAATCAATATGAAAAAATGAAACATTGAAAGATTGAAGAGCAGCAGCGATTGAAACTGAAAACAAATCAACTTTCAAGTTGTGCCACTTGATCAAGATTTAGTTTAACACTTGAACCAGTAATTTTATTATCATAATCATTATCATCATTAATAATGATGTGGATAATGATGATTATAATCATCTCGCTATATTGTCGTTTCTTTATTGTTTATTTGTTCATGTTAACACATTGTTTTTTCATCTTCTCCTGTTTGAACCATTTGCCAACAAATAACAACACTTTTCCAACTCTCGCCTCTCTTTTTTTTCAATCCAACAACATCATTAACTTATTATTAACCAAAAAGCTGTTAAACAGTCAAAATAAAGGGTTAATTTACAATCAAATGTGCCTTTCGTTTTGTCTTTTTCACATCAGTTGCGCTTTTTTGTCTTGCCTCGTCCGCTCTTGTTATATCAATTTAGAGAGCCGTTTATTCAACAGTTTAGTTCAACATTAGACTGTTCAATAAACGTATTTTACTTGATTTACAATTGTAATTAACTTGGGATAAAGCAATTTGATTAGACAATTGACAAATCATAACTTTTCTGGTATCAAAAAGTGTTCATGTTTTTAGATGTAAAGTGTCTCTTTTTTTGAAAATACAACAAAAAACACTAAACAAAAATGGAACCAGTTTGGCTTGTTTCTGTCTCTTTAGTAAAGTCTCTTTTTTTGCTCATTCAACTTTACTCGAATTTAAATTCCTATTAGATTAACCAATTTAAACTGTTTAGCAAATTCAATTAATAAACTTATCTTTTAATCTGGTTGATCATCTTGGATTAGCTTTGTGGCTTCTTTTTGTGTGTTTTGTTTTTTGGGTTAACCTTTAAGATTTTCTGGTTCTCTCCACTCTCTTAATGTCAATGCTTTTTTTACCTAATATTTGAAAAAGGTTTGCTTTGAATCTGAAATCTTTTTACAACTCATTAACCTTGATTAGATTAAAACATTTATTGATTGATAATTGATTAACAAAAAGTGATAATTGTTCAATTGAATCTGTTCAATGTTCATCATGTCAACTGTCTGATTGATTATGAACAATTGTTTCAATTGAATCCAATTTTGCCACTTCTGCTGCTCTCTTTACCTTCTCATTAAGCTATTAAATCAACACCAATGTGGTGCTACCTTGGTTATGATTAATTATCACCTTGAAATTGATTAAAGCTCACAATTGTAAAAATTTGTAAATGGTAAAAAAAGGAATAGTCATGAATAGAGTTTCATGTTGGATTGGATTAAACCAATGCTGGGTTATTGGGTAAACAGAACCAGATAATGAATGTCCATTTTTTGGGTTAAACAGTGAGATTCTGGTTCAAACCCAGAAATTTGAAAAGTGAAATGCTTTTGTTTAGTTGATTGGCAACAATTAAATTGGTCATTGGTGGTGGTTCAATTAGGCCAAGTGATGTTATGGGTTAGGTAAATGGAGGCAAACAAGGTTATTGATAATCAGATGAATACAATCAAACAAGAGCAACATTAATCAAAGACAATTGTCAATCCACCAGAAATACCAGAAAACACATTGAGAATCATGAATGCAATTTGGAAGAGAGAAAAGTGAAAAATTGAAGTAAACAAATGAACGAATTGCCAATGTTGAGGAAAAAGGTTAATGAAAAACCAATGGTTAACCTGTAAATTTACCCACAAATTAAAGTATCATTTTAATCGTTGGTAACCCCTTTAAATAGCAACAATTAGCATCATAATTTGTAAACAAAAATAGTGTCCATCATTACATAAAGACGCAAATTGAAATGATGTTGTTTTTTGTTTACGCCATTCATTTCAATCTTGATTTGCTTTCGTTTTTTTACATCAACATCATCCTCATCAAGTCATCATTATTTTGTTTTTTGCTTCTTCTTTTCTCCTTTATCATCTGAATACAACCTTGATAGCAGTTCTTGAAATTTACCAAGAACACAATAATATAATGTATCTGTTGTGAGTCGGTTTCATGTTTTACCAGGAAAAAGGAAAGTAAACTGGTAAACTTTTGCTGGTTTTTTGGGTACAAGGACAGTGAAAGAAGCTTGGAAACCTTGAGAAAACCTTTATATATTTATATATATTTGTTATATTTGGTTAGATTTTCATTATTATATTTGGCTATTACCTAGAACCAGGGTTTAACCAGAACAATTATCACAAATTCAGGTCAAAGGTAATGATAATTTTGTTTAGTCAATATTTAGCAATATCTGTGTGACATTTAAATAGGTAATTGGTGTTTAATAAAAATCAATGGTAGACATAATCAATGATTAATGAAACACACAAAACAACCCAAATAAGGTTAACCTAACCATTGATGGTTCATGTTGAGCTGTTTGGGTTTACTTTGTTTATATGATTGGGTTTACTGTTGGATATGACTTTTGAAGAAGCCATTTTGTTTGTCTGTCAGTTTGTATTTCAATAATCATTAAATTTTGAGACAATTTTCATTCTATTTATCGCTATTATTTAATTAATTACGTTACCAATGATGCTTGTACAGGAACTATTAAAAGTAATGACAAAAAAAAGATGAAATGTAAATTGAAAATGTGCAGTGATAAAAATAGCTGGTTTCAAAAAAAAAGTGAAGTAACCAGCTTTTTAGACACCAAGCTAAAGATTGGACTTTGATTTAGATGAATCTGAGTCATGGAACTCATTGACTAACCCAAAATTTATGATAATCAACTTCGTCAATTGGTATAATTAGTAGATGAGCATCATTAGTACCAATTATCAACAACAATTGAGTCAACAATTGGACAGCAAGGATAAGCGAGGAAAGTGAAAAACTGGTTGAATCGTTTAAGAAACATGGAAAAGTTCATTTGTTTCTCTTCTTCTTAAAAACACTCCATATGTTTTAAGGCAATATTTGGATTAGATGACTTGCTTTTTAAGGTTAAATCTTTAATCTTAAACCTAGAAGGCTCGAAACAGATGATTTTAAAGCCAATAATCCTTTTAACTCTGCTATTCTGTTCATATTAACCTAGAAACAAAAAGCAAATGACACAAATCCATAAGAAGGTTGTCTTGTTGTTGCCTTAGGTTGAAATTCACCAGAAAAGTATTCGAATAAAATTATGGAAAAAAATGGATGAATTATAGACCAAGTAGAAGCACTGAATTGAACACATAAATCAAGTGTTTTTCAATTCAGGTTACCTGAACAATTGGATGAAAAAAAACATCTTCAGCAATGATGTAACGTAAAGCACAAAAAAAACAGTTGTTACCGTTAATATTATACAATAGATGGCAGTAAAACAGGCAAAAATGATGCAAAATCCTTACTTAGCATGCTCTAACTGTAGCTAACGAAAAGTTAGCAAAACAAAATTTACTGCATTAAAGAAACTCTTCAACTTGAAGTGCGATTATTACAGTTATTACCTTAATCTTATTTTTTTATTTTGGTTTACTTTACTTTTTCTGTGATTTACACTTTTTTGATACCAAAAACAAATCTTCTCACTATGGTAAGTTTCTCATTTGTATTACCTTTCTCTTGTACATTGTTTCCAAACTCATAGGTAAAGGTTACCATTCTGATTGAAGCAAAAATTTTCTATTGACTTCCTGGTTTTTCCCTATGTTTAACGGTCATATCTTTTCTTGCTCTCTTTCTTTTCATTTTTCATTTTCTTTCTTCCATTCTTTATCTCTATCACTTACTTACCCTTACTTTGGTTTAATGTAATTTCAGGATCGTCAAAAGGCCAATGCTAGAAAAGGCGATTTTGAGTTGGAAAGATATGGTGACCTGGAATTGGTTGATGATCCATTAACTGAAGATGAAGTAATTGGCGTTAATGAATTGGCCATAGCAATTGCAATTATTATGCCTAAATTTGCATATGAAAAACTGTGGCTTAAAGAGGCTCTTATTAATTAATATATACAGATATATAACTAGATTTATATATATTTGTTCACCAATAACGACCACAACCTGACCACATGATTGTTATTGCCACTATTTTTGCCTGTTGTTTTTTCTAGTTAGAAAAATTTGCTTATTATTTATTGATTGATCATTTTGTTCTGTTCTTGTTAAAAAGTGTTGCCCTCTCTCACCCAGCTTTTTAATCAACGACATTGTTTTGTTTTAATTCAAGTGAAATTTTCAACCTTTTTTCAAATTCCAACCAATTACAATTTAACATCTTCCTACTGGTTGCTGGGTTTAAGTTGCCATAGGCCTTAAATCCCCTTTCCTTTTTTAATCCGTTTTGGACGCTAATTGGTCAGTTCGGACTGAGCAGCTTATCTCTCTTCATATTGACACTCACTCAAAGACTCCCTCCTTGGCTCCTTCGACTCATCAGAATTACCAAAAATCTTTTGTCCTCAAAAATTACCATTGTCTTTGCTCAAGTTATCGATCACGGTCGTTTCGATTGTGTTTCTCTTAAAACTACATATTTTATATCAGTGTTACACTTTTATACACAGTGAATTGATTAACTTTATCATCACTCACCATCATCATCATCATCATATACATACCATCATCATCGTCATCACCATAGTACACAAGTTATCTCTTTTTTTCAAAGTTAACTTGAAATTTATATTTTATTTTTGTGTATTTATATATATATATCTTTAATAACAACAAAATGCCTGTTGATATTGATGACTTTGAGATCTTAAAAGTTCTTGGAACCGGTGCATACGGTAAAGTGTTTCTAGTTCGTAAATTATGTGGCCCTGATATAAATCATCTCTATGCAATGAAAACCCTTAAAAAGTCTTCACTTGTAAATAAACCGAAGACCTTAGAGCACACTTTAATAGAACGTAAAGTGTTGGAAATTGTACGTTCTGGGCCTTTCCTTGCTACTCTACACTATGCCTTTCAAACATCTGATCGTCTACATCTAGTAATGGGTAAGTTAATGTCCACATTTTGTTTCTTTCTTTTTCTTCTCTTTTTACCTTATTGTATGCTTTTTTCACGCTTCTTTCCTCTGCGAGTCTCTTTAAACTCAACAGCCAGCTTTTACCACCTACTTTGCTTGTAACCACATCATCTTTGACCCTTGCTTATTAGGCCAATGATTTCCCCTCTTGATATATTACTTTTACTGACTGTTCAAGTTTCTGGCTAGGGAGAAGCAAGACCTAATGCACATTACTCAGTAATTGAACTAGTTTGAGTTCAATGTACATTTGGTGACTTGCTTTACCCTGTCAAAAAACTTTCTGTTCACTCTATTAGGAAAGACTGAGTCTCTTTTGTCTTTCTTTATTTGAAGCTTCTCTTTTTTTTGAATTCAATGTCCTCGCTTGAGATTGACTCTTGAAACTATTTCAAGTTTGAATTCATAGGCTATCCTTAAAGATTACCCTTTAAATGTTCTCATGATTGAGCAATCCAGTTTCATAATTCAGATTCGCCTTACATATTTTATGCATTCTTTTATTCGATTTATTTTATATGGTAAAATCACCTCAATGTTGAACTTTCGAAGGGAATAAATCCCAAATGAAAAATAAGTTGAAACTAACATTTTTTTATTTTCTTATTTTACAGACTACATAAGTGGTGGTGAAATGTTCACCCATTTATATCAACGTGACAGATTCACTGAAGATGCTGTTCGAATCTATATTGCTGAAATTGTTTTGGCTATTGAACATCTACATAAGCATAATATAGTTTATCGTGATATCAAATTGGAAAATGTGCTTTTGGATAAAGATGGCCACATCGTACTGACTGACTTTGGACTTTCCAAAATGTTTAAAGAAAATAGTGAAGTAAGTAACCATTTCCACCTTGTTTTTCATCCCTTTTTTCCTCTTTGTTGTCAATTAAATTCACATTGACTACTTCCCGTTCTTACTTTTTTTTTCTCGACAATTGACAGTCCAATATCACATACAATTATCCGATGTGTCCTTTTCAATTGATATTCACAAACATTTATTGTTAAAGTGTGCCAATTTCCTCTTTAACAATCTTGCATCTCTTTTACCTTCTTTAGCATATTTCGACTCTCCATCATCTACTTTCCCTCTTCCTGTCTTCTCTCCTTTTCTACTTTTAAACTTTTTTCTTTCTCCCCTCTCTTTTCTCTTCAAACACCTTGTCCTTTTATAATTCAACTAACAACTTTTTCTCTTTTACAGAATAACCGAACGCACTCTTTTTGTGGAACCATAGAATATATGGCTCCAGAAGTTGTTCGACACGGATCTGGTGGCCATGAGTTCGCAGTTGATTGGTGGTCAGTTGGTGTTTTAACCTATGAACTGCTTACCGGTGCTTCACCCTTCACTCTTGAAGGTTGTCCAAACGTCCAAGCTGAAATTACAGCTCGCATTATCCACGACCGACCACCAATTCCTGAATACATGTCAAATGTTGCCGTCGATTTCATTTTAAAACTACTTGCTAAAGATCCTAGGAGACGCCTTGGAGCTGGAAGATATGGTGCTAGTGAAATAAAAAGGCACCCTTTCTTTGGAAATCTTAACTGGACCCATTTAGCAGAGAAAAGAGTTCGTGCTCCTTTTGTGCCTAAGATCAATGGTGATACAGATACTTCTAATTTCTCAGACGAATTCACGAGTATGTCTCTCGTTGAAACGCCAGATATATCACCTCCTGAAGAAGTTCCAGAAAATAGTTTCAATGGTTATGAATATATTTCCCCGGATCTAATCGCCGCAAATCGTTTTTATTACGGTGAAGCCGCAGTGCCTATTGAAGAAGTACAGAATCAGGAGGTTATTGAATACGTAAATAGCGAACAATCAGAAGACGAAGAAGAGATCCAAGAGGAAGACGAAGAATCCGTTCAAAATTCTTATGCCTCTTCTGAAGAAGAGGGTGAAACAGTTGATGAAAGTTCTGAGGAAGAACAAGAATCTGAAGATAACAATGACGATAATTCCGACGATAGCGAAGAAGACGAAGACGAAGAAGAGGAGGAGGAGGAAGAAGAAGACGAAGAAGATGATGAAGAAGAAGAAGATGAAGAGGAAAATGTATCAACGATCGATGAAGATAGTATATCAACCATCGGTGAAGAATCATCAGTGACCGAAGAGGTGGAAGAGAATACTCTCGACAATCTCGCACATCGCTTAAACCAGCCTCTATTAGATGCCTCAACCATCCCAGTACCTGAAGAATCCTTTGAAAGCTCAACATCATCAACTCAAAGGGATATAAACGAAATATTTGGTTCATCCATGTCCTCCAACGGATCAATCATCGGCTCAATCAATAGTCATCACAACCTCTCTCCAAAAAGAAGCGTTTCAGGGTCATCTTTTGACATTGACGTGCAACTACACCATTCCAACTACATCATGACCTCAACACCTGCCAATCCTAAACGTAAATTTACCAGAAAAACCGATAATCAACATCATCCAATATCTCCACCAAGTCCAATATCGCCTTCACCTAAAAACGTGCTTTATACACTGAGAATCACAGCAAATTCAGTGTTTCATCAAAAGTACTCTCTCACCTTAAACTCCGTATTAGGAGATGGAACCTATTCCATTTGTACAAAGTGTGTCGACCGAAAGACTGGCGAGGAATTCGCAGTGAAAATAGTGCATAAACAATCTGACATTACTTCTGAAGTTGAATCACTCAACATGTGCCAAGGACATCCCAACATAGTGAACTTAGTGGAAGTGTTAACCGATGATTATTATACATATATAGTGCAAGAACTACTTCGTGGCGGTGAATTACTTGCCAAAGTTGGCAGCAACGGTGCTTTCAGTGAAGTGGAAGCATCTCGCCTATTCCGTGGTCTGGTCTCAGCTTTAAACTACATGCATACCAATCAAGTGGTCCACCGGGATATCAAACCTGAGGTAAGACAGATTTTCATTTTATCCCAATTAACTTTCACTTGTAGACTAAAACAAAATTAGAACGGAAATGCCTTGAAAAAAAAGAAAACGTTGCCTGTTACTCATATTGCGTGGTTGTTAGAAAACAAAAAAAAATTATTTTCCTACTGTTTGTGTGAGTGTAATACTGTTTGCTGCCAATTCGATTGTCATTAGTTTTCAGATCTCATTACAAATCCAAATGTTGTCTTAAAATGTCATTTTTTATTCCACAATCCCACATTAACAATTCACAATTTAATTTTCTGATAGCCTAATCAACATTTTGTCACAACTTGTTAGTAACCTTTACTCCATCCTTCTCCTCTTCCCTCTATGTACGGATGCGAGTCCATTTTATTTATAGATTATTCTCATTCCATCAATTTTTTCTTTTCTTGTTTACCAATGTAAACTGGAGACACCAATAAGTGTATCATGTTTTTTCAGTGTAAATGTGATTAGATTAGTTCAATGGTGAAGGGCAAAATATACTTTATTCAAAACACGATAAATGTTTTATTTGCTTAGCTTCTTAACGTCTTTTTTCTCGTTAGTCATTATTGTCATTTTAAAAGCACAAAAATTTTGCTGATAAATGTTCAATATATGTATTTATTTATGTATTTTGGTAGGTCATGATGAGATAAAGTTGAGAGAGAAGGACGAGTGAAAGAAAAAGGTTGAAATTAAATGATATCTAGAGAATGAAGTGTTTGATAATGATAATAATAATGGTGATGAAGGATGAGAAGAAGAAAGAGGAAAGAAAGCTTACTTCGCTTCGGTTTACTTGTTTCAGGTCATTTGAGCATCAGTGATCCGAAGATGCCTTTAACCAGTCTTTTACCGGTCGTTGCCCTGATTGCTTCCATTTCATCCCTTTTATCACTTCTTTTTCATTTTCTTCTCTCTTTTATTTCTCTTTCCATTTTTCGTTCAATTTTTACCCTGTCTTCTGTTATATTTTTTGATATATCCTCTCACAGAGTTCATTACCTTGATTCGCCAGGAAAAAAAATATTTGAAAAAAAGTAACAAAAAGATGAAGTCACAGATAGGTGACCTCACTCGTAGGATTTATTTGCTTGTAGAAAAAAAAACACCATTCTCAGTTATCTGCAACTTTGTGAATGTCGCTGTAGATAGTTCATTCATCATGTTTTTTCAACTCCAATCTCGCTGCTCTTTTCCTTGACTCTCTTGCTGTTAACATGTAACATTTTCATTCTGGACACGATTTGCTTTTTTTATCATCTCACCCAATTGTCATTACAATGTTCAATCATGCATGCAACTTTTGCCAGTAGAAAATTTTGAAATCATTTTGATGTTTATCATTAACATAATTGCTACATTACAACAAAAATGTAAATATAATTATTTAATAATCAGATGTATTTATATGACGGAAAATGAAGTATTGGATAAACATTGCATCACTCATTGCCCCTTTTTATATTAATGGCACATAACTTGATTTTTCAATGCATTCCAGTTCAACCTTTTGTTGATTTACATGTTTTTTAACCTCAAATAGTAACATTTAAACTAATCTCAATCTTTTTTTTCATTTACAGAATTTGATATTTACCGATGACTCGCCTGACGCAGAATTGAAAATAATTGATTTTGGATTCGCCTGCAAAATATCTCGTAATGAAGTACTGAAATCGCCTTGTTGTACCTTCGTTTATGCAGCCCCTGAAGTGCTGAAGATAGCAAAGAAACTCAGCGCCAATGAATCTCGTACCTATCCAACATCATCATTCACATCTTCATCCGATCGCTACAGCTCATCAAGTCCACCATCAACACCGCCTGCCCTTTCACAATCAATTCAAGAACAATTGGCTAATATTCCCTTCGTGGTTAATCGATCTCCAGATAGCGACCGATCTTATCACAGAGAGGATGGTTACACAGAAAGCTGTGATTTATGGAGCTTGGGCGCAGTGCTTTTTACCATGTTAGGTGGTAATCCGCCTTTTGCTCATGTTCATGACTTGTCTGCTTCAGATGTATTGGAAGGTATCAAGAATGGAGCTTTTGATATGAATGGACCAAATTGGGCTAAAGTTTCCACTGCTGCCAAATCATTGATCTCTGGTCTATTGGATGTCAATCCAGCTGCCCGGTTAAAATTATCTTACTTGACCTGTCACCCATGGGTCCAAGGACATTTCAACGAATCCTCAATGAACATAAGCTACCGTAGAACGCCATCAACACCACCTGGAACATATCTTCGTCAAGGTAGTCCTGGTTCAACACCAGTTCCAACTGTTGGCTCGTTAAGACTGGCTGATGTCTCAGAAGCAATTTTGGCTAAACGTCGTGCCTGTAAAAGACTATTTATCGACAACAATGGAAACGATTGTAGTCCTCACATCGAATCAAGTCATAAGAGAATCAAAACAGTGTTAACCAGAGAATATAATAGTTTAAATAATAATCTATTTTTGTTTAAAGCTCATCCTCTCCTATCTACCAAAAATTAAGCCTATTGTAAAAGATTCATTTTTTTTCTAATTTATTCATATTATAAATCATATTCATCCTATATTTTGTCATTTTTGATTGTAAACCTAATCAAAACCTCTTGTCATTACTTGTCCATTCCCTCATAAATTTTCATCCCAAATTTTGGAATTTCTGCATGTAAATTCCATCAATAAATTACTTTATCAATAAAAGACTCAATTTGAAAGAATTAAGTTTCTCTTTTTTATTTACTGAATAAGTCATCGGAATAATTATTACTATTTACTCAAATATTTAAAGGTAAACTGAAGCAGATATGATTGATGGCCGATATGAGAGATGACTGATATAGCACATAATCTAAAATTAGCTTCATTTTGATTGCTGCTCAATCATTGAAATGAATCAAAATCACGAATTAATTGTATCCTTAAATGTACAAAATTTGTCGTTTCAAGATTGGTCATCTAACATAAAATGACATTTGATAACTTTCAGTTGCAATGATTGTTTTTATAAAAGTTTGGTTGAATAACAATGTCAAAATAAAAACAAATCATTACATTAGAGCATTTCAGTTTAATTAAGGGTAATAGCAATAAATGTTTATAAACACGCACATCGTTTAAATTAAATTAATTTGCACGGAATTGAGATAGTCACAGTTTAAACAACACTTTGACCCATTAATCAATTGTTGACTCAATTATTGTTCCCTCTAAAATAAAGATCATCAAGAAATATATAAATAAAGTAGCAACCCTATTTGATTGGGGTTTTTAATTTTTGTTTCAAATATCAATCCGGTAACAAAGTGAATAAATCAAGATGAAATAGATTAGCTCAAGAAATGGACGTTTTATTGGAAGTGCATTGTGCGTCGAAACTTGCCATGGCATGACTTCGCGATTCAGTATGTACCAGCCTTTGACGCATTCCCACAATCATATGCAAGACAATTCATTGTACTTGAATTAGGTTTTATAATACATTACAATCTTTAGTATAAGATTAGCCATATTGTCAAATCGTCAGGAAGTAAACTTGACCATGACCATGATTTAGTTGAGAAAATCTGTTTGGTATTAAGATTGAAATTCAAATCTTTAGTTTATTTCGTTTAACTCGAAGGTAACTGAAGTATCTTGGAATCGATTTGATTTTGAATTTCCTCTAATTGGTTGTAGAAACTTTTCAACTGATCCGAGTCAAATTCTAGAGAGTGTTTCTTTCCTTCGTCATCGTCATTTGATAACAGCTCTAAATCTAGTTGCATTTTGATCTTTTCCAAATTAGAAGCATTATTCTGGTTACATTGAACCCTGACTTTCCAATTAACATCAGTAAGAAGACTTGAAGATAACCCAAAGGTTTCCTGTTTGAGCTGATTCACTTTGTCAGCTGAGCAATTGGCCCAGGCTTGGGCAAATGTGACAGCTTTCTCCTCAGCCATACCAATATTCATTAATTGTGGTAACACTGATTTAGGTTTAGATAAATTGTAGACTACTTTTCTTGATATTGAAACCAAACAGTCAATCAAATCGCCCAAAACATCTTGATTTGGAATATTGAACACTTTCATCAGTTTCTCCTCTTCCTCCTGGTTGAATATTTTATCATCATCAAATGTCAGTCTTTCAAATATTCGTGTCATCAGAGGCCTGAATTTAGCTGAATCCAAATTGTTAATAAGCTCCACGTTATTGGACAATCTAAACCGATACAATATAGAAAGATAATTATTAGGATTAGCATTGAAATTCAAGTTGAAACAGTTTATTGCATTGGAAAAATAAGAAAACAATACTTACTCCGGTATGTCTTCAAACATTTTTATTGGATGATGATCACAATTCCGGTGTTGAATTAATGTTTTAATAGATTAAAAATAAATAATTAATTTCTTAACAGCTTTAATATTAGATGGATAAACGCCTTCAATCAAAAACTACCTTTGGTAACTTTAGTCTATGATCATGCTTCAACATAAAAATGATCAGCTGGGTTCATAGCATCAGATATAAACAGGTTTAGTTTGTTTACATTGGTAGAACATGCTTACCCGTAAATTAATTTTTTCATTGATATCTTCGAATTTTCATTCTTTTGAGGCCTCATCTTCGATCCAACCAATTAGACTTCTTAGTAGAATGGCGGAAAATGCCCATCTTAAAGGTAGAAAATTAATTGCTGTTTGTCAGCTTAACTGTAAAGCTAACAAAGAGGAAAACTATAATGTGAGTGAAAAGTTAATTCAAGAAGCTTCATCAAATGGCTGTTCAATGGCATTTCTACCTGAATGTTTTGATATGATCAATGAGACAAGGAAGGACACTTTAGCCAAATTGGAGCCGCTTGATGGTCCATTGATCACTAAATATCGAGATTTAGCTAAATCTTGCAATATTTGGCTTTCTCTTGGTGGTTTGCATGAAAAGCGAGAACACAATGGTAAGAAAAAATAGCTAATTTATCTAATTTAAGTTATCTTTAATAACATTTTCTATGATCTCATTTTTTCTAGAGGATGGTAAAGCATCCAATGCTCACATTGTTATCAATAGCTCTGGAGAAATCGTCTCAGTTTATCGTAAAACTCACCTTTTCAACCTTGATATTCCCGGTGTCGTTCATCTGGTTGAATCTGAATTTTCAGTTGCTGGTGATAAGATAGTCCCACCTGTTCAAACTCCTGTTGGTAAACTTGGTCTTGGTATTTGTTACGATGTGAGGTTCCCTGAGCTTGCAATATCTCTGGCAAAAGCTGGAGCCGATATCTTATCCTATCCTTCATCATTTACAGTGCCTACAGGATCAGCTCATTGGGAAACACTTCTTCGTTGTCGTGCCATAGAGAATCAATGTTATGTAGTAGCAGCAGCTCAAACGGGATTCCATAATAGCAAACGATCTTCATGGGGCCATTCCATGGTAGTTGACCCTTGGGGTAGCATAATTGCTCAAGTGGGTGAAGAAGTGGGTTTAGCAATAGCTATAATTGACCCTGAGCTTCAACGTAAAGTTCGAGCCAAGTTACCCGTTTGGACTGATCGAAGAAGCGACCTGTATGGTGAAGTAATTACTCCTATAGAAAATTGTGATCCTGATGCTGAATCTGAATATAATTTTGGACCTGTTAAAATTCACCCAAGCCAAGTTTTTTATCGTACTCAACATTCTTATGCATTTGTAAACCATAGACCTTTCCTTCCAGGACATTCGTTGGTCGCTCCTTTAAGGGCTGGTGCTGTTCGTGTAACTGACCTAACCTCAGCTGAAATAACTGATTTCTTTACTTGTATTCAAAAAGTTCAAAAAGCCTTGGAAACCGAGTATTCAGCAACTTCATCATCAATTGCTATTCAAGACGGACCTGATGCTGGACGCTCAGTTGAACATCTTCATGCTCATGTTGTGGCAAGAAAACCTAACGATTTTGAAGCCGATTTCATTTTTGCATTAGCAACTCACGATAAAAGTGATAAACCAATAAGAAGTGCATCTGACATGAAAGCTGAAAGCGATCGAATGCGTAAATATTTTTATCATTAGTGGTCTAATGAAAACTTAGTGAATCCTTTAATCCTTTTAATCGTCACCATGGGACTGTTATGATTTGTTTATTATGTCTTTATTGTTTAATTGTTATCATATTATTGATAATTTTGTTGGCCAACAATATTTTTTACGCTTATTTGAAAGCGATTTAATGAGATGAAAAGCTTTCACTGGAATAGATTCAGAATTAAATTGAAACTTGATTCAAACACATTTTACCTTTGCTTAACAAAAGGATTCAAAAAAACCCAACAACAATGTGTTAATAAATCACCGGATATGTCCAATCAGGACATGATGATTAAATATTGAGAGTTAAGTAAATAAAATTGCATTTAGTACAAATGTAATCTGGTTTGAAGTAAACATCATTGATTCGGTCGTATAGTAACCCATAATTTGCTGGTTTTCATTCACTTTTTTACTTTAATTATTAATGTTTGTGTTGCAGCTCTTTAATATGAGGATATAATCGCAACGATGTTTGTACAAGGTCCAAATTTTACTCTAATTCAAACAAAATTGTCAAAATCAGATTGTCATCGATTGAAACCATCATTTTACGGTTAAAAATCAATCCATTATCAGCAAACTATTTTACAACTTACGTACAAATTCACAAATCGGGTATTTGAATCCAGAAATATGTTTTACCGAACTATAAGTTTCCTTTCAATTTTTATTGTACTGTTTAAACATGTTTCGACTGATTGTCCCATGATTAATATTCCTGCAGGGGCTATTGTTATTTCTGGATGTTCAACAGTAACAAATTCAGTTTGTTCCATTCGGTGTACTTCAACGGGTGTCGTTCAGTCGCAAATTTGTCAAGTCAACGGATTATGGTCAGGAACGCCATTCAATTGTATGATTAACTGAAAATCTTAGTCATTTGTAGGTGAGTAATTGTATGTTATATCTTCATTACTAGGTTTTGGAACTGGATTTGGACAAGGATTCGGTACAAATTTTGGTCAAGGTTTTGGAGCCAATTTTGGACAGGGTTTTATCGGACAAGCAAATTGCGCAAGTTTAGCGGTTCCAGTTAATGGTTTGTATTCTGGAAATTGTTCACCAGGAATTGTTGGTGGTACCTGCGCTTTCCAGTGTAGACCAGGTTTTGTGATTAGAGGCACTTCCATATTGTCTTGTCTCAGTACAGGCACTTGGTCAGCAGCAACTCCAACCTGTGTACCGCAAACTCAGAGTAAGTTTATTTAGTAGCCATTGGTAAAATAAATAACTTGATTGTTTATAATTTTCTTTCCTTTCGAACGAAAGCTCGTTGGTATCTACTTATCAGACGTTGGCTGGGTTGAGGTACTCAAATAATCTCATCAAGATAATCATTCTAATTGTGTTTATTTGGTATGATTAAAACCTAAAACAAAAATCTTATTCTTGATTTATGGGAATTAGAATCAAATACTACTTTCCCTAATTTTTTTCCGATATAAAATTCACCAAATATTTGTATTGCAGCATTTTCGTGTAATTTATAGTACTTCTTGTAATAAATAAAAGTCTATTCAGTCGACAGTTTTCAATTATTTTACAATGTTAATTGTTCGGATGCGGTGAGCTTCAAATTGACCAATGAGCCTTCATGGCTTCCAATTTCAGCTTTTTGACTTCATTTTCCAAATATTTACAAATAGCGATCCGTTTATCCTCCATTGTTTTACAAGATATAACATGCTGTTGGCAAATCCAATTGATTAGATCATTATCAAATTGAATAGAGCCTTCTTTCCTTATATAGACAGTTACACGTTTCATTATACGAGGTATATATGGTTTAACATTGGGCAGAATTTCATTCATTCCAATATGATAAAAGGGTAACAATTCGAGTTGATCAATAGCTCCTCCTGGTTCTAAGGTTTCCAAAATTAAACGGCTTACTCCCCATTTGAAGTGGTAAGGTTTAGCATCATGATCTTCTTTATTACTCAATGTTAACTGAGAATGGCAGTTGGAATTGACTAGCTTGACATTGTCAACATCAAACTCTTCAGCAACCTTTCCTTGAGGGAAACAATGCAGAAATTTTTTGTCCCTCAACAATTGTATAGCAAAATCAATAGCTGGTTGGTAAATTCCTTTGCCTCTTTCCACAGGAAATGTTTGTCCCATTCCAAAAAATAATGTATGCCATGATTTGGTGAAACAGATATCATCAGCAGCACCAATCCAACGATGTCTATCATTGTTTATTTGCCAAGACCAGGGTAATAAAGCTCCCCAAAGAACAGGATCATCCAAACATGATGAATGGTTGGAAATAGTTAACAGTGGTTTGTTCGATGATCCATTGTAATTTTGTTCAGCGGCTTTGATGAAGCTTTCATGATTAACAACAGTAAAGTGATTCAACTTGGTCCATAATTTGGCAGCTAGACCAACAATTACCACATTAACAGCTGAGCCTAATTTAACCAAGTTGTGACGAGATGATAATGGTTTACCCAATGGAAACAAATCAGTCCTCCATGGCTTCCACGGTGGGTTACTTGTACCGTTTTCTCTCAACATTCATAACTTGATTGTATTAATACTGATTTAATTGTAAGAAATATAAACAATTCTTGATAATAAAAAAACAACAAACAAATGAAAGAAACTGATATTATGATATACGATACATCGATACTCGGATACTTGAATCCACATGTTTATCAGCTGACAAATTAATCTTTTTTTTTAGTATTCAATTTTCAGTAATTTGTCGTTTTAATAAATATCTGTATCATGTTTGTGATTAATGGTCGTGCTGTATTTAGCGTTGCCTCGTGCCTCCGTAAAGTGACAGTAAAACATCTATTGGTAAATCGAGCACGTCCTGTATTTTGTTTGGATACTCAAGCATTTTCTGTTAGCAGTAATAATTTCGATCCTTTTCATGGTGCTGTAAGCAATCTTTTTCGCCACAAAAGTTCATTTCATCGTTTTATTTCAACTGTAAATATCAACGATGACGAAGCAAAAGAAAAGAAACGAAAAATGGAAAGAACTGTTCGATGGAGTATGTGGGGATTGCTCACATTTTTCACCGGTTCCACTGTTTTAGCTCTCCATGAATGGGGTAAACCTGAACTTGACGAAGAAGGAAAACCTATTCGTGACCAATTCTCCGAAAGATCCATCGCTTTACAATATATTTTAAGGACTATTGATAAATTCAAAAGGGAATGGCAAATTTATAAAGAACCATCACGGGACTTATTGCTTCCTCCGCCATTGGAGCATCCTTATATCCAACCTAAATATACTTTAGTCATAGAATCAAATGGTTTACTATTTAATCCAGAATGGACCTACAAAACAGGCTGGAGATTCAAGAGGAGACCCTTTGTCGATTATTTTCTTACTCAATGTGGCCCACCTTTATTTGAAGTTGTTGTTTTCACCTCAGACTCTGGTTGGACAACAGCAGGAATGATTGAAAGTTTAGATCCTAAAGCAAATGTGATGCATTGGCTTTTCCGAGATTCAACCCGATACATGAATGGAGTTCGTCTTAAAGATTTAAATTGTTTGAATAGAGATCTGTCCAAGGTAATCATGGTAGATTGGGAGAAAGATGCCTGTCAATTGAACCCAGATAATTGTTTAATATTAAAAAAATACGAAGGAGAAGATAATGACAAAGTATTATTTGAATTAGCGCTTTTCCTGCGCACCATTGCAGTTCAAGATGTTAATGATGTTAGACCTATTATTCGTCATTATCAACAATTCGATGATCCACTGGAGGCTTTCAAAGAAAATCAAAGATTAGCCATGGAAAAAGAAGAAGAACAGAAAAACAAAACAAAGAGTCAGTCATTTGTGAGCACATTTAAGCGTAAATAGTTCTAATCACATAGTCCTAATTGTAACTAAAGCATTGTAACTAAAAACTTATCTTACTAAAAACTATTGTCAAACTTATTGTATCCGTAAATTTGACGAAAATTATCTTGTTTATTTTCCAGTCAGAATAATAAATAGTGATTTAAAATTATGTTTCTTACTCTTGGTTTGTAAAGGGTATTTTTGTTAAAGTTTTTACGAACGCTGAAGACTGAACGAGCTCGATTGGTCAAAGAACGGGCAATGATCATCTGAGATTTGTCAAATTGATTGTGGCTTTTCTCAACAAGAAACAACATTTCCATTCAAAACTTCAAGACTCTCGAACTACTTGGTGTAGGGTTAGTACGGGTTGTTAAGAAATGAACTTCGGATGTTTGCACCCGAATATTTTTCGAATATATTATCATTCAAACGTCCGGAGTTCTTTTCTAACACCCGGTATTAGCATTTGAAGTATTTTCTTTATTTTCATCCGACTTCTTACGAGATTCAGCGATTCGATGACCAGTTTTACTACAGTAAAAAGTAGAGATCGATTTCGGTGATTAAAATTACAAAAACAGTCAATCAAATAACAAAAAAGGTTAAGAAACTCATCAAAGAAAGTTCAAATCAAATTAATTCTCAATTAATTGATATTTAAATTTTTTCTTTATTAAAGTAAAATTGTTCTTGATAAAAATAAGTTAGATCATGGAGACATGTTAAAATTCATGTTTTTGCATACTGCTTAAATGTTTGAAATTATAATAAAAAATGGCAAAATATTTGGCTAAATGTTATGAATATGATACTCATCATATTTCAAGTTAATTCAAAAGAAATCTTTGAACCTTTCCATTGAACTTTTCCGAGTGTGTAAAATGAATATCATGTCCACCATCAGGAAATAGATGTGATTCAACATCAGGAATATTGGCTACTAACTGGTTAAAAAACTCCACTGGAACCATGACATCTTTAGATCCATTTAAAACAAAGACTGGACATTGTATTTGATTTAACCTGTCCGAAGTGAGGTTAGATTTTGTAATAAATGTTTCAGTTTGACGATACCAAACCTTATCAATGGTCTCTCGATTTCCATATAATTTTAGATATTTTTTCATTCTTTTTTCTGACCAAGCAGAAGTGTTGATAAGCCTCAACCACGAGTCTTTGAACTTTTCAGTCATCATGGCAAGGGATGCCCAAACAACAACCTTGTCAATTTTAGCAGGAAATAAAATTGCGGCCATTAAAGCTGTTCTGCTGCCTTCACTCCAACCCATCATAGAGAAACTATCGTAACCTAAATACTAATGATAAAATAGACAAAAGTCAACTTCTGTTTAATATTTGAAATTTCAATCATTCTCAAGGTAAAAGAGCTGAAACAAGAAATGGCGAGAAAATCATAAATTATATATAAATCTGGAAACTTGTATATTTACCTGCATCAAGTTGACAGCAGTTTCAGCGTCATATTGGTAAAAGTTTTCTTCATGTCGCTTATAATCACGGAAAGGTCGACTCAACCCGAAACCTGGTGAATCCCAGCCAACCAGGGTGAATTTGTTTCTATCAAAGCCATCGAATATCGGACCTAAATCAGCTCTTGCATTACCTGTGAAAGTAAATATGAAATGACGTTAGTCGAACAACTTTTATGTAGATTCAGATTTACTATTAATATTAATAATACTTACCACAACCTCCTGGAGCCATGAACACAACACAATCTCCATGACCAACCTTTTCATAATGAATCTTGTAACCGTCTTGCTCAAAATAACCAGTGACTACATCGTTATCGATGTTTTGGCAATTTGTATTTCTGTAAATGTTTTCAGGCATTTTGAGGGAAAATAACAAGACGAATAAACAAAAACAGTTTAAACTGAGCGATTGAACAGCTATTAAAGTAAGATCAAGGAAATAATGATGAGAAAAAAGTTTTTGGAATCCTTTTTATACACTTTTACACTTTTCAACAACAGAGTCGTCATAGCCCAAGACAACCTTTTAAGGTTGTCTGTAATCATCATCAAAAGATAATTAGATGGCACATGTTATTAAGTAATTTGATTAAATATTCAGCACTCAGAATCTTAATCAACAAGTGGATAAAGAAAATGAAAAAGAATAAAAAATAGTTGTAAAATATAGTCTATGTTGATAAAAGTGATAGTTAAAGCACTATTCAGAAAACTCTGAGGATTATATTATACTTGATAAGTAACGATCTCGAGACATGTTGAAAAATTATCGCGATTCAATGAAAAATTATATCATATTTTGAAAGGGTGTGTATTACATGTTGTGTAATTATGAAGAGGACGAAGCTTTACATCACAGAGTTACTCTGCGTCTTACATGTAGCCATTGGAACTTATCATTTTGAATTTTTCGTCATTGAGAATTGGCTAATTTTCAATCGAATTTCATTCCGATTCTATAATTTTTAACTTAATTGCCTTCTGTAAAATATTGAACAGAAAATCATTTAACCAGTTCGTGTTGATATATTTTAAACTAACCGTATCCGATTGTTTAATGTCTCGGACAAAGAGTAAGACCTAACCTATTATACTTTCAATTTTTTTCACTCATTGATTCACCTTTTAATATCAAAGCGCAAGCAAAATTTCCTGTAAGATTTTGTTCCTTTGATGTTAAAATTGAGGTGAAAATTATGCAAACATAATTATCACTCCTTTCGTCTTTACATTTATAATTTTTGTTGATTTTCATTTGTTTAAATACTAATCATTGATGAAGGCATCTAAATTATGAATATAGAGCATAAATCAACCAACTGAAGAATAGGAATAACATTAAAAACAGTTCTATATTCTCAGGCAAGTGCAGTTTATCGATGTCAATTGTATCAAATGATAATCTGAACAGCCTTGTGCGTCCTTTGATATCAAAAGGTCAACTGAAACAGAAGTCTGATGTAACTCATTTCAAGTAGCTTATTGACGCTACTCACTCAGCAAAATTTCATGCATCCATCACTTCCTCAGCAGCATAGGATCGGTGACGATAAATTGGTTTCGTCTGTCTTTAGATTAGATTTGTAACATTTTTTATTCAACATCTTGTATCTTCAAGAGTATCATGTTGTCAACACTGAAACCGATAATTGGAAAACAAGATTTTAATCTCATTTTCAATTGATCTGCCGATTGAAAACTGCGAATTAATCAAGAGGCTTTCGCAATATGTGAACATTGCCTGGAAAGTTTCTGCTGTATCTACAAGTGTAGAGAGGCTGAACAGGCTCAAGTTGCAAAATTGTGTTCTGATATTCGATGTCAATATGCATTTCTAGGTAATAGTTATTTGCATTCGTTCGCATTGTTCAACTGTTTAACTGAAATTCCAGGTAAATTGGTGATTTCTAAAGGAATAAATTTGTTTTACTGTTTCAACAATTTTATAACTTTATAATAATTTTATGGTTAGAAATTTCAACTTGTTTAAACTGATTGTGGGCACACTTGAAGCAATCGAAGCCTGAACGTCGGTAGATGACATTGAGCTTCAATTGAAATGGTCATAAACAATCTCAAGAAATATTATACATTGTAACGTTATTATAATAGGTATTGCTTCAAAATTAACAATTTGCGATAATTCGGTTCGTGATCGTTCTATTAATTTAAAATACTTAAAAGCAACTGAACAAGTGAATTTGTCTCTTCATTTATTGAGTTTGTTTTAACAACCATCAGCAAGCTTCTGCCTGCCTGTTTATTTCCATGATTGCTGATCAACCTTGGTCTTCCATTTATTAACTGGTTTTTAATTCTTCTTAATTGTTTCCTCACTGTAAAAGACAGAAAATCAGAAGATTTTACACCCAAGTGTAAGTCTCTTTTGTCTTTAACATTAGACTTTTGTACAATGATTTATCTTGATTTTTGATTAATTGCGCCGTATAAAGTCGAGGTCTGCTACTTTTGTAGATAAATTTTCCGCATCTTTATCGAATCAAACGAAGACACGCATTTCTGTTTGCCTAAGTGAAAGGTTTCGCTACGGTAATCTGAATAGAAGACTGCACACTTTCTTTCACTACAAGTTTGAAATTCGTATCTAGGATCACTTATAGCATTTGAATCTCTGATTTGATTTGATGATTTTTTACAAAGAACAAAGTCAAACAAAATATTTAGAGGGAAAATCTGATGCAGAAATGATTCAAGATTATGATTCAGAAGTACTGGGCGTTTTTTTCATTTTACGCCTTCATGCAGGCATAACTCACGAACGGTTAGTGCTACAGACTTCGGACTTGAACCATAAGTTTATTCAAATTGCACAACCATAAGTTCGAGTGCTAAAGGTTATTCAAGGTCAATTATTTATTTGACCTCTAATTGACCTTGAAAGGTCCTTTTCTGAAATTGCACGATTTTCTGACCCGAAAGTGTTAGTCAGATATTCATAACTCATACTGGCTAAAGGATATGAGTGATCACTTAACATTGCGTTAATAAGGAAAAATTCATTCCATCTTTCCAATGGTATGAGTTATGAACATGTGACTAACACTTTCGGATTAGTAAATTTTGCAATTTCAGAAAATGACCTTTCTAATAAATTCACCAGACATAATTGAACAAGCTGAGTAATTGGTGTCAATCTACCGTGAATTGGGAGATCTTGTTAGAGATGGTTAACACTATTTTAAGATAGAGAAACTTTTTAAGGTTCAAGAACTTTATTTGAATTTAATAAGAATACTAAGTTTAGCTCCTATGAAGACACATCGCAAGGTTTATGAAAACTGTAATAGGGACTACAATCAAATTGTTGAATTGACTTAAAAAGATTCAAGTTTTGAAGTAAAAATAAGTAAAAAGGATTCTACCTGAAAACATCCAAACATAAAAAATCCGATTCAGATTTGTTCAAAGAAGTTTAAACCAATTTCAAAATATCCTACATAAAAAATTTAAATTTTATTGGCAGTTTAGACTTGCATGGCGGGATGTCACTAGGACTAGCACCATTCAGCATCATCAACTCCAGAAAATTTTCCGAATGGTTAACAGTTCCATGTTTACCACCATGCAGCCGTAGATTTTGATAGCTGCTCCAACCATCAGAATAAATTGTTGTCCCCGGAATGATATGGCGATGATATCAAATCAAGAAGAGTTTTTTCATCTCTCTTTTCCACTATCTCAGCAAAACATAACTTTGACTCTCGGTCGATTCCACCAAATACCCAGATTTGCTTTTTTGGTCATTAGTTAACGAGGTTAATTAACGTAGTTAATTAGGTAAGTTTTTCTGTTTATATATCTTTCAATTTAATCTTAACCATATGCTTTAATTAGTGAATTAAATTTGCCTGGAATTAACTTCCAAACTACCCTTGAACATCTCCAAAATAATCCGTTGAACTGTGATCTTTTTGACTCTGATTAAATTCATCTTGTGCTAATCTTTGACATTTGTTATTACTTTTATTAATTGTGTTTATCCCCCAAACATCTTTTCTAAAATGCCGCTTAAAAGGTTTCCTTCGAATCGAAGCTAAGCTGGACATAAGTCGTAAGTAAGAAGGCGAGAGTCAGCCGATGGTTACTTCTACAGCCTTACCGGAACAAAATAGTTAGGAAAACTTAGACAATTTAAAAGATAATTTGATTTATAATAAAAACAATGAAAATGAATGAATAAAAGTAAGAATTAATTTGAATCTGAGATTCGAGTCAAGAATGATTCATTGAATCATTTCAAGAAGCACGAAATCTACCCTTCATAAGGTTTGCAAAAATTTTCAATCGAATGCCTCTGAAGTAAGTTTGATTTTTTACTTTTTTAAGTTCAAATTTTATTGCATTTCAATGGTAAAAAGTACAAAATATTTTTTGGATGTTTTCTAGCCAAATCAGACCAGAATTTTCATAATTTTTTTGATCGTAATACACATTCTACATTTTACTAGCCAAGTTGAGATAAGAGCGCAATTATTTAATGTTTCCCAAATCAGTTTATTTTTGTTTGAAACTTTTTCCGTTTTTCCAAGAAAGGGAATCCATGGAACCTGAAAGCGCTACGACCGATTAAGTGAAGTCAATTATCCGATTTCAAAGAGTTTATTTGTATTGCAGCAAAATGTGGACCTTGAACCAATAATATTCCCAAAAGCATCCTCACAACACCAACGCTACCACCATCAATTATTGAATCAAAAATAGTCAATGAAATTCTGCAAATTACAGGTTCCATGAATCGATTATCTTTAATTTAATCAAAATAAGCTCAATATCAATATTTACTTCCACTCTTCAACTTTCATAAAGTTTCCGTTGGCCTATTAACAGATTGTTGATGATGATCTTGTAACCTGCAAAGACGAGTATAAATCAATAAAAACTAATTGTGAAAATTATTGACGACTATAAAGAGTCATAGATAACAAAACATACTCAGAAATATCAACAGTCCATTGTGATAATCAAAAAGGCTGATGCTTTAACAAGTGCAAGATTTAAACCAATTTCAATAGAGTATCCATTTCTGTTTTATAAAACTATTGAACAACTTGTCCATTTCCATGTAGAATCCATTTTGTTGATAAAAGGCCTTCCATACCTACTGGTCCTCGAGCATGGATTTTTTCTGTGCTTATACCAACCTCAGCTCCTATCATAGATATAAAAATTAAAATGAATAAATAGATTCAAACAGGATTCAGGAAACTTACCAAGACCGAAGCGATATCCATCAGCAAATCTTGAGCTACAATTATGGAAACAACATGCACTGTCGACTTTTTGGAGGAATAAGTTAGCGGCTTGATCTATAAGAAAACAGTGAAGTTGAATGAGTTAATACCGATAATTTATATCGAGAATGGTTAATTTAATTTTACCATTTTCTGTAACAATAACGTCTGTATGGCCACTTCCATAGGCATTAATGTGGTTGATTGCCTCCTCAACATTACCGACCAGTTCTATCGTACACTCTAAGCCTCCGTACTCCTTCTTTAATGATGTTGTTAATGGTGGGGAAAATGTTAAAGCATTGAATAACTTTGGACCAGAATAAACTGTCACTCCTTTGGATTTCAATTCATTGCAGAGTTGCGAGAAAAAATCGATGTTGACCAAAGACTGGTGAAGTAGAAGTGTTTCCATGGAATTGCAAGCTGAAGGATAGTTACATTTAGAGTTGATTACTGTTCAAAAAAACAAAAGTTATTAATAGTTGCACGAATTTTGATAAATCAATGCATCGAATAGTCAAATATTTACCAATATCAACGGTTTTCTTTAAATCAGCATCTTTGTCAACATAAACATGGCATATTCCTTCAGAATGACCTAGAACCGGAATTTTACCAGCCTTTTCTCTGATATCACGAACCAATTCGTAAGAGCCACGAGGTACAATCAAGTCAATTTGATCCTCATAAGTTATTAATTCACTAATTTCTTGTCTGGAATTAACCTGCAAAAACAAGGGTTGTAGAGTTGAAATAGCAACATGTGAGTGGGTAACAATGATAATGAATATCTTTTCTCAACTATTAAGGTACCATGAGAGCGACAAGATATTCCAACTGAATCTTTTCCAGTTATAAAAACTTACCAATGCAACAGCATCTTCAACACCATACTTTGAAAGAGCTTGTTGGACAAGTTCCCAAAGATATTGGTTAGAATGGCTAGCTTCTTTACCTCCTTTTAAAATCAGGCCATTTCCAGTGGCAATACAAAGACCAGCGATTTGTGGGAGACAATCAGGCCTTGATTCAAATATAACCAAAATATTTCCTATTGGTACTGTAATTTGTTTGAGTATCAACTCATCAGCCAGAACTGTTTCCTTAATGACGCGATTCAACATGCCTTTTGAATTTTCAGCTATAAATTTCAAGCCATCTGCTAAACTCTTTAGTTTTTTATCATCCAATTTCAGTCTGGACATTAAAACCTTAGATAGACCTACAAAGAAGAATAAAATCAATCGATTATCTCACTAATTATATTCAAGTAAATAGATTACAATACCTGTTTGCTCGCCTTTTCTTAGGTCCTTCTGGTTCTCCTTCAAAATCTTTGACTCGTTTTCAACCAAAAGATCAGCAAGTGTACTTAAGATATCTGATCGCTCTTCAGGCTTTAAAAATTGCAATTTAGATCCACCGATTCGAGCTATTGAAGAAATTAAATAATTTAAAAATGTGAATAAAAATAAAAATCTTGCTAACCTTTAGCAGCTAATGCTTCAGCTGATGAAGTCTTCGTTTGATGATTGGTAAAAAAGGTTCCTATTGCAAATCCATCAATAATTCGTTTAATTGCATCAGGTTCGTGTCCATTACAAATAACGGTAGTAACTCCTCTTTCCAAGGCCCAAGAAGCAGCATCTACTTTAGATTTCATCCCGCCAGTTCCAACTTTGTTATTGATGCCAAACTTAATGGAGCTGTCACTTCGAGTTGAATAGACGTTGATCAATTTAGACCCTTCTTGACCTGGAGGACCAGTGTAAACTCCATCAACATCAGATAGAAGGATGAGTAGATCAGCTCCAATTTCAACAGAAAGTAATGCAGCAAGACTGTCATTGTCATTTATCGAAATCTGTTGCTGTGATTACATTTAATTTCAGAATAAAAAGCAGCAAATGAAAATTTAATTTGAGCGCGTCAAGTGAGCCGTTAACACTGGCAACGAAAGCAAAGGCAAAAAAGAAGATTTGAATATTTTTGGAGTCATCTGAATCAGATGATCTGATTGACTCAATCATGTAAAAGATGATTATTAAATTAGCAATGTTAATTAAAAATTATAGATTGTTAAATTAAAGGGTTGCAAACTAAGTAACGTTTATCTAATTTGTGATTCAGCTGTGAATGAACTAATCTATTTCATATGTCTATATTGATCTATGTCTATAGTGTCTATGTCTAGATCATATATCTTATTCTGTAAATCTCTTTTTTATCTTTTATGATTTGCCGTTGTAATTAATGCTTGATGTGCTTAATATTGAATCTAAGCATGAAAATGAATATGGTTATTACCTCTCTATGTGTGGTTTCGGATTCTTGGATAATTTCTGGATGATCAGGCAGCATTGGTGAAACAATAACATCATTTGTGTTAACAATTGGTACAATGTTAAGATGTAGTAAGTCGTCTATTGTATAATCTAAATTGATACGGCTTACTGGATTGTGAAAGTCACTTTTGGTAGCCAATACTTGAGCAATTTTAACGCCATACTGGGTAAACATGGTGTCATACAAAGCCATCAAATTGCTCTGTCCAATAGCAGCAGCAGCACGAACTTGTAAAGTTTGATCTTCATTACTTAATTGAGTAGTCATCTGTCGAAGTGTTTGTCGCATTGATCGAGACATTCTCAATTCTGTAGATATTTTTTGCTTACCCAAGGCAACTGACCCGCTTGTTACTATAATAACATCTTTACCTGTATCACGAAGCTCACAGACTTGTTCAACAATGGAGGCTAACCGTCCAAGAGCTAAGCCAGACTGGTCTTCTCTGGTTAAAACAGCACTCCCAAGTTTAACCACAATTCTTTGAGCTCTTCGAAGATCTTCACGACTTTCGTATGGATTCTTCTTGGTCAATCCATTTTCTATCGAGTTTATGGCCTCTGTGACGACAGGATGAAAGCTGATCACATCATTAACATGTTCACCATGACCATAATGCAAATTGTTACTCAACGACCTTTTAAAACATGATTTTGACAACAATTGCTGTCTGAAACTTATTGGGATGAAATTTTTGGTGCGTAAAACAAAGTACATCATGTTTACACGACAAACATACATATTGAAGCGAGATTTTCTTGGAGGACTAAATCACAATGGATGGATTTGATTATGAATGCTACTTTATTTATATTGTAAAATTTTATGACCGTTATGCTGTTATCTTATTTTTTTCTGGATCATTTCTCTAAGTTAAAGAAACAAAAACGAACTGGGAATTTTGTCAATGGAAATCATTTTGATTTTTGATCCACCAAGAAGTACGGAGAATGTCTTGATGTAAAATGTTGTGAGTTGAAATTTTAATCAACCAATCATTCGCAGAGTTGTGTTGAAAAACATAGATATAACCTGCTATAAATTGATTTAAATCATAACACAAACAAAGACAATACACTGGATAATACAAAAAGCAAGGATAGGGAAAATAATTTAGGTAAATTTTGTATGAGGAAATCTTGACATTAAAAAGCTGAAAGGCTATTAATAGGTATCAGGCAATTAACCAGAATAATCAAGATACAAGTCACCCGTTTATTTCATGCGAATAATTAAAGACTGTTAATACATATTTTAGTTGATCATAACGACTCTAAATGAAAGAGCTACTAATGTGAGAAAAGGTCATACATTGAGTCCAATTTTTAACCGGTTTTACATCATAGTCTATTTACCCCTTTAGTTGTAACTTTAATTACTGTTTGATTACGACAAATTGATGAAAACAAAATTTAAACAATTGAAAAGCATTACTCCGAGATCAGTTTGATATTGAATATTAAACAAGTTCAAAGCTTTAAATCCATACAGTTTTATGTAGTTAGATTGAGCTACACTTGTACGATAGCTGCTTAATGATTCATAATGATTGTGACTGAAAAATTATCTGTAACTGAATCAAATGAATATCAAATTTTGTCCAAAATGAGTAAGAGTGAGTTGAGAGGGAGAAGATGAACGATATTGAGATTCGTATCGAGTAAATTCAATAGATAATTGGTAAATCCAAATGAATGTTGAAACCTTATAATTTAGTTGAACACTCGTTTAATTTGTTTCACTTTTTTCTTAGCAGAATAAAATTGTGTTCAAGTGTAATTGACTGAATTCAACCTCGAACGGAACATGGAAATACTTGGAAGTACCAAAATTCAGCATTTGATTTCAATTGTTATATTTAACCTCATCACGGCAAGTAAGTATTTTTGTTGAAAGAAGTGACAAGTTTAATAAATCAATTCTATCCACAGATTTATTTGCTTTGGCTGAAATTGATAATCAAACGATTCCAAACTCGATCAGTCCTTTGATCAATCCTAAAGGTGTTGATTTGATTGCTCAAAATTTGTCAATGCAATGTGATTGTTCCTCAAAAGATGTGATTTCCGATGAATGTAGAACGATTTGTGGTGAGTAAATCTTAAGATTGAAGTTGTCAATTTTGTCTGATTAATCTTTATCCATTTTGCAGGTTCATCACCTCAAGCCAATTCAGGAAAAAAAATTAACTGTATGTATTGCTCACAATTGACCGTGATTTGACTTTATTGCGTTATCCTGAAATCACTTTTTGTTTCTGAATTTTTCCGTCCCTCTAGATGTTCCTATTGTGGTTATATTAAGCATGGTTGTTTTCCTTGGCGCTGTTACTTATATTACGTTATATCTGAAGAATAGACCGAAAAGCACAGATCCTGATATTGGCCTGGATCATATTAAAACATCGGAAAATAAAGACAAAGTTGCTGTTGAAGTCGTTAAGGAAGAAACAAATCGCGAATCTTCTAATGTTACAAATGGTCATTTAGAGGAAGTTGTTTTGAATGAATAGTCATTTATCAAACAATTTATCAACGATTGGCAAATCAATCTCGATCAAATATCACTGTCCTTTCCAATCTAATTAGATGCTCAAAACATGACTTCGCTGGATACTAGTATTTAATGTATAAACCATATATGAGAGGTTCAGTTTGAACATTGAACTATTTTTGAATGAGAATCATTTTTTGCTCATTTTTCTACCTTTAAACGTGTAAAAACTTATCAACTTTAAACACTTTCATCCTTTCCAACTAGCAGCCAGTAAAATTTCATTTCATCAAAATTATGGGTTTAATTGTTTGTTGTTTATTTCATAGAGATGATTCAGATAAACAACAGAATAAACATAGTTAAAAATTACCATTTAAGTAATGATTAAATGACAGATCGAAAAACAGTTCATTTTATCTGATATAAATGAATGATGATATTATAGCCATTCATAGACATGAAAATGAAAATGATTCAAATTCATCCAAAGATCCTAAAAAGGCACGCGTAAATTCACAGTTTTTTGGCTTTTAATTGCTGACGTCTACGTAAATATCAATTAAATTTTACAGCTTAAACAATTAATCCACTCTAGTGATTCTCTGCTAGATCATCTATCCTTTGTCTCTTGCAACGGGAACCGTCAGAGCTGATGAACTGTTGAAGCTGTAGAGGCTAAGGACCGAAACAGTCTAAAATTTAGGTTCGCAAACAAATATTTATGAATGTATTTAATCCACGCAATCGAATGGAATTCAATTTTTTCTAAACTCAATATTTCGCACAAAAAACGCCGAAAAGGATAATTTTGTAGATACCGAAGCCAGCCAAATTGAGCCAGGAGCGAACCATTTAGTGAAGGAAGCAAGTCGAGCGGCGTTTAATGGCTCGAATCGGCTCACTTTAGACAAAAAGTTTTCAGCAAGAGCTTTTTGATAACAGTTTTTTCAAAAAGTTTCATGCGACTTAATAATACATTGTTTTTTGAATGATTCCAGACAAATTTATTCATAAGCGGCAATTTAATTGACTCGTAGCTTGAGCAGTAGATCGCAGAACAATGAGTTCAAACGCTCAAGGTCATTCAAGAACACTTCGTATTTGACCTCTGACTGACATTTTCTGAAAATAAAAACTTTTCAGATCGGTTAATGCTGGTTATATGTCCATAACTCATGCTTGCCAAAAGATATGAGTGTTTACATATCGTTGATATCAATCGTCGATATATTGAAACCAATTGATTGCTTTCAAGAAAAATTCGTATTCTGTATTCTGTATTCTCAAGAAGCTCGACCAGTTGAATACAGAAGTTTAGCCGTATTAAGGTCCATCATTTACAATAATGAGCTGTTAACATTTCCAATAGTTGTATTGAGATGTGAAAGTTTCACCTTCCTACAACAGAAAATCAAACGAAAATTGATTTTTTTGCAACGATTGGAAAGATTTGGCGCTAATCGAAAAAATTCAGTGATGCTAACAATAATCAAATTCATGTTTGGGGTTTCAGATTTACAGCTACAAAAATACCAGACTGGTTGCTTCCTTTTATTTAAAATTCAAATACTTTAATCAATAATATCACATTTGGCTGGACTTCTCTTGCTGCCCATCAAATTTTAAATCTAAATCTTACCTTATATTTACACATTCAGAATAAACTTTGAACTGATTGTTGATTTTGATCTTTAATTATAATAGACAATTATTAATTGTAAAATTCAATCTTCATTTCTTCCATTATTACTCTGAATGGACTGTTTTTATTCAAAACAATTTGATCAATACAGGTTTGAAGAACCAGGATTGTTGTACCCAAACCTTATTTTACAGTAATGTTTCTGCTCTTAAGATTCTTCTGGTTTAAGCATCGACTAATTTTAACTTTGATTATGGGCCAGAAGTGCAGAGAGACTGAGGAGATGAAGATGAGGGAGAAAATGAACAAAAAATAAAGCACAGAAATGATGAAACAATTTCAATTTACATGGAGTTCCAGAAAGTTAATGGAGACAAATATCACTGTCAACTTATTTCTCACAGATAACAGCAACATTGTGATTAAATTTTAAAGGTCAACTTTCACTGTAAATACTTGAGCTTATAAATAATTGTGTACTTAACCAATCAACATAGCCACTTAGCCGTTGAATCGGACAATAAGTCAAGTGAAAGACTTTGGTCGAGAAAGATTTGACAAAGATTTTGTATTCAGTGAAACAAGTGTTGCTTTTAACCTGAAAATATTGTGTGAAACCATTAAATTGAAAAATCATGGGAGCCATTTTATCCAAACTTTGGCCTAATCGATCAAATAATCAAAGCAATAACAATAACAACCAACCACCATTAGCTATTACAGCTCCACCAGTTAGATTACCTTTGCCCTCGCCACCTTCAATTTCCGAAAACGATCCAGGTAATTATTTAACTTGTATTTATATTTAATTTAGTGTCTCATCGAAAACAATTGAATGTCTGTGAGAAAATACTGAATCTCAGTTGATCTGGATGACTATTCAACTCTGATGTTTAAGAAAGTAATCGTCATTTACTTTATCTTTATTCACTTTGACTCCTTCGCAATCATTGGGTAAACCATTGTCTATAACCAGAATACCATATTTATTTGACTCTATTCATTTGTTTTCTTGGTTACTTTCTTGTTATATTTGTTTGTATGTTAACTATTAGCTCAACAATGCCCTTAATCAAGTCAACACCAATTTGTTAAATTGTACAATCTTCCAATAGCGCTGATAAATCAATTCACTCATCTTCATCACAACTGTTTTCTTTCTTTTTCCCTTTTTCTCCATTTTACTTTCTATCTTTCCTGTAACTCACTCAAAAACATTGCCTCGCTCGTATTGCATCTAAACCGTTCAAGTTAAATGAAAGTTATTTTCTATTAATGGACCTCTAATTACCAGGATTACCATCATTTTATAAACATTTGTTTGTCTTATTTAGTGTCTTATGAATATTCAAAGTGACTCAGTTAATCCTGCTTTAGCTTTTAATAAGTCGTTTCTTGGTGATAATCGTTTGTCTACAAAATCAACTGTTTAGCTTTTTTTATCCAACATTTCTGCCAAGACAGCCTTTCCAGTCAACAGTTAACTCTACCTTGTTTATGTTGATTTTTGTGTCAATTGTTCAATCATTGTGCCCATAGAACCGCTACCAATCTGTGATAATTGTTGCCCAAATTAACCAAAAACCATGGGCTGTATTTTTTCATTTTTCAAATTTAACCAGTCTTATAAGGTGGCTGAGCGTAAGTAAATTGAATGCTTATTACTCCTAAATTTACTATTTCTATTTACAAGTTGATTCGACTTGTGTCTTTCCATGGTTAATCTGTTTTATTGCTATTTGTAATCAGTTTCCACCAAATCACTCTGAACTATTCAAGTAACTTTTAGGTTTTATCATTTTTCTCATTCAACTTGACAACCGAGAAATTGTTCTTTCCTAACCTAACCTGCTTTTAACTAGCAATTGTTTTCTCCTCTTCGTCTTGCCTTCTTCATCCTTTTTTATGTATCATTCAATTTACAACTGCGATGGCAATCAAAGGCCTTCAATTTAGTCTTGATTAGTAAACACACTTGTAATCATCATCTTCAAGAATACCTTGAACACACACAGGATTGGTCATAACTTGATTATCTCATCTCTGAATTATCCCCATATATGTACAAGTATCTGCTATAGCAAACCCTATGATTGAGTCATTTTTTTCTCTAGCCATAAATCAATGTTGACCAATGTTGATACAAAATCAAGTTAAAATAATGGATGAACAAGCCAGATTTGGAAGAAAAATGTTGCTTCAAGATATTTTTAGACTTTCCTTTTTCCCTCTTTGCAACAAATTTTAACAGAAAAATTATCATCTTCAACACATTATTCCATGCCTTTACCAGTCGACCGGTTAGCTTTTATGATTCACTTTTCAATATGAACTTTGATCACACATCTTTAATCCTTGACATGATTAGTTAACAAACATCTTACGCTCAGTTAACTATTTTTGCTAACCTTTAACTGCAACTTACAATAACCGTTTCTTCTGGTTGTCCTTCAACGTCTTCAAAAAATACGAAAAGCAAAAGATGTTACCAAATTAACCAATCAGTAATACATTGTATCACAGCATGTTGATAGTGTTGTCTAGGCCACATTTTTGTTTTAATGTAACAAAACAGCTTCACTCAATAGTTATAAAGATCTTAATCAAGGTTTCCTTGATTACTTATTGATAAGGTTAACTCTAATACACTTAGGCAAACACGGGCACAAAATAAACATTAAATCAAGATTGTTAACCAACATCTTGACACTTTACATATTTTAATTTGCAAACAATGGTGAGCTGTAAATGTATGAAAAGCCACAAAAGATATCTAAACCCAAAAATGGTGCCATATTTGAATTTTCATTTTACCATGACAACAATTTTAATTTATGATTATCACCAACACCAAGCTCATCAATTACCAATAGTGAATATTTTTATTATTAATCACGAGTTGGTAATAACAATAATTTAATCATTAAAGCAATATAACAATATTTAACCATCAAGTAGTGTTGTTTTACAAAATTTAAGGCCAACAAGCTTTTGTTGGCTTTCAATTGATGCTAATGTTTTGATTTTGGTTAACAATTATAAAGCAATAATTTGAGAGCAAACAATTTCATTAATAATGCCTTTGTATACTTTAGTTGTGACTAATATTTTGATAAACATTTCATTTGTTCCTTCACCAGGAACAGTCATTAATCAGCATGTTTCAATCCAAAAAGGGATGAACCAGACTTACCCATTGTATAGTTGTAAGATTAGCCCAAATGTAAGCTGACTGATTTAAATTAGTTAATTGTGTTAATTTTAGAGTTAAATTTCTTGGTTTGATCACCAATTTAGATGTTACTAACAGTAAATTGTTATCAACCAACAACAATATAGTTTGGTTTTCAACTAATACTAATGATTCCAGGAAAAAAGAAGGATGAACAAAAAATCTCCAATAGAGTTTACTGTTTCTCATATTTTTTGGCAACTGTTCAACGATAAATTGTGTGCAGAGGTTAAAATTTCATTGGAAACTGTTTAAACTTTCCTTGTATTAAATCTATTATTCAAGTAATCAAACAATCAAAGCTTTTGAAATAGACCAAAATTATTCACCAAAAGGTCGAGTTTATATTTAATTTGTTCACTTTAACTTTCGATTGACAATTTTATATCAACCAAGTTTGAGCAATATTTCATTTCAGATGCCAAGGTGTGATTTAAATTGATTATTTTCAAGATAAATAAATGTAGGATTGTTATTGTTGGGTTTGGTTACATTTTTCATCCTTGCATTAATCAATTTGTCCTTTCTTGTGTTCACTTTAAATTTCATCATGAAAATCAATCAACCTGAATCAATTAATTTGCTTTCTACCAATTTGATAATGATTGTTGTTTAATAGTGCCCAAATCATCGTTGATGTAACCTGTAAAAACAAATTTGTTAGTAGGTTGTCAAGCTTGCCAATCAAGATTAAACAGTCGCTTTTCCCTTTCAACCTTCAAATGATGATTTTTCATCTCATCCTAATCTATTCTGATCACCTTCATGCTTTCGGTTATATCAACTCTTCATCTTCATATTCGTAATCAGTCATTTCTACAGTTATCTTCGTAGTCATCTTTAGATTCATCTTCATAGTCAACTTGATATTTCTTTATCTCTTTTTAGGAATATCTTTTTTTAAAACAAACAATCTGTCAACTGATGTCAACCCAATTTTAATTTTGTATCCTTACTCACTTAATCAGCAACATAACTTGAACAACAATTAAAGCTCTAATCATTTTTTTTCCTTCTAATTCTGTACAGCATCTGAGAATAAAGATTCGACTCAACACCAAGGAAAGAAAGCTTCCAAAAAACAATCTGGGCAACAATCAAATAAATCTGCTGTAAAAAATGAGCATCCGCTTCCCAATCAAGTAAGTTAATCTTCAAGGAATTAACATTATCATAAGCACAGTTTTCGTCAAAATTTATATTCTGTTTATTTTTTACTTTTAACAGTCTTTTATATACAAAACTGTCCTGGAAACAACCGTCTCTGATGCCAATGCTAATGAAGAAGAGGAAAGAAAGAAAGCTGAGGAAGCTCCTGGTCCTTTTGAGATTGAAACCGATCTATTAAGTCCAGAGGTTGAAGAAGCAGTGATTAAAATTCAAGCAAATGTCAGAGGTTACTTAACACGGAAACAGTACAGAGCTACACCAGAAAGATCAATTGAAAAACCTTCAAGTCAAGTAAATCAAGGTATAGACATGGAAATAATGGCAAAACATGAATTTGTGTTAATTTATTATTTTTCTAATTTCTTATATAATTGTATTAAATTTCTGTAGAGCAAACCGAATCGACTAATGAGGCATCATCTGGAATACTTGCCCCACCACCGAGTTTCTCTGATACTCCCAAGGAACTTCCTCTAGATGAAGCTAATCAAACAGCTAATCAAGGGAAAAGAATTGCGGAAAAATTGATTGAACTAGAGAAGCAAGTCAGTCAAGCTGCTGAGCCTTATGACAAGAGACCGGCTGAAGATAGGGAAACTAATTCTCGTCAACTGGATGATCAAAAAGTAAACATTTCAAATGATGATCAAAGTATCACTGTTAGGAGCAATGAAAGTAATGGAGCTGAAGGAAATTCAAATGACTTAAAACTTTTGCAAATTCCATCTATTGAGACAGATTTGAGTGAATCTTCTGCGCCTGAAGAAGCAGCAACGAAAATTCAAGCTGCTTTCAGAGGTTATCAAGTTCGAAAAACTATTTCACGTGAAGCATCGCCAATGAGATCTAGAGATAAAACGGATGATAAAGGTTCTGAATTGGATGAATTTGCTGATAAAGAAGGAAAGGTTAATCTTAGAGAGAGAGTTTCAACCTCAGCTCAAGATCCTGAGAGAGAATCTATTCTAGTTTTGGATCAGCTAGAAGAGGCCTTATCGAAAGAATTACTGAAAACACCTGGTAAAACAGAAGATGAATCATCGTCAAGTTCAAATTCAACTGATATCGATTTAAATTCAAGCATTAAAAGCAATTCTTCTTTGGTCGAGCCATCACAAGTTGAGAATGATTCAACTCAGAAAGTTACGACCGAGTCCCTATCAAAGTCAAGCGATATTGAAGATAAACAGCCTCAAGATTCACTAATTAATACTAATTCACCGCAATCAGATGATAAATCTTTGACCAATAACTTGAAGAATGATAATCTTTCGAGTACAAACATTGAAAGTGTTGTTTGCACTCAAAGCTCAAAATTAATGCAAGTCAATGATCCAGTTCCAAATATTGTCGCCTCTGACTTGAAAGAGTCTGAAATTCTCGATCCCTCTTCTAATGGAAACAATGTTGAATCGATTGCAAATGAACCTGTCGTGTTTGTCTCTAATGAAGACAAAGTTGATGCATCACCAAAATTAGAGTCAGAAGAAGCTAAACAAGAAACTGATGCTGTAGTTATGGTTGAGGTTGCTGGTAAATTGAATGCTTCTCCTCTCCCAGAACTCACTTCAGACTCTAAAATTGGTTTAAGTGAAAACCTCCATGTGAAATCTAATATTTTGCATGAGATTCAATCAGATTCAAATGAAAATAATCAACCCAAAAATGAACTCAAACTGGATTCCCCCATTTCAATGGAAACTGAAGAAGTTGTTAATCAGTTTGTGACAAAGAGTGAAGAAACAACTGACTCTAAAGTTGATCAAATTCCAACTTGCGATATACTTTCCAAAAAAGAAACTGATTCATTACCTCAACCGATTACATCAAATGAACCTCAATCTGTTCAGGAAAGTGAAAAAATTCTAGTAGACACTGAACTTCCATCTCCACAAAGTGTAGAGCCACCAACTACAACAGTTACTTCAGATATTTCTAAGCCAAATGAGCCATCAAATGATATAGTAAAAGAAACATCTTCTGATACCATGGAATCAAAACTTGCAGAAGAAAAAGATATTAAAGCTGAAGAAAATGAAGATTTGCAAAATGAACCACAAAAAAACCAGAGATTGTTAAAAGAAGATTCTTTTGGCTCTGATATTCTAATCTTGGACGATGATTCAATTGATAGAAGTGACACTTTATATGACATAATCGCAGAGAAGGGGTTAAATGTTTCTGAATCATCCAACCAACAACAAGAAAAAGACAAAGACTTGTCGCTTCATGATCAAAGTGGTTTCTCTTTTAAGACTGATGCTTCTGAAAGTTTTACTGAGATGAAAGATGACATTCTCGTTAACCTTGATGAAAGTGATGATGAAGACGAAAATAAAAATATCGAAGAGACAATCAGCACGAAGTCAGCTGTTGGAAATGATAATCAAAGTTCACCAGTTTCAAAAGCAAATAATGAGAGTGACCAGCTTAGTAATGAGAAAGTAAATACGTCGATCTCTAATGATTCAGTTTCTTCCCATCTAGTAGTTGAAGAGCATTCGAGTTTAACATCGGCAAATTCAACTAATGATCAAATCTCTACAAGTGTTAAACCAACGGAGACATCAAGTGAGACACATGTCCAACTATCTGAGAATTTCAAGGATTCGTCTGATAAAGATCTTAGTAAAGAGCAACTTGAAAATAATGATATTGCTACTAATGAGACAATCATCCAACCAATTAATGAATCATTAAATGAGCAGATAGTTTCAACAAATATGGAAAGCTGCCTTAAAGAACCTAGTTCATCATCTGATGATCAATTAGAAAAGTCAGACAAAATTAGTGCCATTGTACCAGATGAACATTCAAAAGAAGATGTAAGTCAGGAAAATGTAAGATCTCAAGAAGTATCTTCTGTGGATAAAATTAATCCAGAAACTGATTTGAAGCCTTTAGAAATTGAAGAAAAGACCAATCGAGATTTATCGATAGGAAGTGAGGAAACTTTAAAAGCGGAATCAAAAGCCGAGGAATCTTCTGCACCAAAAATAGACATAGAAAATGAATCTGAAGAGTGTTCAAATAAAACAGAATTTATTGACCAGAAAAGTATTTCCCAAACTCCTGTCACAATCAATGTTCAGACAACTGTAACTACTGCCGAAGCTGTTCAAGAAAAACCAGATGAAAATTCAAACGCAGCAAAAGATGATAAAGGTAATTTAATTGTTACAAAGGTTGAAAGCAACTCTTTTGATTCATTAGACTCTCAATCACAATCTAGAACTATTCAAGATGATTCAACAAGCTTAAAACAAACCAAAGAATCTGAAAGCAATCTTCATTCGGAACCATCTACAGGATTGAACCTCGATGAAAGCTCATCTTCAACTCAATCAGTGGTCATTATAAATCAGCCTGAAATAGTTGAATCAAGTGGTGCTTCCGAACTCCCAACATCTTCAACCGAGTCAACACCTACTGAAGAGTCAGATGATAAAACTGAAGATTCCAATCCAGAAGATGAGAATCGACTATTGAGGATAGTCGATAGAGAAGCCAGATCTAAAAGTCCTAACCCATTTGGTCGTAAAAGAAGAAAAGGGAAAAAAGGTCGAGCTGTTCAATAAAACAATCAATTTTATTTAATTAATTTTATTTTAAATCAGTCAAAGTTGCACCTTTCAATTTGATGCCATTCACAAGTGCTGAAAAGGAAGCCAAAAGGAAAAAAGCTCCAACATGAAATACATTTTACACAAAATCAAGAAACTAACAATTTAAAAAACTAATATAAATATATTATCATGAATTTAATTTTGTGTAGATTATCAAATATTGTGTAAACAATTATGACTATACTTACTCTCATACATTAAATTTTTAGTTTCATCCTTTACTTTTCATTCATTGATTCAAATGGATTTTGACTAATAAAATTTTGTAACTCTTTTGGATCTTAATACTATTTATAATCAAAATCATTAATATTTAAATACTGTTGTACTTAAATACGTGTAATATAATGAATCCAAAAACTTAGTAGAGAGTGAAGAGGGTAGAATACAAAAATGAATTCAGAATTTTGTGAAATTTGAAAATTAGTTATTGCTAACGTAAGTAAAGATGATTTATTGTTTTGGTCTGAGATCATTTCGCTGATTAAGAAGCATTCAATTTCATAATAAATTTTATCTTCCTTTTAATTATTATACTAATGATATAAAATCTTTATTTCTTAACTTAATTTAAAATCCAATCCAAAACAAAACAAATTGCATTTCTTAAATAAAATACACAATCAGGTACAAAAGACTAGACTCAACTCAGTGGAGCTGTGATCAGTGAATGAATTAAAAATAAATATTCTAGTGGTGAAACAATTTCACTCGTTGATTTGCGTATCTTTGATAATTATAGAGTCAAAAGGCCGCTTGGTAAAAACTCTTGGTAAGTATTATCTCGTCAAATTGGAGTCCATTTGACAACTCATTGAAATACATTGTCCACTCCATTAATTATTGCTCTTTTCTCTCTATAACAGCACTTCTATCTCGTGTAATCTTGATAAATATTTTAAAGTCACTTGAGGTGAGAGAAAATGTAGTCCACCAAACATAGAGATAGATAACTATCGACCAAAATCGTTCAAATACAAAAAGCAATGACTTGAAACCATGAGCCATACAAATTGAGAAGTTGAAAAGTACCTAAATTGAGATAGAAATATAATTTTAGATTAGCTCAAGAGTCAGTACATGTAGCTAATATCCTGATAAAACTAAACTTACATTACAGATCAACAAAAGGACGAAGATGATATGTCTTGGTTTCAAGTAAGGCCAAGATGAATCAATTGATTTACTTGTAGATGTAACCTCGAGAAATCTTTTGTGAAGAATGTGAGCTAAACATGAAAGTAAAGGTATATGGAAGAGTATCATCTGTGTAAAAGAAGGCAAAGGGTTAGTTTTGGTTTTTCTTTATATTCAAGTTAATCTTAAATGCTTGTTCTGAATCTATCTTACATTGATACTTGCAAAAAGGTATGGTAAACCTATAGGAATCCAATGACCATTGATGTACATTCCCCACCCAAATTCAAGTAGATCGCCAATAAACCAAGGACCAATCATGGTATACAGAGTTAGGATCATCATCGCAATGAAAAAATTGTCATATACCGCAAATATCAGGAATTTGAAGTAAATTCTGTAAATCAAGCTTGATCTTGCTCTTGATTGGATGAGTGGTCCTGCAATAAATAGACATTTTGTTAGAAATAGAAAGATTATCTGACTTGCTCTGATTACACCGAAGCTGGATTCTAAATATTTGATCAGCTTGGTTAGATCAAAATCTTTTAGCCCGACTTGAAAAGTATGCTTTTAAAGAGAATCAATAAAAATGAATTATATCAAGCTTAGGCAAATCAAAACGACATCATTGATTTTGCTGAATCAAGGAAGCTTGAGGTTCTTAAAGAAAAGGATAATCACAAAATCGATTTTTACACGATTGAATCCATAAAAGGTTTATCATAGTTCTAACTCACCTTTTTCAATCAAAAATAGTAACCTCATTGCAATGACTGGGAATATTGCGATAAATATTATAAACGTGAACAGACATTGAAGCTAGAGAGTCATTAAAATATTGAAATTAGTGAAATAAAATCTTCGAAATTCAATAAACAAACATTTAACTTACGACTGAACGAGTAGAGAAACGGAGAATAAACCGCGCACCAAAAGGATACTCAGGTTTAGTTCCATCAATTGAGAATTCAACAGTTTCCGTGTTTTCATTACCATTTTCATCCTATTAATAAAAAAATTAGCCATGAATCCATGGATATGAAAACATCGCCTTAATTGAATTTTAACCAAAATTGAATAAACTTACAGAAGCTAGAACTTCAATTTTGTGTAACCCAGCTGAGTATTTTTCGGGATTCCAAGGATATGTGAAGAGTGGGTGAGTTTTTGGAGCTCTATTCATAATACTCCATGGTTCATTATCGACTCTTACTGACACTGAGTCAATTGGACTGGGTGAAAAAGCGAGAACTCTGATATGTGTAGAGTTTGATATGCGATGGAGCGGCTCATACCGTGGCATTTGAGCTATAGCTGCTTTTGGGTTTGTTACCAAAATAATGGGCCATTGTTCTAACTTGACATCGACGAAGTTGAATAAACCGTGATCAACGGAAGCAACACGAAACATTCTTTCATCTTTCCAATCAGCAACTTCAATTTCAAGATACCCAGTTGATTGTGTTGCATACATCTTTTTTAACCCACCTAAGGTATGGAAATGGCCACACAAATATGGACCAGTTATAATGTTTCTCAAGTAAGGAGATTCTTCAATGATGGAAGATGTAGGATAATGAGCGAAGAAGATTGTCATATTAGATTTAGGAGCCTTGCTTACAAGATCTTTGATTCTACTCAAATCGCTCTTTTTCAAGTAACCAATGAAATTAAATGGTCTCTCCGGTGAAGGTTGAGGGCAAGCATCAATACCAAGAAAATTGTATTTATCTGAGCCCTGGGTAACAGTGTATACATAATGTCCAGCACTTTGATTACCTCTGTGAGTATATTTTCGATAAGAGTTGTTTGGCGAATCCCACGAATGTACGTTGAAAGCATCTATTATTCAAAAGGAGAAGATCCAGAGAGTTAAAAATTCAATGAACAATAATCCATAAGAATCAGAGGAGATGTCACTACTTCGTTTTGTAACATCATTAACAAACATTTTACAATTGAATACACCTTTTCTATGAAGGATAAAGATTTAATAATAATGAAATTACCATGATTTCCTCTCATATCGAGCCATATAGTTTTTTCAGTGACTCGACTTGTGTTTAGGGCATCAGCATACCATTTCCATTCTTCTTCAAATCGATCAGAACCGACTGGAGCTACAGATCTTGAATCGGTTAAATCACCAGTGGCAAGAACAACAGAGGGACGAACGGAATCAACTACAATATTGCAAAATCTACGAAAATCAGGAATCAGCTTCTTGTCGAAAACAGCACTGAGATGAATATCACTTATCTACAAGAAAAAATGGGTGCTAGAATAAAGTTATCAAAATAAGAAAAATGAATATTCAATTGCATGTATATAAAGACTTACCTGCATAAACCACATAAGATGATCTGGTTTATCTCCAATTATCACAGAGTCCAAACTAGGGTCAATAATTTCAGGTGGATTGTAAATTTCACCATAATAATTTTTTTCGTCGATAACACTAAAATGAATTATGAAAGAAATCATAGAGCCAACAATGACAACCGTAATGATGAAGAATGTAGTTGTCAACATGCTCAGTTTTTTCTTCGAACCCTCAATTTTTGAAAGGTGTAAGGTGACATAACTAAAAAGAACAGATAAATGAACGAAGTTTAGAGGAATTTACAATTAAAATGTGAGGGAAAAGCACAATTTATAAATAAACAAACTTTATTTCTGACATATGATTTTCAATCATTACTGCCATCTATCTTAAAATTTTACCAAACTTGAACCTGACAAGGGAAAATAACCGGCTAACAGCACAATTGAATTCCAAGTTTATGTATAAAACGAACAATTAGATAATAGAATCAAAAATCAGAACAAACCGAATAAGGTGAATGGTCAAAATTGCCAAAACGTTCAATTCGATAATTTTTCATGGACTAAAAGAGCAATTTCAATAAAATTTCTTGAAAAGATTAAAATTTTGATAGACTGATAGTGAAAAAGGAATATGTAACTTCAAAGGGAATTTGCACATAAGAATTTGAAAATTACCTGACTAATTACTGAACTAATGAAACAACATTTGTTTAAATTCAATATTTAAAGAAATAATTGGACAAAAGATTGGTTTACATTTCAGGTTATTTAATCATTTTAAACATTGAAGACAAATATATTGGTTTTGTAATGTAATTATGCTTTGACGTTATCACATAATTGAAGGTTCAAAAGACCACAGGAAGACTTGAACAATTGTCGGTTATCCTTAAGCTCATTGATAACAGTTTTCCAGTCAACATCATTAGAGGTTGATTCAGCTTTGGTTGACTCAAGGAAACTGACTAAACCATCGACATCACCTTCATGTTGGTACTTCAAGATATCAGTCTTGTGAGCCAAAAGGAAAGAGACTAAAGTTTCCCGGGTAACTGAGGTATATTTAGTTCCAGGTCCAGTGTTTCTGACAGCCCAAGCAACGAGTGATGGGAGTCCGTGTTCTTTCTCTTCACTTTGTCCAGTTACCTTCTTCTCGAGGATCTTGGCGAAAACAAGAACCCAGTTAACTCCTTCAGTTCCTGATTCTTCAGCATGTTCTTGAAGGAATTTAGTAGCACCAATGATGTTCAATTTATTGTAGTACTTGAGGAACTCTTCTCGGTACTTCTCAGTGAATTGATAAAACTTGGCGGCATCGATCTTAGCTGCTTGACTGTCTTCTTTAGGGTCAGAAGCAGCCCAGAGTAACAATGGTATTGCTTCAGTTACAGCACCAGAGTTAGCGATCTCATCAGCTAGAATAACAAAGAGAATGATTGCATTATTAAACATTGATTAGTATTACCAGTTTTCTGGTTAACTGGTAGACTGTTTAGAGCTTACCTGAGACGAAAGCTGGGACGATTAGGAGTGAAGCTAAAACAAGTAAACGCATCATTTTGTTGATTAAGTTGGTTAATTGATTTACAATTCAATTATGATCTCAACTTAATTCCTAACCCCTTTATATGTTATTTTTTGCCTGAATATCCAACTTCTTTTGGTTTTGATTGACACTTCGATCCTCCTTTTCATTTTAATCATCCTATTTTCTAAATCAATCACATATGGAACACGATAGCTACTTATGATATCAACACCTTTTTATTATTGTCTTAGTCCACACAGGTTGATATGTACTTAGATTTACTGTCGCTGCTTAATCAAACATTTTTAAAAATTAATTAATCATTCATTCTTCATCATTAGTTCTTGATGTTCAATGTAAGCCTAAAAATTAAAAACTTACCGTTGAGGTTACATTGCATTGAATATCTGAAAATCAATCAAAATATTCAATGTTTGGTCAATCTAGCAACTACACGTATGTAGACTTATCATTTGATTTCCAAGAGTTTGATTGACATTTCAACTCGACTTGTTTAATCTTGACGCAGTGGTTAGATGCACATCACACGTTGTTTATTAGGTTTTAGATGCTTCGACACCTTTTCATTGTCTAAGTCCAGTCAGGTTATTATGTACTTGAATTCACTTTTGTTGATTTAATCAAACCTTTCCAGAATATTTATTAATATTTCTAAAAATGTTTGAATTGTTTGATTTTGGCAAATTTTCAAGGGGTTGGACTAAAAACCAAAATTCAACCAAGCAATCAAAATAAATCAAAATAAATTAAAAGAGTATGCATAACAAATCTGACTTTTGATATAAGAGTTGTTGATAAGACTTTGTTGGAATGTACGGATATAAAACTGAGTCCATTAGTGCTATGAAAGAAGTTTCCAGAAAATCGAGTTCAAAGTTTAAACTCGAATGCAACTATTTCGTGAAACAAAATTTTTGTTTTCTGTAAAACTACATACATAAATGTAGACTTATCATTTGGTTTCCGAAAGGTTATTTGACATTTCAACTCGACTTGTTTAATATTGACGCATTTGGTAGATGAATATCACATGCTCGATGTTTATTAGGTTTTAGATGCTACGACACCTTTTCATTGTCTAAGTTCACTCAGGTTATTATGTTCTTGGATCCACTTTTATTGATTGATTTTATTAATCAAACCTTTCAAGAATTTATTTATTTATTAATATTTCTCGAAATGTTTGATTTTCTGCTAATTTTTAAAGGGTTGGACTAAAAAATTAAAATAAACCAAAATAAATTAAAAGAGTATGCATAATAAATCTGACTTTTGATATAAGAGTAGGGGCTTTGTAAGCTTGTATGGACGTGAAACTGAGCTCATTATTGCTATTAAAAACGAACTCGAACTAACGATCGCTAGTTTTCTATAAAATCTATTTCAAAGTTTAAACTTCGAATGCAACTATTTCGTGAAACAAAATTTTTGTTTTATGCAAAACAACTGTTTTGTTGTCTTGGGAACTGCTTGCAATAAGGCCAGCTTGTTGGGTATCTCACAAGGGAACTAATTCACTTGAACTTAACACTTTTTAATGAAACATACCTCAATTGATAGGGCCAAACTTGCTGGTAAACACTCTGGTGTCCTTTTTTCTGGAGATTTTGTGGTTCCTTAGATTTTTTGGGTTAAAGTTGAGGCATTTTTGTTTTTCGCAAAATTGAAAATCTGTATTTTTCAAGTAGCTGCGGTGTCGCAAGGGTTAGAGAGCGGCAAAAAATTATGTAATTTTTGGTTCGAATCACGTTCGTGGCCATTTTTATGAAATTTTTTTGATATTTTTTTACGTTTAATTTTGATTCTTAATTGTTTTAAACGATTCTAGGGGCAATCCTAAATCAAAACTTGCATATCACATGCTCTTTGTTTACTAGACTTTAGATTCTCCGACACCTTTTCATTGTCTAAGTCCACTCAAGTTATAATGTTCTTGCATACACTTTTATTGAGGCAATCAAAGTTTTCATAAATTGATTTGTTAATATTTTACACTTGTTTAAAAAGCCCAATTTTGTCTTTGTGATCCTTCAGAGCTTCGAGTTCGTGTTGGTAGATCAATAATTTCACTAATAAATACCATGATTGCTCAATTGGTTAGATCACAATTCAGTTACATGTATTTGGATTTCGATTTTGATAATCTTATGGTACTCTTGAGGTTTTGTCATGTTCATTGCATGGGTTCATGGTATATCAGTCTCTTGTGAATTCTTTTCCTCGCCTTTGTCAAACTCTTTGAATATCAGATATTGATCCTTGCAATCTCAGAATGAATAAAACAATTAATGCATTCCATTTCAAAATTTTTGCCCGCAAGTCAATCTAGCAACTACATGTATGTAGACTCATCATTTAGTTTCCAAGAGTTTGATTGACATTACATCTGAACTTGGTGATATAACTTCTTTGAAGCCTCTCATGTGATATTCTTTCTGTAATTTAAAATACGATGAAAAATAATGTTGAAAAATTAGATTAGAAAAAATAACACCAAAACTTATTCTATTAAATTTAAACAAATTGTTATAAATATGAGTACCATATGGCGTGAAAAGTGCATATCTGCGACTGAATTCATGAAAAAAAAATCTTTGGCTACACCCATTTTACGATGATCACGGTATGCTGCCCTTTCTCGAAATCTTTCCCATTCTTTCATTTGTTTGGTATCAGGATAAGATTCCATAAACTCTTTGACCTGATCTCGTGATACATCAGCCTCCAAATGAGTAGCGAATGACTAGAAAATAATAGCATTATGAATTAATCATACAATCATATTTACTTTGGTGACTTTCAATGCTTTCATCAGTCCGGAATGTGTGAACCAGACATAGATCGATCGAGGAATCACATCAGTAAACAGTGGTTCGGTCTTGACTTGTTCATCCAAAACCATTGCATTAAATTCGTTGTAATTAAATATCTCAAGCAGCTGTTCTTTGGTCAATCCGAACTTTTCAATTCGAGCCTGGTCTTTTCGCTCTGTTTCCGTCTCTTCTTTTTTTCTTCCTTCCTTTTATGATATACAGGTTGAAAGATGCTCCCCCTCTTTCAGTCTGTATATCAAACTTACTACTTGGAGTATTTCGTCAATAGAGCGAGCTATAACAAAGATGAATTTGACCGGGCACAAGACATTGATTCAACAGAAATATTCCTGAATGAAAGAGAAAAGCTAAATTCTCAATATTGCTACATGATAAAACAGTAATTTAAATAATTGTTTTTCAGAATTCCTCAAATAGGCTCAAGTTTGGTGAATTAACTGTGTGAAAATAACAACAATTTAGCAAAATTACAAGCTATTTTGTACACTCATCAGTAAGATAATTAATGATGGACCAAACTTTTGAAAAACCATCATTTAGGGATCATTCACTCAACATTGAGCTATACAAGATTTAGGCGAATAAATAACTTTGGAAATGTATTAGTTTAACCCCCTTTAACACTTAAAAAAGACAAAAAATCAAAAATCAAAAACGAGCTGTATTTTGAAAAATGGTCAAAGGGGGGACCCTATGCATGAACTGTATTTTTTATTAAAATCAATGTTATTCAATGGGACATGTAAATTTTTGTGATTTTTTAATTGCATTTAAATATCTCTTAAACTAATTGAGATATTTAATTTTTGTTAATTGCAAAAAACATTTGAATTACTTGAGATACTGATTTCCGAAATTCATCCCAATACGATAATCAGATCAAATTCAGTAAAATAACAAATTTGGTTCGATTTGCGTGAGACCCCCTAATAGTTCAAGAAAGCTGTTCAAGAAAAAGTTTATTTTATTTTATTTTAAATCACTCAAAGTTTTACACTTTGTACCTTTCAATTTGATGTCAGATGCTGCAAGGAAAAGATTATGCATTGCTTTACTTCCATGTTTAGCTTGGAGAGCATTTCGCTGATAAGCAAAAAACTAACCATAAATATATTCATCTTTCTTCAGATTTTTAATTTAGAAAAATCTTTATTTCTCTTATACTTAATTTTAAAATCCAATCCAAATCAAAAAATCATGTCTTCATTAGAGTACGCCATCTATCAGGTAAAAAACTAGCTAGGTACAAAAGATTAGACTTCTCTCAGTGGAGCTGTGATCGGTGAATTAAAGGAAAATCAATATTCTGTCTTGTTCTGTTGTTGTATCGTGATTCAATTAATTTAATTTATCATCAAAATGTCTGCTATTCGTGTTGTCAACCCTAAAGCTGATGTCGCCCGACACTCTCAAGCCTTAAACATCAATATTAGTGGGGCTCGCGGTCTCCAAGAGGTGATTAAATCTAACCTGGGTCCACGAGGAACTATGAAAATGTAAGTGCCTCTCCCATTTGCTTTGAGGTAGCACGTGTTTTGACAAATTTTTGATTATTTGTTTTATTAATAAAATTTCAATTCTTTAGGCTTGTTTCTGGTTCTGGTGACATCAAAATTACCAAAGATGGAAATGTTCTCCTGCATGAAATGGTAAGTATAATTATTTCTAGTCAAGAATAGTGTCTCTAGTTTATCAACTGTTTCTTAATGCTCATTTGATGAATTTTATTTTTGACCATTTCTAATGGTTATTTAGCAAATCCAACATCCTACGGCTTCTTTGATTGCTAAAGCGTCAACAGCCCAAAATGATGAAACTGGCGATGGAACTACTTCTACCGTTTTAATTATTGGAGAGCTTCTCAAGCAAGCCGAGATTCACATCAGTGAGGTATAATCATATTCAGATAGCATAAATATTTTTATCTCATTGACAACACCTTTTATTTGACTTTTATTTTTTAATACATCTTTCCAGGGCTCGCACCCAAGAGTCATTGCAGACGGTTTTGACTTGGCCAAAAATAAAGCGATGGAAGTTTTAGATTCACTTAAGGTTCCGTACAAAGATGTCGATAAAAGTCAACTTATCAGTATTGCGCAAACAGCATTAAGAACAAAAGTTCATAATCGCATCGCTGATAAATTAGCAGAAATTTGTGTAGAGGCTGTCCTTTCCATTAGAAATGGCAACAAGCCTATTGATCTACACATGGTTGAAATAATGGAAATGCAACATCGATCTGAAGAAGAGACAGCTTTAGTTCGTGGTCTGGTTCTAGATCACGGAGCACGTCATCCAGATATGAAAAAACATGTAACAAATGCTCATATTTTAACTTGCAATTGTTCATTGGAATACGAAAAAACGTGAGTTTAGTTAATAATAATTTACGAATCTTCCATTTTATATCTTATTTATATCTCACTATTTTATTTTAATATCTAGCACTGTTACTTCTGGATTTTTCTATAAGTCTGCTGAAGAAAGGAACAAGTTAGTTGATTCGGAGAGAAAGTTCATCGCTGATCGATGCCAGAAAATTATTGATTTGAAAAAGAAAGTCTGTAAAGAAGGTGAAAACTTTGTTGTTGTCAACCAGCAAGGTGTTGATCCTGATTCATTGGATATGCTTGCCCGTGAAGGCATCGTTGCTCTTCGAAGAGCTAAGCGCCGAAACATGGAGCGTTTAACTCTCGCTTGTGGTGGAACTCCAATGAACTCTCTCGATGATTTAACTCCTGAATGCCTTGGATTCGCTGGTGTAGTTTACGAACAAGTCATTGGAGAGGAGAAGTATACTTTCATCGAGGACCTGAAAAATCCTCTATCCGTTACTATCCTAATCAAAGCAACTACCAAACATACATTAAGTCAGTTTAAAGATGCTGTTCACGATGGCTTACGAGCAATCAAAAATACCATTGAAGATGGTGCATTGATTCCCGGTGCTGGAGCTTTCGAGATTGCTGCTCATGAAGCTTTAATTCAATACATGCAAAATGAAGTCAGAGGCAAGGCAAAATACGGAGTCCAAGCCTTTGCCGATGCTCTACTTATAATACCCAAAACATTAGCAGCCAATGCTGGGTTTGATGTTCAAGATGTTATTGTTAGATTGACTGATGAATATAAGCGAACTAAATCCATGGTTGGAATCGATCTCAAGAGTGGTGAAGCAATTTCACCCGTTGATTTGGGTATCTTTGATAACTATAGAGTCAAAAAGCAGCTTTTAAACTCTTGGTAAGTATTATCCCGTCAAATTTTAGTCCATTTGACAACTCTTCACTTATCATGTTCAAATATTATGTTCAGTTCATTAATCATTGCTTTTCTCTATAACAGCACTTCTATCTCGTGTAATCTTCTGCTTGTTGATGAAATTATGCGCGCTGGGTTAACTTCTTTAAAAGGGGACAAAATTGGCCAATGAATAATTTAACACATGGAACAATTTAACCGATTTTGATTTTTCTAACGTTAATAAACTCTTATTTCTAACAATTTCATCTGAATTTGTTTTAAATGATTTTTTACTTTGTTTCGTGTGATATTTCACATTGCTAGATGAATTGCTTAAGAAAGTGCTTAATTGCACCCCAAGAAACTTGATTTACAAAGTCAGTATTGTCTACAATAAGTTGATAAGTTCAGCAGAAAAATTATTGTTGGAATTCGTTTAAAATGACGTTCAAATTATATTTATGATGAAAGATCTTGATAATTGAAAATGAAAGTGATGAGTAAATAATCGTCAAGATAATGGTTAAATATGAGAACACAAAATTAATTCCTAAAATGACAAAATAAATTAGATAAGATAAGTTTAGACAGATTTAGTGAAACCTCTATCCTCTTCCGGTTTTCTAAAGTCTTCTATGGTGAAGGAAAGTGTAGTCCACCAAATATAGAGATAGACAAATATCGACCAAAATCGTTCAAATCCGAACAGCAATGACTTGAAACCATAAGCCCAACAAATTGAGAAGTTGAAAAGTACCTAAATTGAGATAAAAATATAATTTTAGATTAGCTCAAGAGTAAGTGCATGTGGGTAACATCATGCAAAATCTTGATTCTGAACTTACATTACAAACCAGCAAAAGGAAGAGGATGATATGTCTTGGTTTCAAGTAAGGCCAAGATGAATCAATTGATTTACTTGTAGATGTAACCTCGAGAAATCTTTTGTGAAGAATGTGAGCTAAACATGAAAGTAAAGGTATATGGAAGAGTATCATCTGGGTGAAAGAAGACAAAGGGTTAGTTTAGAATTATTTTTTATATTTAGGGTAAATGTTCTGAATGATCTTACATTGATACTTGCAAAAAGGTATGGTAAAGCTAAAGGAACCCAATGACCATCGATGTACATTGCCCATGCAAAGCAAATACCCCAATGACCGTCAAGTAAATCGCCAATAAACCAAGGACCCACCATGGAATACAAAGGTAGGAACGTCATCACAACAAAAAAATTGTCATTTGCCCCGATTAGCATGAATTTGAAGTAAATTCTGTAAATCAAGTTTGATCTTGCTTTTGATTGGACGAGTGGTCCTGCAATAAATAGACATTTTGTTAGTAATACAGAAAGATTATCGGACTTGCGATGAGTACATAAAAACTGGATTCTAAATATTTGATCAGATTGGTTAGATCAAAATCTTTTAGCCCGACTTGAAAAGTAAGCTTCTGAAGAAAATCAATGAAATAAATTATACCAAGCTTAGGAGAATCAAAGCAATATCATTGATTCCAATGAATCAAGGAAGCTTGAGTTTCTTAAAGCAAAATGATAACAAAATCGATTTGAAAAATAACCTTCTCGAGTGAGTTATTAATACTTGAATATGAGTCTAGTTTATACACAATTGAATCCATGAAAGGTTTATGATAGCTATAACTTACCTTTTTGCATCAGAAATACGATTCTCATTGCAAAGATTGGGAATAGCGACATTAATATCAAAAATAAGTTTACGGATTGAAGCTAGAGAGACATTAAAATATTGAAATTAGTAAAATAAAAACTTTGTACACATGTATATTCGAAATTAAATAAAATAATCAACTTACGAATGTACGAGTAGAGACGCGGAGAAGAAACCGCGCACCAAAAGGATACTCTGGTTTAGTTCCATCAATTGAGAATTCAACAGTTTCCGTGTTTTCATTACCATTTTCATCCTAAAAGGAAAAAAATTGCACATAAATCCATGAGTATGAATCCACAAATATATTAAATTGTCTTGATTAATTTGCGTTAAAATTAAATAAACTTACAGAAGCTAGAACTTCAATTTTGTGTAGTCCAGCTGAATATTTTTTGGGATGCCAAGGATATGTGAAGAGAGGGTGAGTTTTTGAAGCCCTATTCATAATATTCCATGGTTCATTATCGACTCTTACTGACACTGAGTCAATTGGACTAGGCGAAAAAGCGAGAACTCTGATATGTGTAGAGTTTGCTATGCGATGGAGTGGTTCATAGCGTGGCATTTGAGCTAAAGCTGCTTTTGGGTTTGTTACCAAAATGATGGGCCATTGTTCTAACTTGACATCGACAAAGTTGAATATACCGTGATCAACGGAAGCAACACGAAACATTCTTTCATCTTTCCAATCAGCAACTTCAATTTCAAGATAACCACTTGCTTGTGTTGCATACATTTTTGGAATTAACCCAACTAAGGTATGGAAATGGCCACACAAATATGGACCAGTTATAATGTTTCTCAACTGAGGAATATCTTCAATGATGGAAGATGTAGGATAATGACCAAAGAAGATTGTCATATTAGATTTAGGAGCCTTGCTAATAAGCTCTTCGATTGAGTTAATATCACTGCTCCGCAAGTAACCAACGAAATTGAATGGTCTTTTCGGTGCAGGTTGAGGGCAAGCATCAATACCAAGAAAATTGTATTTATCTGAGCCCTGGGTAACAGTGTATACATAATGTCCAGCACTTTGATTACCTCTGTGAGTATATTTTCGATAGAAATTGTTTGAAGAATTCCAGGAAAGAACGTTAAAAGTATCTAAAATCAAAAGAAGAAAATCGAAAAGGTTAAAAAAAATCAATAAAATATATCAATGGAATGTAAATATGAAAAAGGCGTGTTGTCTAGGCGAATCATTAACAGATATGTGAGATAATCAGCTGATGACTGTATCAGATTGGCCTAAATTATAATAATAATATTGTAAAGTTGTTGTTAGAACAGTTAGTAAGAAGTGCAATCCTATCTACAGCTTGTAAACAATAATCCACAAGAATAAGAGGAAATGTCACTACTTGGTTTTAAAACATCATTAACAAACATTTTATCAGTTAAATACACCTTTCCTATGAAGGATAAAGATTTAATAATAATGAAATTACCATGATTTCCTCTCATATCGAGCCATACAGTTTTTTCAGTGACTCGACTTGTGTTTAGGGCATCAGCATACCATTTCCATTCTTGTTCAAATTGATCAGAGCCGAATGGAGCTAAAGATCGTGAATCGGTTAAATCACCAGTGGCAAGAACAACAGAGGGACGAACAGAATCAACTACAATGTTGCAAAATCTACGGAAATCAGGAATTCGCTTCTGGTCAAAAACAACACTGAGATGAATATCACTTATCTGCAAGAAAAAAATGGGTGTTAGACTAAAGTTAGCATAATAAAAAAGTGAATATTGAATTGTATGCATAATAAGACTTACCTGCATAAACCACATAAGATGATCTGGTTTATCTCCAATTATCACAGTGTCCAGACTAGGGTCAATAGTTTCAGGTGGATGGTAAACTTCACCATAGAAATTTTTTTCGTCGATAAGACTACATTGGAGTATGAAAGAAATCATAGTGCCAATAATGACAACAGCAATGAAGAAGAATGTTGTTGTCAACATGATCAGTTTGTTCTTTGGACCCTTAATTTTTGAAAGGAATAAGGTGACTAGACTAAGAAGGAAAGATAGATGAACGAAGTTTAAAAGAATTTTCAGTCAAAAGATTGCTGATATTCCAGTAATGGTGAATGATCTCAAATGAATTTAAAACTGCAAATACTGAAGAGTTCATCCGTCACTGGCTTTCCAAACATGATATTTGCAGAGAGTATCACTTTAAACAATTTTCACTAAAACCCTAATGAAGGGCAGATAAAGATGTAGCAATAAACATAAGAACCAGATATTAGATGAAAAGTTTAATCAGCAAATTATAACTTAAAAGAGGAGATAAGATTCCCCACTATCAAGATAGGATTGGCTGGAGAAAACAGATTCAACTTGGATCTGAATGACAAATGTACTCCAGTGTAGCTTTCAAAACCAAATCAAGAATTTAAATATCAAATTCTCATAAACCATTAATTGGCATGGACTGAAGGTGAATTATTTTCTTAAATATTCAACATTAATGGCTTGACAACGAATTACTTTAATTAGATCCAATCATTAAAGATACATTTAAGACTCACTTGACAGTCAACAAAAGCTTCACACAAATTGTGAGTCACAAATTTTAATATAATGTGTAACCAAACCGATAGATGCCACTACCAAAAAGGAGTTAACCAAAAATTTTAGTCCAAATTTTGATTAATTTTAATCGAACCAACATTTATATATTATTTATGTTCAAACAATCAAATCTGTCCGAGTAAATAGATTCTCATTTCCGTCATATAAAATTTGCAAATTATCGATTCAATGGTTTGACCAAATGTGACTTCATTATCTAGCAAAAGACACAAAATTGAAAAAATAAAACAAGAGAAACAACAACCGTGCTTGACTCTTGTGGGACAAAAGGAAAGGAACTCAAGTTTCTCGACAAACTGATGTCAATTCATTTTCGTGTCCAGTGTTTTGAGAAGTCCAAAGCAACGATGGAATAGGTCCAGTAACAGCGTCAAAAGCTACTAAGGTCATTAGTAAAATTGTAATGCATTATCTAATAACATTGTTCATGGTGAAATCAATGACTTTCTTGGAGATGAGCATTAGAAGGGTCAAGATTGAGACAAGATAACGTGGCATTTTGTTTGAAAAGATACCTAAACGATTAATAGTTGAATAGACCAGTTCAGTCGCAATAACACCTTGTGTTACCAAGTCGGAGTCTTTTCTTTGATTGACACTTAAATCCTGGTTTGATTGTGATTTCAACATATTTTCTTCTACTTTTGTAACAATTTCATCTGCATTTATTAACACTCTTTTCATCATGATTAATACGCATTTTATCGAAGATTATTTAACATGCAAACTTATTGTGAATAACGGTTGAATTATTTGTTTAAATGGAAACGATTTGAGTTCTGTTCTGGATCCATGTTGTCTTTCGATGTTGGCTATTAGCGAGCATTAGTCTTTTCAAAGCAGGGAAATCTTGAGTGCTGAATAACAGCCACTACAATCCAGACTGATTTGTTGTCTCGATGTGGAAATGATATAATCTCGAGTTTTACTCTTGAATAGCCAGTACAGCTACATTGTGTGTAAATGCAGTAATAATCTTCACCATATTGGTAAAACTTTTCAGAAAATTCTTCCGGGATAAATTTGAAATGACTCTTTGAAATAAAACTAATAACAGCAGTTAAATATTAAAATGTTTAAATATGTTATGATTGCTATTTAAACATATAACTAATATTTAATATTAAATAGTTGTTATTTAGATGCATCTTTGTTTCAATCTGTTTAACTGTCTACAAAACAAAACGAGATATTTTAATTGTCAATCAAATTTACCAGATTTTATGTAATAAATGCTATTGAGATCCTGGTTGGTGAAACTATGTTATATGATTCATATTATTTCAAGACAGGTGTTTGAGAAAATATTTGCAAGATTTACATGGGAAACATATCGATACATTATTGCTGAAGTTGATTTAATTCATAGAACTCCATTCCTTAAAACTATGATTAAAACTCAATAAAAATGAATATATTGCAGTACTTAATACGTTTTCTTAAGTTATAACATGATAAAGATGTAACTTTCTTTTCGATTAGCTATGATTCTAGAGCTATTATATTTATGTTTGCAGCATTATAAAGGAACCAGCAATAAACTATTATAATAAATCTTGATTAACTTCGTGTAAAATTGAAGAACCTTTACCGCTTTCTACTATTGGACTCGGTAATCATGCACTTCCAGAATTTGTTCGAAGCATAAGAGCTTTTAAAGGCAAGAAATTTTACTTTTTCGTTTATTCATTTCTCGAATCGAATTGAATTTTCTAGAGACACTTTCATTATTGCGGAGTAAAAAATATTCAACATTTGCATATGATATTTGTTACATTGATAACAAAAGCCAGCATCACACAAGTTACACACTTCTAAACGTTACAATAATATGGCAAACAGTAGCTTTTGTTCTAACAAGAAAACCTTGTTGAGCATTTCTTTTGCGGCACAATCATAGCATAGCATCTATTGATGAGAAAAGAATATGTTCATTCAATCTGGAAATTTGAAGAAAAGGATATTTTGAACTAAATTTGCTTTATACTTTTATTTATTATTCATTGACATAAACATTGAGTTCTTCAACGCTTGGAGACGAATATATGTGGTTTGAAATTGGAATTATGCTTTGATATTATCGCATAATTGGAGGTTCAACAGACCACATGAAGACTTGAACAATTGTCGGTTATCCTTAAGCTCATTGATAACAGTTTTCCAGTCAACATCATTAGAGGTTGATTCGGCTTTGGTTGATTCAAGGAAACTAACTAAACCATCGACATCACCTTCATGTTGGTACTTCAAGATGTCAGTCTTGTGAGCCAAAAGGAAAGAGACTAAAGTTTCGCGAGTAACTGAGGTATATTTAGTTCCAGGTCCAGTGTTTCTGACAGCCCAAGCAACGAGTGATGGAAGTCCGTGTTCTTTCTCTTCACTTTGTCCAGTTACCTTCTTCTCGAGGATCTTGGCAAAAACAAGAACCCAGTTAACTCCTTCAGTTCCTGATTCTTCAGCATGTTCTTGGAGGAATTTAGTAGCACCAATGATGTTAAGTTTGTTGTAGTACTTGAGGAACTCTTCTCGGTACTTCTCAGTGAATTGATAAAACTTGGCGGCATCGATCTTAGCTGCTTGACTGTCTTCTTTAGGGTCAGAAGCAGCCCAGAGTAACAATGGGATTGCTTCAGTTACAGCACCAGAGTTAGCGATCTCATCAGCTAGGAAAACAAAGAGAATGATTGCATTATTAAACATTAATTAGTATTACCAGTTTTCTGGTTAACCTAAACTGTTTAGAGCTTACCTGAGACGAAAGCTGGGACGATTAGGAGTGAAGCTAAAACAAGTAAACGCATCATTTTGTTGATTAAGTTGGTTAATTGATTTACAATTCAATTATGATCTCAACTTAATTCCTAACCCCTTTATATGTTATTTTTTGCCTGCAAATGAAACTCTTTTTGGTTTTGATTGACACTTCCATCCTCCTTTTCATTGTAATTATTTTATTTTCAAATCAATCACTTATGATATCAACACCTTTTTATTATTGTCTTAGTCCACACAGGTTGGTACGTACTTAGATTTACTGTCGCTGCTTAATCAACTATTTTGAAATATTAATTGCGCATTCATTTTTCATCTTTTTTCTTGATGTTAAATGTGAAAGCAAAACTTTAAAACTTCTCGTTGATGCTACCGTTGAATACTTGAAAATCAATGTTTGGTCAATTTAGCAACTACATGTATGTAGACTCATCATTTGATTTGTAAGAGTTTGATTGACATTTCAACTCGACCTGCTGAACATTGACGCAGTTGGTAGATATCACATGCTCGATGTTTATTAGGTTTTAGATGCTTCGACACCTTTTCATTGTCTAAGTTCACTCAGGTCATTATGCACTTGGGTCCCCTTTTATCAATTTGATCAAACATTCTCAAAAATTCATTTATTCTTCAATATTTTATTCTTTCTTTGCAAACTTAAATATTGACAGATCTTCATTATACTCTGAATATTGGTCAATTTGATAAATTTTGACTGACGGTTAAAGGCTCATTCATTATTTGAGGAATACTATTATTTTGAAAGCATGAAAATTTGGTTATGATCATGAGCATTCCTTATTTCTCATCGAAGCTTTTGCATTTCATGGTTTCAAGAATCTGATGGTATTGATGATGTTTTAGTAAAAAGGCAAAGCAGAAAATGTTGGAAACCTCAGATAATTCGATGGTCATTATTGGTTCAATATGATCTAAATCACAATCTCTCGTTGAAATCGCATTCTAAGCACCTGAAATTTCACACAGTAAATGCTTCGAAGCCTTTAAGTTTATGTGTGTTAACTGTTATTTCAATCTACTTCGCTCAATTTAACCAAAGGAACAATGTAAATGAAAGATACTATTGTAAAGTTCAATTTTTGAACAGATACTTAAACACGAATGAATGCAACATTTGTATTTTGGTTTATTTTATTTCTGTTTAAATAACAAAAAACATTAAATCAGAGAAATGTCTAGACTTTTGAAGCTAGACACATATCATAAGGCGAAATTTGACCATTAAAAGACTCATTAGTGACTATCCAAACCAGCGTCTTACTAAGATATACCAACGAGCTTCGGTCGAAAGATGATAAATGCAATTGAAATATGAAGGTAATTAAAACATTTGTCGGTTGATTTAGTTTGTCGTGATTTTCATTAAACTTACTTGTTGTTCGTGTTACACAGGTTGGTACATTTGATGACCAACTTCCTGAACTTAGGCAATTCAAAGTGGCATTACCTCGGATCATGAAGCCTGTTGAACACGAGAAGACACAAGAACCGCCAACGAATCCTGGAGCACAAGAACCTGAGTATGCACCATTACGAGGTGGTGATAAGCTGTTGCAAGTTTGAAACACTGGAAACCCATTAAATCCACCACTTTGAATGAATCCATTTCCACCTAGAATGAAATCACAATAAGCAAAAATTAGTTGGAGCAAATAGTTTGATTGTTTTATAAATTGGTCGAAAGCTTTGATTCTGGAGATGAGGAAAAAACTTATGGAAAATATTGACGAAGAAAGATTTTCATCTGGGCAACTGTTGCCTTCGAGTAAATACAAATTGAAACTTTGGGTAAATTTGGAATCCAAACGTTAAATCTTGAATTGAAGTAAAATCTCACAATTGATTGCTGGACCCGACCACACTCCATTTGATTGGCAAATCTGTGACTGAATTACTCCTGTTGAACCGCACTGAATAGCGCAAACTTGATTAGTCCTTGTTGAACATCCAGCAAGGATAGAAGCTCCAGCAGGAGCCGTAATTTGCGGGCAATCCGATGCAATAAAGTCCAATAATGTGGCAATCACGAGGAAAAGAAAGCGCTGCGAATTGGTCATTGATTTATTTCGTTTGGTATCAATCACAAAGCATCAAGATACTTGACAGAGTTTAGTCTCATAGCAAACTGGTTAAAGTTTGGTACCAACACCAATCTCACGAAATTAAGCGAATGTTATAATAATAACTAGTTGTATAATAATGTAATAAATAAACAGACAAATAAAATTATAGCGATTTACAACAATCCTCAACATTGAGTGCAATATTAATTATTACAAAGAACATCTCATTAGAATCGACAGAATGCTTGATTCGACAATAAACTTGTAAGGATTGGGCGAGACATTTGTCCCCGAAAAAATCATTCAATGAACAAACCCATGATTTAAACCACATAACAATTTAACCCTCGCGACAAACTATTGAATATAATAGATTGAATGTAGTGTAACTGAATAAAGTTTACCAAACTTGAACCTGACAAGGGAAATAACCGGCTAACAGTACAATTGAGCATCAAGTTAATGTAATATGAAAACAAACTATTAGATAATAGAAATGAAAATCAGAAAAGGCTGAACAAACTGAATGGTCAACAGTTGCCAAAACGTTTAATTTGATAAACACTCCCAGACTAGAAAGACAATATTAGTAAAGTTTCATGAAAAGTTAAATACTGTAATCTTGATTGAGCAAAGGAAAATTAAAACGTACCTTTAATCTAGAAATAGAGTCAAATTAATTTTTAAACCTTATTGCTTTAAAAAATCATTTATTATTCATTGATATGTACGAACCGCGGAAACATTGAGCTTTTCAAGTTTCAAAGACAGGTTCAGAGGTTCGAGATTGAAAGATACATATTTCGGTAGGGAATCAGTTTATGCTTTGATGTTATCGCATAATCGGAGGTTCAAAAGACCACAGGAAGACTTGAACAATTGTCGGTTATCCTTAAGCTCATTGATAACAGTTTTCCAGTCAACATCATTAGAGGTTGATTCAGCTTTGGTTGATTCAAGGAACTTGACTAAACCATCGACATCACCTTCATGTTGGTACTTCAAGATGTCAGTCTTGTGAGCCAAAAGGAAAGAGACTAAAGTTTCTCGGTCAACTGAAGTATATTTAGATCCAGTTCCAGTGTTTCTGACAGCCCAAGCAACGAGTGATGGAAGTCCGTGTTCTTTCTCTTCACTTTGTCCAGTTACCTTCTTCTCGAGGATCTTGGCGAAAACAAGAGCCCAGTTAACTCCTTGAGTTCCTGATTCTTCAGCATGTTCCTTCAAGAATTTAGTAACACCAATGATGTTGAGACTGTCGTGGTACTTGAGGAGCTCTTCTCGGTATTTCTGAGTGAATTGATAAAACTTGGCGGCATCAATCTTAGCTGCTTGTTTGTCTTCCTCAGGATCGGCAGCAGCCCAGAGTAACAATGGAATTGATTCAGTTACAGCACCGGAGCTAGCGATCTCTTCACCTAGAAAAATATGAGAACAATTGGATTATTAAACATTGATCAGTATTACCAGTTTTTTGGTTCACTAGTACACTGTTTAGAGCTTACCTGAGACGAAAGCTGGGACGATAAGGAGTGAAGCTAAAACAAGTAAACGCATCATTTTGTTGATTAAGTTGGTTAATTGACTTACAATTCAATTATGATCTTAACCACTTCCTAACTCTTTATATATACAATATTTTTCGACTACAAAACCAATTCTTTCCGCTTTTGACTGACACTTCGAGCCATCTTTTAATTGTAAATATTTTATTTTTGTCAATCACAATAACATATGGAGCACTCGCGCTTCCTATTATCATATTTTTATTAATATCCACACCTTGTCGTTATTGTTTTAGTCCACTCAGGTTAACATGTACTCTGATTTACTTTTACCATTTGAATAAAACAAATTAATCTTCATTCATTCTTCTCTGACTCTGGATGCTGTCAATGAGATCCTATGAAACTTAAGGTTACGTATCAGCTTTCGTATTCAAAATTCGACCAAAGAAAGTTAATATTTGGTCAAGATAGCAACTAATTGAGGCTACTGATGATTATCGTTTGATTTTAAAGAGTTTGATTGACATTTGACTCGACAAGCTGAATATTGACGCAGTTGGTAGACCTTATCACATGCTCGGTGTTTATTAGGTTTTAGATGCTTCGAAACCTTTTCATTGTCTAAGTTCACTCAGATCATTATGCACTTGGAGTTTTTTTGATGATCAAATAAACATTTCCAAAAATGATTAGTTTATTGTTATTTTGTTCTACTAGGTATTAATACAAATTTACAAATCATTTAATTAAACAAGAAATTTAATTGATATGCGTTTTATTCATGATCTTTTATCTGTGAAAGGATGTTAAATGGTTCTCATGCATAAAAGCATAAGCAACAACTTATTCAATAAACCTAGCTCATTGCAACCTTGTTGAATAAACAATTTTCTGGTCAAACTTGCTAAAATATTGCAAAGAATGCTGCTGAAGGGTAGAACATTTAAGTTAAGAATTGAGAAAATGAGTTCGTAGGAAAATTGAAACTGAATACATTAGTCCAATTTAAAAATTTCTCACATCAATAGTTTTCGGGGAAATCGAAGTCAAAGTTGAAACTTCGATCACCTTTTGTGCAATATTGAAAAGGGATTTTTCATGAAATTCATTTTGCTGGTGTTATTTTTGATAAGCAACCGAAAAATGCACTTATTTCGTTCGATTTTTAGTCAAACCGACTTCATTCAATTACGACAAGAGCTAGTGAACTCAAACTCATTGTTTGCCCAAAAAAATTGTATCCTAACATTACGAATTAAATATAGTATCAACAGTTCTCTTGATTTTAACCATACAGCTGAAAAGTTCGAGCCTCGATATTTCGAGAGTAGCATCACTTACAATTATCATTCTTTGTCCAGCCATTAGACTTTACTATAATGTATTGAAATAACTAATCATTCAAACTCATTAAAAAAAGTTATAACATTGTATTATAAAACTTATTTTGTCAGGTTTAAGCTTTATTCATAAAGTTGAATGGTTTCTCAAACACAAATTTAACGTATCACAAGGATATTCATTATTAAATGAAATAGCTCAGATTTTCTTAGATATTGAGTTAGTCGATAATGTAGTCCATGATGTGATCTACTGCTAGGCTAAGTATGATGGTTGTAAGTGATGTCGTTCCCGAAATACTGAAACTCGAACTTTTTAGGAAAATGGTCGCAATCAAGAGAACTGTTGATATCTCTAAAATTATATTTGATCCATAATGTTAAGTAACAATTTTTCCGGATTCATAATGAGTTTGAGCTCTCTAACTCTTACGTTCATTGAATAAAATCGGTTTGACTAAAAATCGAACTTATGTGTTTTATTGAAAAAAGAAAATTTCATTTCACAAAAGAAGTGTATTTTTCGGTTGCTTGTCAAATTAACATCAGCAAAATGAATTTCATGAAAAAATCTGCTTCCAATATTGCACAAAAGGTAATCGAAGTTTCAACTTCGACTTCAATTTTCTCGAAAACTACTGATGCGAGAATTTGCAAATTGCACAAATGGGTTCAGTTTTAATTTTCCTACAGGCCAATGGAGGCTGAATTCAAAGAAATGGATATTCACCAGTTTTTAATCAATTCGCTTCAATTTGTGTATTTAAATGTCATAACTTGTTTAAATGTGTCTTTTTACTAGCAATCAGTTTCGTTCAAGATTTTACCTTTGTGGATGCAATTTATTTTCCTGCTTCATACAAAAAGTTTCGTATCTAAATGAACAAATAGAAATATAAGATATTGGGAAGAGCAATATTGTGATTTAATCTGTGTGAATTTATGGGACAAGCCGTGTATTTACCTAACCCGATCCACACAATTACATTTTTAAAAGTCACACATAATTTATCTACACAGGTTAATTTCACACAAATTTTGGCTGATTCTCCGCATTTACACTCATAATGTCTGATTTTGGTTACAATAAATTGTTGGTTCGTTGCGCTGATAACAGATCGTTTTGCATATATCAAGAATTCTAATTACAAAGTTATAATACGTAGTTGGAAAGAAATAGAAAATTTGAAAATTTTCAGGTCAAACTTCTGAACATTGTCTATTGTATGAGAACGCATTCGATTCAATTCAATATTTGAAGAAGTAATTGGATAAAAGATTGGTTTGCATTTTATGTTATTTTATTGTGATTTTAAAACATAGAGTTTTAAAGGTTCGTAGATGCATTATGTTCGAGATTGAAAGATACATATTTCGGTAGGGAATCAGTTTATGCTTTGATGTTATCGCATAATCGGAGGTTCAAAAGACCACAGGAAGACTTGAACAATTGTCGGTTATCCTTAAGCTCATTGATAACAGTTTTCCAGTCAACATCATTAGAGGTTGATTCAGCTTTGGTTGATTCAAGGAACTTGACTAAACCATCGACATCACCTTCATGTTGGTACTTCAAGATGTCAGTCTTGTGAGCCAAAAGGAAAGAGACTAAAGTTTCTCGGTCAACTGAAGTATATTTAGATCCAGTTCCAGTGTTTCTGACAGCCCAAGCAACGAGTGATGGAAGTCCGTGTTCTTTCTCTTCACTTTGTCCAGTTACCTTCTTCTCGAGGATCTTGGCGAAAACAAGAGCCCAGTTAACTCCTTGAGTTCCTGATTCTTCAGCATGTTCCTTCAAGAATTTAGTAACACCAATGATGTTGAGACTGTCGTGGTACTTGAGGAGCTCTTCTCGGTATTTCTGAGTGAATTGATAAAACTTGGCGGCATCAATCTTAGCTGCTTGTTTGTCTTCCTCAGGATCGGCAGCAGCCCAGAGTAACAATGGAATTGATTCAGTTACAGCACCGGAGCTAGCGATCTCTTCACCTAGAAAAATATGAGAACAATTGGATTATTAAACATTGATCAGTATTACCAGTTTTTTGGTTCACTAGTACACTGTTTAGAGCTTACCTGAGACGAAAGCTGGGACGATAAGGAGTGAAGCTAAAACAAGTAAACGCATCATTTTGTTGATTAAGTTGGTTAATTGACTTACAATTCAATTATGATCTTAACCACTTCCTAACTCTTTATATATACAATATTTTTCGACTACAAAACCAATTCTTTCCGCTTTTGACTGACACTTCGAGCCATCTTTTAATTGTAAATATTTTATTGGCTTTAATCAATCACAATCACACAGTGAACATGTCAACTCTTGATTATGTCAACACCTTTCTATCATTATCTAAGTCCACTCAGGTTAACATGTACTCTGATTTCCTTTTTATTGATCTACTCAATAATTTCTAAGGAATTAATCCAGCATCTGCATTCTTATCCTGGACATTGTTCAATGGGAAACTAAAACTGTGAAAATTGTTTTTTAGGTTACGCTCGATCAACTTTCATCTTTAAAATAAACCAAAGACAGTAGTTAATTTTTGGCCAATATAGCAACTACACAAATGTAGACTCATCATTTGATCTCCAATAGTTTGATTGACATTCCAACTCGACTTGCTGAATGCTGACGCAGTTGTTAGGTGTATCATATGCTCGATGTTTATTAGCTTTCAAATGCTTCGACACCTTTTCATTATCCAAGTTCACTCAGGTTACTATGCACTTGGATTTTCATTGATTTAATCAAAAAAGTCTCTGTCCAATCTCTTCCCAATTGTTCAAGTCCGGCAAATACATGTATGCCTGCAATCACCAGCTCTTGAATTCGTCAAGCGAGTTAAAATGGCGAGTTGAAAGTTGAAAGTCAGTCACAAACTTGGATCGTTTTTGTGTATCTATGATTATCATCAAACTCATTTCTATGTGAATTTCGAAAAGTTTTTTCTAAACATTAGTTTCGCTTAAATCATGTTCGATTTTCCTCAAACGTATTTTCTTAAATAACTTTCAATGGCCAGCCAGAATTGCACCAACCTACACAACAAACATACTTATAAAACCCAACAAAACTGGTGAGGATAAATAACGGCTTACTTTATGAATAAGCATTTCTCTGTGTAACTAAATAATAAAATGTTTTGACTTTTCTCGCATGATATTGAATGATCTTATGCTTCCATATACCATGGCATATGAGCATAATTGTTGAAAGAATGATCATGTTACATTCTTAAAGCTTCAAATTTTGAGGCCATTATAGCCTCAGCAATAAAAAGTTAATAAAATAGCTGCTTTTCAGATCATTTGCATTTCATTGTGTAATATTAGTATCTACTCGCAAATTTTAAGGCCACAAGAAGATTTGGATTATTGTAGATCATTTTCAGACCATTGGTGATGTTTAAAGTTTGTTATTGAATGTATTGGAAGATTCGTTTTACCTTATTCTTTTAACTTCATGTTTCATACTTTGTTTTATTTATTCAAATGAATCCTTCAATCTGAACATCTTCAAATTATAAATGACTAAAATCATGGATTGTTTGACCTTTGGAAAGTACATTTTAAAATTGCACAAATATATGGACATCAAATTGAGCCTTGAATGATTTATGAATGCAATTTGAAAGAAAGTTCAAATGAAAGTTTTTGTCCTCAACTTACATAGAAAAGCAAAGTTTCAGATCAAATGTTTCTATTTATTTCAATTTAAGGTCAAAAATTTCATTAACTTTAGGTAATAGCATTTAGTTGGGAGGTTAATTGTTGTATTTGATTTGAATTTAGGTTAACAAACATGTCTATGGGTAGTTAAAGCAAGGTAAATGGGTCAACACAGTAACCCAGATCAACCCAAAAACTCTGTAATTATTTCCCTTTCAATGACAAGTAAACTATAATTTGTAATTGCAAAGGCTGGATAAATACTTCAGTTTATTATAATTTTTAAATTTATCATTTTCTAGGTTATTTTCAAGACGAAACTGGAAACATCGTTTCATGAATTAAGTTGGTTATTCAACAATTTGGAGCGAACGTAAATTTGAATGAACTAAATCATAAATCCAATTGAGAACCAAATTGGTTAAATTTTTAGGTTTTACCCAAAAAGTCGATAAGAGTTCAATTAACAATTGAAAGATTTACCGATGAAAAACTGAGATACTTTTTTAGTAAATTAGATGTTGATTTGGTTAATCAGACAATCGCTCGTATTTTTGCTGGGATTTACCTAATAATGACGGAAGCAATAAAAGGTACAAATTGATTATAATGAAAGGGAAAGGCTGAAAGGTTGAAACAAGTTTAGGTAAAATTAGATTAACCGTGAATTTAGATTTACCGAAATTGCCAGGACAATGACCGGCTGGTTTTGAATAATTTAAATAATTGAGTCACTGATGGAAGTAAATGATTAACTGTCCACTCTTACTGACTCCTATTGTAATGTTGGTGTTAATTTCAATGTTAATTATAGCGATGATATTACACGAAAATTGAGTTTGAATGGGTAAGCGAGTTGAAAATTGTTGGTTACTTTGGTTGCTCTTGGTTGCTGTTGGTTACATTTACTTACGTCTCGATTGAGTTTTGGTTTTTCCAAAATTGCGTTCTGGACTATTTGCAATTGAATCGTTTCATTATCAGACTGTAATAAGGTAAAGACGAAGGTAAGAGTGGGAAGTGAAATGAAGATGAATGTTTGTGCCTTTGAGTACGTCATGAGTTACACGTTTAAAGGTGAGAAAGCAAATGTGAATCCATCTCAAAATGATCATCGACTCAGCTGGAAAGGAGCAAAGGTAAGCCGTATTTTTTGGCCTCTTTTCTCCCATTTACCTTTTATTCATTCTTTTTTCATATTATCTCTTCCTCCGTCCTCCCTCATCATCCTCCCTCTTCTTGTTGTTACTGGTGCTGATGGTGTTTCTTTCTTAATGCCTTTCTTTCTAGCTTTGGCTTCATCTTCTTCTTCCTTTTTTTTCTGGTTACTTCTTACTCTTGGTCCAGGTAAACTATTTTTTGTCTCTTCATGGTTCACCCTCTTCTCATCAGGTATATATAAAGCTGATTTTTAGGACAACATCTTAGAAGCACTTTTATCTTCATTGAACTGTTTACTATTTTGATTCGCTCGTTTTGCTTGCTTGTTTCAGTTGCCTTTTGGATAACAGTTACTTTACCATACATGACTTATTGACCAACAAACTTAGATTTAAGTGTATTGTTTCATCTCTGGACATTGACATCGTCTACAAGGTAAATTAAATTGTTTATTAATTATTAAATAATACTCAGGGCTTTAAGTAATTTTGATAGAATAGACATTTTGTTTGATAATCATTGTTTTATAATTTTTAGCGTTTTCTTGTGCTTCTCTACATGTGGTATTGGATTATCACTTTTTATGTTCAGTTATTGACTAACGCAGTGTTTTTTTGCTATTTAAAGCTTTAATAGTAGGTTAAATATTAATTTAGAAGATTGTTGACTTGTAATTTTAGGTATTAAATTATGAAAAGGAAGCAATTAATGATTACAATTGTTGATTGCTTTATGGAAAGCTCTTGCAACCGGTCGATTGTTTTCATTTTTATGCTTTCTCTTTTTTCCAAACAACAATGAATCAGGGTTTGCATATTTTGAGAAGTCTTTAAGATAACAAAGCTTTTTCAGTTTTGGATTTTTCCATTTCTTATTGTTAGATATTCATTGTTCCCATTCAAAATGTATTTCAAATTCGGTATCATCATGAAGTTTGTTTTACTTTGAAACACAATTTGTTTAATAAACTATGAATTGTTTGCTTTCCACAGAAATTGTCATCACAATGAAACTGGAAATTAGTTTTTTCGCTTTCATATTTTTACTATCATCATCTCTGGTCTCCTCATCGTCATCATCTGATGGTTCATCATCTTCAAATAACACCAACAGCAAACAATTAACTGAAGGAAGATCGGGTCGAGGTGATATACCAATTGAGATTGAAGATCAACCAGGAAGATTGGGTAGAGACGATTTTAACATCAACGAACCCAATAATGCAAGTCTTTACCTAAACTTGGCCTCCTCTAAGTCATCCGATGATCAAGGTGAGCTAGATAATTCAACAATAGTGGAACGACCAACTCATATAATGGGTCGTAGTTCACGAGCCCTAGATTTGGACCACTATTTAGGGGGATCCCGAAAAGCTCGTAAAGAGGGGCACAGGGAATCACGAATTCTTAATGACAACATTGATTTAACATCATCATCATCATCATCTTCGTCCTCAGCTAAATCAGGATTGGCAATTCAGGGATTCATTCCAATTGTATCCTTATCCGGCTCTCCAACAGGTGGTTCAACAATCCTATCAGCTTCACCAACATCATCGGTCTCTTCTTCATCTCCGGGAAAACATTCAAACGACTATAATTCAGGTAACGACAATGGTAACAATAATGGCAATTATCAAGAGGAAGGTTATCTACCACCTTCAAATGGCTATGCTGGACCCAATGATGCCAAATTTCTTGGTGCTGCCTTACAAGGACTAACAGCCGCTTTCAAACCCAAACCTCAGGGTTATGATCCCAACCTCTACGAAAGTTACAATGGACCTTCCTCATCATCACCTCGAGACTGTGTTTGTGTTCCCTTTTATATGTGTAAAAATGGTTTTCTTGAGCAGCGATCAAAAAATCCACCAGTGAACGCATTGATGGGACATAGACCAGCTACTAATTTAGGAGATTATGAAGATCTCGTCAATGCTCAAAGCATTTTGAACCAGTATTCAATGTCACCTCAACTGGCTTCCTTTTATCGATCCAAAGTGAGGCAACCTCAACATCAACAACACCATCAGCACCATCAACAACAGCAACAACATCATCATCAACAACATCAGAATCATCAACAACAACACCATCAACACCAACCAATACAATCATCGCCATCAACATTTGCCCAAGAAAGTGTTAACAATCATCAATATCAACCAACACCTGCACCAGTTACTCGATTACCAATAGACGAAAGAAGCATTGATGGTCGATCCAATCGTCCACAGATTGAAGCATACAATTCAAATTCAAATGAGGTAGGTTGATTGTTGAAAGAATTAAATTCGTATTAAGATCATAGTAATCATGAGAGAATGAAAAAATCTAAATTAGTGAGAGTGATTAAATTGTCATAAAGGTTAGAGAACCTTGAACTAAAGGTTATCATGCTATAAAAAAAAGTAAACCAGGCCTCAAGTTATAAACTACCAACCGGTTATTTAGCTAATTACAGTTCATTTCAGTGTTTTTGTTAACCATTGATGAATCTCATCTGAATCAGAATCAGCTTGATTGTCATTTTGTGTGTAAGAGAGAGTATAAAGATAAAAAGAGAATATAATTTGAAAAACCAAAAATAGCGTTGAGAGTAAATTAATTTTGACTGTTTAATGTCATCTTCACTTTTTTCACCTTCACTATTCTTCTGTTAAAAGATAAATATTACATGATGAGTGAGAGTGATGAGCATTTTAGACAGTTACTCATCATGTTTAATATAATGATCATGATGATGATGTTGATTAATAGATTTTTTGCTGCTCTCTAACCTTTAACATTTTCCAATCAAAACGGTTTTAACAGTAAACAGTCTTTCCAATTTTGAGAGCCAAAACCAGCAAACACAATTGAGCAGCTTTTTGACTTGACTTGCCAATAAAAAGGAAGAGTAGGTCAATTTATAAAACTGGCGATATCAAGAACTAATATCAGTGAAAATCGAAATTGATTTTATAAATAGTAATCATGAAAACATTAATAATAGTAAAATCAAGTTTTGATTTCAAGTTTTTACGCTTTATATTGATTTTTCAAACTCTTCAAACAAACATTTCAGGTTGAAATTTATCTAATTGTTTTCCCATCATTTGCTCTTTACACCAACAGACAAATAACGACCCTCAATACACTTCAGAAGTTTTAGGTCGTATTTTTGGTTCCTCGGGAGGAAGAAACTGCGGAGTATTGCGTACATGTTGTCGAATTATGCCAGAATATCAAGCTTATGATGCTCCAGCTCAATTTGTACCACCACAACTTTATCCAATGACAACCTCTAACGATAATTATCTCCAACCATCACCCAATTATCAAAATGGTGGATTGATGCAGCCAAGTTATAATGTTTATAATAATCAGCCATCCAAACGATTCCAACAAAACATAGATATTTCAACAGCATTGATTCGACCCAAACCATACAACCCACAATATCACGGTGGACATTATACCGGTGGTAGACCCGTCCGACCCTCAATTAAGAACCACCAGCCTCTTCCAATCAGACCAATTCGTCCTTCATATGAACAGCAATTGTCTTACCAACCACCTCCACCTCCACCTTCAAATCACCATAACCACCAACCTTCATATCAACAACCAAACTCTGCTCTCGTCAACCCAAGCCCTTCAGCTTCATATAATGGTGAATCAAATTATGGACAATGTGGAATTAGAAATTCTGTTGGAATCCATGGACGAGTCCAAAATCTACAGTATCACAAGTCATCTACTGAGTTTGGTGAATATCCATGGCAAGCAGCTATCCTTAAACGTCTCGGACCTGCTGATAGTCTTTACGTGTGTGGAGGTACTCTTATATCTAGTCAATGGATTGCCACAGCTGCTCATTGTATCAAAAGGTAAGCATTTAAATTTATACAAATTAATGCGGTTCATTGAAAACAGCAATTTAAATTTAAGATTTGCCCTCTTTCGTTTTGATTCTAATTATTCTGCTTGATTTGTTTCCTTTCCAGCAACCGAGCGGAAGATTTAAAAGCACGCCTTGGTGAATGGGATGTTCACCGGGATGATGAGTTCTATCCTCATGTTGAAAAATTTGTCGATGAAATTGTTATCCATCCCGAATACTATCCAGGAAATCTGATCAATGACATTGCCTTGATTCGTTTAGAGAGTCCAGTCGATCTTAACTCGCCCAATATAGCTCCAGCTTGCATTCCTTCATCTTATGAAAATTTCGTTGGATCAAGATGTTGGGTTACTGGTTGGGGAAAGGATTCATTTGGTACTCAAGGTGAATACCAATCTGTATTGAAAGAAGTTGATGTTCCCATTTTATCGCACACTGATTGTGAACAAACACTTCGACAAACTCGTCTTGGGCCATATTATCAACTCCACCCTGGTTTCTTGTGTGCTGGTGGTGAACCAGGTAAAGACGCTTGTGAAGGCGATGGAGGATCACCATTAGTTTGTGATGTTGGTGGAATCTGGAAAGTTGCTGGTCTTGTTTCATGGGGAATTGGATGTGGTCAACCTGGAGTTCCTGGTGTTTATGTCAACGTTGGTCATTACAATCAATGGATTGATTCAGTTGTAGGTAAATATGGTAAAAGTAGTTTAGATGCTTCACCATCATCAGGCAATTTACAAGATCCCTTTGGAGCTGGAATAATTAGTGAACGTAGCAATAATTTAACTCCTTCCAAAGTCGCCAATGGAACTGTTGTCGATTCAAGATTAAGGTCTCAGGAGAGTGCCACATTAACCGTTAAACCATCAGATTTCGAGTCAACAAAGAGTGAATCTCATTAAAAGAAATAAAAAGTGGTTTTAGTTCCTTTTTTTAATTGTATTTTATAATTAATGATTATTTAACCTCCTGTGGTTGAATCATCATTGTTCATTCGACCGAGTCTTAATATCAATTTTTTGTCATCAATATATCCTCTCGAATCTCCGTTTTTCTCCCACTATTGAACTTTTCTGTTCAATTTGCTTAATTAATATACTGCCTTTCTGTTTTATCAATTGACGCATTGTAACTTAATTTGATTGTATTCTCACGCTTTTTCTCTTTAATGATGAGTCATTAATTTGTACATTGAGAATTTTTATGTATCTTCTTGGAGAAGAAAACTTCATTTCTATTTGTAAAAACGTAAACAAATATATTTTTCAAAAAAAGAAACAATTGATCGCCAATCATTTAATATTTGAATTGGCAACTATGATACAAAATTAGTTGTCCTGGAACTATTGAAACTTGTTTAATCCTCAGCTGAATAATAAACTTTTAAAAGAGGTCCAATTGGTTAGAATCCAAAATCAGTCAAATGTGACTTGGGTCAAATTTAATCCAATCAAGGTTAGAAGCAATCAATTTATCGAATTAAAGGTTATCACCATCATCTTGAATAAGGATCTTCAACCCTTTTATATGCTGCCAGAAACTTTTTGCCACCTGCTCGGGTTACTTTTTGACCTTCTTCGGTACAATCAAATAGCTTACTGTAAATAGCATCACTGGAAATTTCGTCTTCTGTCAGTTGTTTGAAAAGTGGATGTTCATTAAAGTGAGAGTCCATCCAATTGTACAACTCTTCAACATCAGTGCCAAAATAAACGATACCACCAACTTTTAACACATATGCATAATCGGCCAACAGGGGTTTACTGATTATCCTCCATTTGTGTTTGGTTTTTTTGAAATGTGGATCGGGAAACATGAAAAATAATTTGCTTAGTTGTCCTTTATGAAAATAATTTGGAAGGTACTTCATGGCATTTGATCGAATACAAGCGATCTGGTCATATTTACCAGGAGATTCGCTTCTTAAGGATTTAATTCTATCTTGAACATAATCACAGACTTTTACACGAATCTCCATTCCAAGAGATAGTTTATCTGGATAGACTGAAGCAAGGGTTACCAACAGACCACCATAGCCACAACCAACATCGAGATATTCAACCTGTTCGCCATTTTGGTCATAATTAGGATAAAGTTCATTCCATTTCATTAAATCAGGTCTAATGGGATAATCAAAACAATGATCGGCAATCGGATTTGTGTGAGCTCTTTGACGATAGAAGCGTTTTTGAGGTGGATCAATAACCTTAGTCGCCATTATTTTTTTAAAATGGACTAGCTAATTGAAAGAAAGTTAACACTCACAAATACTTAAAAGATGAAAAACATGGCACGGAAATAAATACAAATATAAAAAACAGGAAAAAATCACGTTTTAAAAGCATGAAAACAAGCAAAACATTGACTCAAATGTTAAACCCTTATCCATTCAAAACCCAGTACAAATTTTTGGCGGTAAAAATAAAAATATCTCCCAACAAATAAAATGTTCAAATAATAAATTTAATGAATGAAATTACTCTTCTGAAGTAGTATACGACTCTGGTAAAGAAGGCTCTCGACTTTCGGCTCGCTCTCTTAAATGGGGTGGAACAAAATTGGGTGGAATAATATCTCGTGCACCACAATCGGGTTGAACACAATCGTCAGATTTTCTAAATACTAAGGCACAGGAATTAATACAGTAACGGTTACCAGTAGGTGTCGTCTCCTTTTGGAAGAAATGACCAAGATGGGCATCACAACGAGCACAGCTAACTTCTGTTCTGGTTCGAGAAGCAGTATGATCTGGAGTAAGAATGACTCTTGATTGGTCAATTGCATCGTAAAAGGATGGCCAACCACAACTGGCATCATATTTTGTTTTAGATGAAAAAAGTTCAGCGTCACAGATTAAACAATAATAGACTCCGGCAGAATCGGTATGAACTAAATCACCAGAAAAAGGTAATTCAGTGCCCTTTTCTTGAGTCACCTCATACGCGACGGCAGATAGACGTGATCTCAAGTATTGCTTATCAACTTTATATTTTTTAAGATCGCCGGGAGCCTGTTTGCTGGGTGAAGATGATGATGAGGACCCAAGGTCAGATGAATTTGACCGTCCACCTTCAGTTGATGAAGAAAATTCAGCTCCAGTGAAAGTTGAACGTCCAGGCTCATTGGAAGCATCAGTGTCAGTGGACTGTCCGAGTGCGAATCCTCTTGAGGTAGATGGCTTAGGATCTTGATCCATTATATTTTTGATTAAAATTTTTCTCTAAAAAGAAAGAAAAAGAGAGAATCGTTGACTATTAAATTGACAAGAAACGACAAAAATTAGAAAAATCAAGGTTAAATGAATGAAACAATGTGGAATCAGAAAACAATCAAAGCACAGGGGCTTACGCGTTTACAGGAATAAAGATAATCTAATTACATTGTCATGTACTTTTAGTTCTGTCAGTTTAATTGGTTGTTTAATCAAACAACAGATGGAGATTCATATATTCAGATCTCCATCTAGTGTTCAATTTTTACACCATATTAGTGAGCAGTTGCTCACGAAAAGTGTCTCTGGTTGAAGAGAGGGAGAGAGAAGGTTGAGAGAGAGAGAGTGAGTCTATTTTATAAACATTTTTACCGAAGTGAACATAACGTGAGTCTTACTGTGTTATTGTGTGGCTGTTGTTGGTAAGGACAACACTCGGTTAAATTGGGTAATTAATATCAATATGAGTGAATACGATGTTGATGGATATATTGAACAAGAAGATGATACCCGTGATGGTCTTCTTGACCCGGCTTGGGAGAAACAACAGCGAAAGGTAATTTCTCCCTTGTATTTCACTATATTCCTCTCTCTCTTTTTCTCTCTCCTACCTTTCTGTGTGTCTCTCTCATCTCTTTCTCCTCTCTCTGACTTTCCATCTTTTTCTCTCTCTCTCTCTTTTCCGGCTTGAATAATATTTTTCTTTGCTATTTGATTGTCTTTTCCCATCTATTTTCTCTATTCTAACATGCACATTTCTCTGTTACCTCCATCAATCTTTTTTAATTCATCGTCTAGTCTTTTTATCTAGTTTCAATTTGTTCATTTTCCTCTGTCATCTTTTTTCATCATCACTTTACAGCTTACCAAACTGTTGTACTCTAGCTACTGATCGCTACTTTTTTTTCTTCTGCCATTTTATCATCAATAGTTGAACCTTGATCTGCATCCATTTTTAAATAGCATTTTTTACTCCTCTTCTATTATTCACCCTTCTCTATCCTTCTCTATCTTTCTATCCTAGTTATTTTTTAATGTCAGTAGTAATGACATCAGTTGAAAATTATGCTTTTTCTGGCTTCAACCAGGAATCATTAGTTAACCATGATAATTATTTTAATATCTGATTACTTTTGACAAAAATAATTGCTTAGATATACAAATATCTATTTGTTGCATTTCCGATCCACTTTAATTGGTTTACTTTATTGATATGCACTTTGATATGATTGAGAGGTGAAGTGATGAACTTTCTTTTTTTTTTTGATTGACTGTTCTATCTGATATTTATTTATCTCACCTTATATTTCTCCTCTTTTTATTAGACCTTCACAGCCTGGTGTAATTCACACCTACGAAAAGCTGGAACCCAGATAGAAAATATCGAAGAAGACTTTCGAAATGGCCTTAAACTTATGTTACTTTTGGAAGTTATTTCCGGCGAAAGTTTACCCAAACCTGATCGGGGTAAAATGAGATTCCATAAAATTGCCAATGTCAACAAAGCTTTAGACTTCATTGCCAGTAAAGGAGTTCGTTTGGTTTCCATTGGTGCTGAGGAGATTGTTGACGGTAATGTGAAGATGACTCTTGGTCTTATCTGGACAATCATTTTGAGGTTTGCCATCCAAGACATCTCCGTTGAAGGTGTGTAAATAATCATCAGATAAAACTCAATCAGATTAATTTGGCATTATTTACAATTAACCGTTTTTATTCATCTTTTATCAATCCATCAGAGATGACTGCTAAAGAAGGACTTCTCCTCTGGTGTCAACGTAAAACAGCTCCTTATAAGAACGTTAATGTTCAAAACTTCCATATGAGCTGGAAGGATGGTCTTGCTTTCTGTGCCTTAATTCACAGGCACCGTCCCGATCTCCTTGATTATTCAAGTCTGTCCAAAGTGAGTTTGCAGTTTGAACATGCACAACAATGATTTACTAAGCATCCATCAAAACAACCATTTTTACCGCAAACGGACTTATTGATTTTAAATTTCTTCATAAACAGGATCACCCTCTAGAGAACCTGAATTTGGCTTTCGATATTGCCGAGAAACATCTTAACATACCTAAAATGTTGGACGCCGAAGGTATGACATTGAAACAATTTATTCCACCTTGTGAAAAATATCAAAAAAAGGGTCTAGAAGCTTTTTAAAAAAAGGTTAACATCTTATAGCAAGTAGTTATGTTTTGTTTCATTTTTTGTCTCTATGAATCAACTTGAGTTTTAGCTTGAAGGAATCCATGTCAATTTATAAAAGCTAGATTGTGAATCCTGATTGAAGAAGCTGGAGCTAAAGCAAAAGCAGGAATGAAAGAGAAATAATTGACGAAAGAAAGAAGAGACTGATTTGTGAGAAATTTGATGTCTAAATAGCAAAGGAAGGAGAAAAAGTTGCAGTATTTTTGGATGAGAAAAGTGCAAAAAAAATGGTAAACCCTGACACAATATTGATCGTAATTTAGTGAACATTACCTTTTACCACAGTTCATAAAGTGAATTTTATATTCTCCTGTTCCTTTGCCCGTTAAGATGACATGTAAAATTTACACAAAATTATGTAAAAGTTAGTGTGAAAAAGGCAGTTAATGAGAGCAAAAGTGTTCTTTTTTTTATGAGAAAGCGTGAAGGAAGACAACGATGTTCAGTACTAATGTTATTTAACTTATCGTTACAGGTTGTTATTAATATATTTATCTTTTTCCGCTCTTCATCTTTGTCTAGCTCAATATAAGTAAACACTAAATTAATGTTATTAGTTGCATTTTCCCTTTCTGATTGAGGTGAATTTTCCTTCAACATTGAACTGAAAAGATGATTTTACCAATTTCATAGTAATGAGATTTTTGCTAAATTTCTCAATCCTCTTTCTCTTTCTATCTCTGTCTCTTCTCTGCCTATTTAAATAACTTTTCAGGTTACCAAAAAATTCAAAGACGAGCCTAAAAATTTTTGCTCTCTAATGTTTCTTCCAAATCTCATTGAATATACAACATTTATTTCATAGGGTAGTGAAAATAATTTGTTGTATAATCTTGCCCTTTAACCATAATTGTTTCTCAAAGGCTCTTTCCAAGTTAATCTCAAGACTAAACTAAACTTTATTGTGATGCTCAGCTTTCATGATTATTGTAATAATTACAATCATCATTACCATCATGTTGATGATCATAACCATAATGACATTTCCGCTTTTGTTCATTTATTCTTATCATTCATTGGTCACGGTCATCACGTTGTTGAATCTTCTCAATTTTTCAATGAATAATTTTCTCTACTCTCAATGAATTTGATATTTTGCTATTGTTGATGACTCTGATGATGATTCTGATGATGTCTCTGATGTCTTTTGATAATACTTAACTGTCCGGGTTAAATTTTTTGTTTGAAAAGCTTAATAAGGTCTCGATAGCAGGAAAACCTTTGCCAAGAAAACGTTGGAGATTCGACGTAATTATTAGAATATCTTGTCAAGTTCTTTTCCGGAATTCGCATCAACAATTATAAGCTGCCAAGTTATTTCTTGCTCTCTCTCTCGATCTTTTCCCCTCATCTTCATCTTCCATTGCCTCTTAAATTCATCTTCCCCTCCACCCTCCCTCCTTACACAAATCATCTCAACAATTAAGCTTTAGCACACAAAAATAGTAAACATAAACTACTACTGTAATAGTAAAACTTACGCTTTGTATTATTCAGGCTCAAATCTAATTTGTCTACATCGTTATCTTCCTCCCTCTTTTTCGCTCTCTTCTTCTCTTTCTTCTCATCATTTTTTCTCCTTCGCAGGGGGAGTTGCATGAGAATCGGTTATATCTGAAACTTCATTAACATTGAAGTTATGGGAAGCAAATAGGCTTTATGCATATATTTATATTTATTGTTTATTTATATTTTGCATGGTCTTTATTATTGAAGTTAAAGGGTTAAAGATGGTTGAGATTTTTGTTTCCACTTCTGTTCATGTCATCAATTAGAGTTGAAATATGTTCATTTCTTGAGAAGTAGCAACATCGACAATATTATTGACATGATGCATTTAATGATAATTGTGGACTCAACCGAGCCGACATGTAAAACACGTTTCTCTCACAATAGCAAATTAACAATCAACACGCTACCAAGTGTAAAGACTGTTAATTGACTTGGCTTGGTTGATTATATTTCACTGTCATCAGAATCATGTTTACTGCCTAAACTTCATGTGCTTGTTATTCCCGTTACTTTCCTCCTTTTGTTTTTTAAGATGTTAATCATTATGATTAGAGTAGCTTTAAACAAAATATGAGATTCATCTTAAACAAAAAACTCAAGTCTACTTAGAATCTAGTTGTCATACTTTTTGATTGTTTTTCCCTAAATATTATCATTCTCATCATCATCATCATCAACAAAGCAAAGAGTCAAATTGACTTAATGAGTGCGTTATAATTGGTTACAAAAAAGCGGCAAAAAAATCTGCAAAAAAATCAGCTCAACTTGTTTCTTTTTTTACTTTAGTTATGCTTTTACTACAGAATCGTGTTGATATTGAAAAATATATCTAAATTTTGTTGAAAATTATAACTTGACAGTTTAGTCTATTTTGCTTTTTCTTGTTCGTTTTTTTCTCTCTCTCTTTAATTACATCTACTTTGTGTATGATTTTACATTCATACACGCCATACACATTCATGCACTCCTACTCATTACTCATGTATTAATTTATATAATTGTAGCTTCTCGGTGAAGTTTGTTTTTCGCACTCACACCATTTTGTTTGCTTTTCTAGTCGCAATATACCTAAAAATGAACAGCTCAAAATGACAAATATCAACACTTATAAGTTATTTATCATGATAAATATTCTTATGTAACTGAAACCTTTGTCAGTTAGCTTTAGCTATTTCCTGCCTACAAATGGAATTTTGTCTTTTACTTTTCATTCAACATTCCATTGCAAATTCATTTGTTAATTTTTTACACTTGATTAACTCACACAGACATGGTTAACACGGTTAAACCTGACGAGAGAGCCGTTATGACCTATGTTTCCTGCTATTATCATGCCTTTCAAGGTGCTCAACAGGTAAACATTAAGATCAAAAGCAAAAGGTTTCTTTTTTTTCTTCACACACAAAAAGCAATTTATAGTTAACTGTTGAATGTAAATTAATCCAAAAATGTCTTTTGTCTGTCAATACAAAAAACCTTACCAAGTGAATGCAAACTAATAACTAATACAAGAACAATATATTTAATGAAACAAAATCAAATCAATGACACATTGATTTTCACCTAATCTCATCAATAAGCGATGAGCTAATTAATTAGATTACCTAGTAACTACTTGCCAATAGACCAAATGAAACAAGCATGTTTCCGCCAATTGTTTGTTTAAAAGCAACCCTTTCCTTCAATATCCTCCAACACCTACAAAATGAAAATCTGATGAAAAAAAAAGATTTCAAAAAACCAAATCCTAATCTAACAATGCTTGAACTTTTAACTATAAAAATCTTTCTCTTTCTCCTTTCCAATAATATCAACCATCGAAAAATGATGAACCGATTCTTACCTGTTATATTTAATTAAATGTCAAATACCATCAATGCCAACGACTTAACCAAAAAAAACACTAAACATAAATAAATATGAATGCTGAACCTGCCTGTAAAAACCCAATGGTAACCGCAATTGAAATTGAATGATGGACTTGGCTGCAAACTTGTCATATTTAACATAATCACACTTAATCATTATTAGATATTAACTCGGCTGCCTGGCCTGATGAGAGGGCTATAATGACTTATGTATCTTCCTATTATCACACATTTTCTCGTGCTCAGCAGGTAAACCAAATGTTTGTCATTCCCTTTACTTATCTTCTTTTTTTCTGTCTCACCTTTCACTGAATTAACTTCATGTTAATATGTTGATGATAATTATGAGGAAGAAAAAAAAGAAGTGAATAACATTGAAAATCCATAATCACTTGTCCATACGCCAATTACCTTTAAATCTCACAATAACAAGTTAAATATTACCTACCATTTCAACTCAATTCAATTTTTCTTAATTTCTTTATCCTTTCATATTTTCACTCGTCTTCATTTTTTTACTTTTAACCCTCCGAGTTTATCTTTAAGTTTTACATTTAACAACAATTTATCGTTTTCCTATCTTTATATTAACTTTCATTATTTCCTGACAAACTGATACTAACAACAACAACCTAACAATAACTTTATAATACAAAAGCACAAAATTAGGAAGAAAAAATTGCTATGAAAAAAGCTACATTTTTTGCAATAAGTTTATCTAATGCATTTATTTCTCTTCTTTTTTCTCTTTCTCTTCATTTCGCTTCAATTTTAAACATCTTGGAATTATCACGCTCATCTTTACTTCTATTCAACTCTCCCTGTTTGGATATTATCTGGTTTTGTTGTTTGCCGTTCATCTTCTCAACCGTCTTGGTCGTTTTCAATTTAACCACCCACCATTATTGTCAAATCTGCAAACCCTTGGTTATCTTCACTTTCTTTCTCTCTCTCTTTCTATATTCCTTTTGCTTTCCTTTTCTTATTATTTGCTTATTCATCTCTTGTTTATCATCAACTAATCTCTGCATTTACCCTTGGCCCGGGCTTGGCAAAATATTGACATTAACGCTTTTGGTTTACTTCTCCTTCTCTCTTAACCATTTGATGTTGCGTCTGCTTTTCTACATCTTTATTATCTGGTTGATCTGCATCTTGCTCTATCATTTTTATGTTTCTCTCTGCACAACATCAATATTAGGCTGAGACTGCAGCTAACAGGATATGCAAAGTTCTCAAAGTTAACCAGGAAAATGAACGCCTCATGGAAGAGTATGAAAGACTTGCTTCCGATCTTTTGGAATGGATTCGACGAACCACTCCTTGGCTGGAGAATCGTACAACTGACAATACACTGCCCGGAGTCCAAAAGAAATTGGAAGAGTTTCGCCAATATCGACGAGCTCACAAGCCTCCCCGAGTTGAACAAAAAGCTCGTCTGGAAACTAATTTCAACACTTTACAAACTAAACTTCGCTTAAGTAATAGACCAGCCTATTTGCCTACTGAAGGTAAAACTGTGGCAGACATTGCCAATGCTTGGAAGGGTCTTGAAGCTGCGGAACGAGGGTTCGAGGAATGGCTTCTTTCAGAGATGATGCGCCTTGAACGTTTGGACCATTTGGCTCAGAAATTTAAGCACAAGGCTGACATTCATGAAGAATGGACCCGAGGTAAAGAACAAATGTTACAAAGCCAAGATTTCCGTCATTGCCGATTGAATGAGGTGAAAGCATTGAAAAAGAAACATGAAGCCTTTGAAAGTGATTTGGCTGCCCATCAAGATAGGGTTGAACAAATTGCTGCCATTGCTTCAGAATTAAACACTTTAGGTTATCATGGCTCTGTTCAAGTCAATGAGAGATGCCAACGGATCTGTAATCAATGGGATCAACTAGGAACCCTGACGCAAACACGGCGCATTGCCCTAGAAGAAGCTGAATCAGTTTTGGAAAAAATTGATACACTTCACCTTGAATTTGCCAAGAGAGCTGCACCATTCAACAATTGGTTGGATGGAGCTCGTGAAGATTTGGTTGATATGTTTATAGTTCACACTATTGAAGAAATTCAAGGACTGATTGAAGCTCATGAACAGTTCAAAATGACCCTTGGCGAAGCTGATAAGGAACACAAGTCAATCATCGCTTTATCACAAGAAGTTTCATCTATTGCCACTAAATATCAGGTTCCCGGTGGTATCGAGAATCCATATACTAGTCTTACCCCTGATGTGAGCATTAATCAACCTTTTCTTTTATTCCACCATCTCTTTCTCTCTCCTTATTATCTCGTTTAACAATTTACCGGTTACCTTTGAATTACATTCTATCACATTTGAGTCTCTTGTTGGCCAAAGACTTGATGGTGGTGCTGTTGAAAAGTGAAAAGTTACTTGAAATACATCAACTGCCTTTTTTAGAAGTGTTAAGTTAATTCAACAAACTGGCAGAGTTTCAGCAACTCTCATCCTTCCCTCCTCTTTCCCTTTTCAAAACACACACACTCTCTCTTACTCAGGTTCACATCCTTTTTCACCGAAGATACTTTTACCCTCTAATTCCGCATCTTCATCATCCTTCCTGCTCCCTTTTCACTCACTCTTGGCAGTTTTGCTTATCATCGAGTTAACCGTCTAAGCATCTAGGTCGTTATTTAGGAACCTTCAATGTTTTGCTTCTCTGTGAAATACGTTTACATGGTTTACTATTTGATGAATGTCTCAGTGGTTTCATGAGTTTTATTTTTCGCATTTCTTTCTCTCTTTCACCCTCAAAGCTGAGCTTTTGAGCATCACCAATTATTATATCCATCTTTCATCATTAACCAAAAAACAGCAAATTGGAGAAACTTCATCTCTTCATTTATCTCTTTTTCCAGCAAAATAAGTTTCTTTACAAGAAACAATTTTTCAAATTTTAGTTACAAATGTTATATTAATGGACAGAGCACTTTAGTTTTGTTTCAAAATTTGTACAAAATTCGAGATGACTAAATTTAAGAACGAAGTTAGAAAAGAAAAGCGTAAACCAACCTTGAACTCTTCTCAATCTAAACTTAGAATCCAGAACGAATTGTTAGCTTAAATTTGTTTTCAATATTAGTCATTAACTTTTGCATTCATGCTGATAGACTTGAGCAATTTATTTTCATCAACAATCCAAGTCTTTCTTTCCCTGTAAAATCTTGCTCTCTTTCATCTTTAATGAAAAGTCTTTGTTTTCTTGTTGGCGGTGAAAAAAAGAACAGGATAACATGAAAATAGCCCACTTTTGATGTTTGCTTATGCATATTCATTACTTTTTGTTATCAGGACAAAAATATTATCACAACTTTTAATTACAGTTTGTTTAGGAATAATTTTTATCAAAAGCTATATCATTTATTGTAATGGATGTTCATCATTTGATTTTGTTTGTTCTGTTCTTGTTTTCATTGCTTTGGAAAAACAAAGATTCAAAATCATGATACACCTTAAATATTCATGAGTTGGGCAACAAAGTTGGTTGCTAGTGTAATCTGACTTATATCAATGTTTTTGTTAACGTTTAGAGTTAACAATATAAAGTCAAGTTTTAAAGTTAAACCGAAGGTAAACGAGATAATATGAGATGATTTCAAGAGATTATAACACAAAAAGTGTAAAACAATGATGATTATTATGTTGATATAATGGTTGTATCTTTTTTCATTGAAATTATTCTTCTTCTTCTTTTCTCTCTATTCAGGAAATATCCAACAAATGGGCTGATGTGAAACAATTAGTGCCAAAACGAGATCAAGTTTTATCTACTGAATCAATGAGGCAGCAAAGAAATGAAGCTTTGAGACGAAAATTCGGTGAAAGAGCAAATGTTGTTGGCCCATGGATAGAAAGACAAATGGATGCCGTTGCTGCCGTTGGAATGGGTATCCAAGGAACATTGGAAGATCAAAAGAACAAACTTCTCCAGTACGAGCAAGCCGTTAATCAATATCGACCCAACATGGATGAACTGGAAAAGATACATCAAGAAGTTCAAGAATCAATGATCTTTGAGAACCGTTACACACAATTCACCATGGAGGTTAATACCATTAATCTAGATATAAATATTGATTGAAATAATCTAGTTTGGCTTAAAATTAACTTGTTTTCTTTAACCTTATTTAGACACTTCGAGTTGGCTGGGAACAGTTATTGACATCAATAAGGCGCAACATTAACGAAGTAGAAAATCAAATATTGACTCGAGATTCAAAAGGTATCACACAGGAGCAGCTCAATGAGTTTAGAATGTCATTTAATCATTTTGACAAGACGAGAAGCGGACGACTCAATCCAGATGAATTTAAATCCTGCCTTGTCAGCCTTGGTTACAATATACGAAGTGATAGACAAGGTGATGCTGATTTCAGAAGAATCATGCTCATCGTTGATCCAAACAACACTGGATATGTTACTTTTGACACCTTCCTTGATTTTATGACCAGAGAAGCTACCGATACCGACACTGCTGAACAAATTATCGATTCATTCAGAATTTTAGCTGGAGACAAGGTAAAAAGAAAGATTAATCGCAAGATAAAGCAACAAGTTACAGAAATGATGAAAAATTTGTTTTTCATCTCATCTTTTGTTCATCTTTTTCATGCAACATCAGTGTTATCAGCAATTTTTGCCCTCAAATTTTTGCCTTTCATTTTGCTTTTCAATTTCAAGTCAATCATGATAATCAAAAGTGATTCAGTTCAATTTGAATTGTTAGTCTATCTAACAAGATCTTTAATATTGGAAACTTTCACGTCTATTATCAACTCTTTACAGTCTTTTTTACATTTAAAATGTAATCACAATCTAGGGAATCGTGAAAATTTTTAGGAGTAAGCAAGGCTTTTATTTATTTTTGTATAACATCAATCACAAGATAACATAGTTGGCTTAGTTTATAAGATTGTTTACACTCTGTAACAGGTAACAATAATTACTCTAGCATTTAAACAACAAAAGAAATCATGAAATCTTTTTTTTCACTTACTTTTGAACTCAAGCCAAACTAGTGCACCATTAGATTCAACGAAAAACCGAAATCGTAATTGAACATTTTTTTCTTAGATTAATTGGTAGAATTATAATGTTAGGTGTTGGGATTTCAGAGATTCACTAATTTTTTTGCCTTCATCATTCTTTCCAAGCTAAAACATCAGTAACAGTTGTTATTAACCCAAATTACTGAACAAAATGAATTTTTGAGCACCATTTTGCTTACAAATTGACTTTATCTTTCTATTATAAGCCTTTTTAATCTCACAATCTATTATTATCGAGGTTACATCAACAATAGCAGATGAATAGGAACTTTCAGATAAAAGGCTTAAAATCTTATCATCCCATGATCTTACACTTAAATAACATTTAAACTGTTCATTTAATATTTGGTTACAACAAAAGAAGAGTTATTTTTATGACAGTTAAATGATTTTTTAGCTCTAATCTAAACTCTCACACTTACAAATAAATATTAATGCAATGACAAATTAGTTTATTCAAAAGCTCAGCAAGTAGCCAAAGGGCTAGGCTTTGACTCCTACATTAGCTTGTTGCTTTGTTTTTATATTACTTTCCTTGATGTCTTTAATTAAATGATTCTAATTTGTTTTTTTTCTTTTTCCACTTTAGTCTTATATCACGGCTGATGAGCTTAGACGTGAATTACCACCAGATCAAGCTGAATATTGTATCAAGAGAATGGCACCTTATCGTGGAACCGGAGCAGTGCCCGGAGCATTGGATTACATGTCATTCTCAACTGCACTTTATGGCGAAAGTGATCTCTAAACTTTCTCTCTTCCTCATCTTCTCTCTCTTTCTCCTCTCTTCTTCCCACCCTCTCTCTCTCTCTCTTTAAATCAAATCATTCTTTATGTCTATTTCGTTTGTCTCTATCTTTTTTGTTCTCTTTCTCTCTCTCTGTCTCTTACCCTCTCTTTCACTCTACCACCTCTACGAGCATGATGATGTTTGATATACTGTATCAAACATTGAACTATTTCGAAAAAGTCTAATTAATAAAGAAATACAATTTACCTGATTAGACCTTCTAAATCGTTATTATTATCTTTATATTATCCATATACCGGTCTGAAATTTTATCATAAAAACTTCAATTTTAATCAAATGAACTGTCCAAGTAAAAAGCTCTCTGACAAGTTGAAAATAGATGGATTCACGACCACAACTGTTCGCTCTATTGATGTTTTGCGCTTTGCTCATAGGATCGACTATTAAAAAATGTTTCAGAGCATAATAATTTGATTTAGCGTCAATCAATATTGAGACAACATTGGTATTGTTAAGTTTCTGATTGTTTTCATCGGTTGGCTTAGAAATTGCAAGAATTTGAAAGATTGATAAAAATTATTTCGATTTCCGTGTCAAACCAGAAAGAGTTCATTTTTCTATTGACCATGAAACTCAATATCATTAACGTAGATTGGCTAAAGTCGATTGTTTAAATTAAATGTTTGTCTGGTCTTACAAATTAACATGTCTGGTGTAACAAATTTAACGTTAAGTATTGAATGCAAGTTAACATCGGATGAGCGATTCAATAGTTGAATTCAATAAAATGGTTAATTAAATGAAATGTATCAGACCTCAACGTCTGCCGGCACAATTTTGATTTCATTAGATGAAGATGAATCTAATCATCTTCATGACAATGGTCATCATTCTCATTGTATTGCCGAATTAAGTGTTGCTGGATAATTGGAAAGATTAATACATTTAAATTCCATCACCGAAATAATTATAACCTTATAGAAACAATGGCGACTATGAAACATTTTGGTCTACAATTAAAGTCAATTGTCAATTTTCTTATATAAATCGAAGGATAGTGGACTGAGATAGATCACTTTCACTTGGTTTCATCAAAGTGTCACTTGATTATCCTCTCTGAGTATAACCTTAGCTTCAACAAGCGACTTTACCAATCAAATATGCGATTAGCTTTGTTGCTTCAAGTGTTTCTTGCCCTGTGCCTAACATCCTTCGGTTATGAGTCGATTAACCAGCCAAGTAAAAATCAAAGTTCATCTCTTGATACGATGGATCTAATGGTTGCCGAAACTCGTGGACCAAGGGTTTGTTGTCTTGCTATTTCATTAAATGAAACCTTGATTAAATTTCGGCTCTTTACAAGGTTTCACTGAATAACAACAATTTTTCAAATTCAACTTGGATTACATCTGGACTTATTTGATTTTCATTGCTTCTTGATTTTTAGGTTCATCATCATCATCACCACCACCACCATTCGTCGAAGGCCGGACACCACTGGCATCATCATGGTCACGTAAGTTAATCTGTATAATTGATAATTAAGTCAGCTTTTGCAAGTTTCTAATGAGTTTTCTCGATTTTCTCTTTTTCACATTTGCAATTTCAATGCATCATGCGAGCATTAAAGCTTCAGCTTTGTTTTTGCCAAAAATATTGGACATTTTGTTCAAGATGATTTATTAATTTGACAGAAACACTAATTTTATTCAATTGATAGTTGAAAATTATTCATTCATCATCATAAACTACAGACCTGAACTAACGCCAGAATGAGGTTGAATTCCAAGTCGAGAGAAAATAGCTGCGAGATAAAATGAAAATTCAAGTTGAATTGTTTTCAGGGAATTATAAATAAGCGAATCAAAAATCAAAAACTAAATCTGCAAAATGTTCCGTGATTATGTTTAGGCCTAATCACAGCGAGGACTTCTAACCGCTAGTTAATTCAAACTTTAAATTGATACCTAAGTGTCTCTACCCAAATAAATTAATAGACATAGATTTTTAATTGACTTTTCGTTTTCATATTAAAACACAATTCCGACTAAATGTCGAAAAACCAACCGATTACAACTGGAGTCTCAATTTTGTTAGGTTTTTAAATCAGTTAAATCAGCAAGATTTAAGTGAAGTTGTCTTACAGATTTTTCACAGATTTGATTGTTGAATTGAAGTTGATGCTTGCAAATGTGATTGGAAGGAAGGTTTCAAGTGTCATTGCAAATGTGTATGAAATAATCAACAGATAATCAAATTTAATACCGATTTTCATTCTTCACCTTTAGGGTCATCATCACGGTCACCATCACGGTCATCACCATGTAAGTTCATACAATGATTCCTAACAAATTAAACAGGTAAAAGACATTTGCAAGACTAATTTAATTTTCTTATCCTTTTATTTTAGGGTCATCACCATCATCATGGTCATGGTAAGTATCGTTAATCCTTTATTTATCATTTCTCTCAACAGTTCTATTGAAGGTTCAAACATTCAAAGGTTTTTCATGTTGCAAAATAATCGGGAAACCATTGAATCAATCAACAGAGACTTGAAAGGCAATCCTCAGAAAATTTATGAATTTAAATGGAGTCAACAATTAACATATGCTTTGTACTTGTGCTTAATTGAATGTCAAAATGAAAGCCAAAAAGCAGAATTAGATATCTTAATTTAGCTAATCCAGATTTAAATTGTTGAATTGAATAAGCTAACCTATTCCGACTCCTAAATTTGTGCACCCAAATGATAATTAAGTTAAACCTTTACCACAACCAACAGATATGATTGGTAAACAATCTGTTTGGTTGGCATAATCAAAACAATTAGCTTCAACAAACAACATGTCAAAGATGGAGAAAGTTGATTAACCTAAACATTACCTTATTTGTTGATTTACTTGGAGTTTATTAATAGGGAAAGATACAATGTGTGTGTTTGTGTGAGAGGAAACAAAATGCCAACAATAATCAGTGAATTGTGAAGAGTAAAGTTTAACTACAGGGGAAATCCCTATTCATTACAAACAACTTAACTGGATTGACTTTAATGACGTTGCTTATGTCCTTGAAATGATTTATTAATGGAGTCATAATTTCAATAGAAAATGGATTTAGTTCATTTTTTTATCTAAAAAATCCTTTAAATCTAATGCTTATGTAGTTTGAGGCTTGAAAGCTTATCGGTTGAAATGAATTTCAAAAGATATGTTTGCCCATATTTATCGTTCTGTCAGTTGGTAACATTAGACAATAATCAAATTTATTACATCATGTTGATCATCACGAGACTTTTTTGTTTGAACAAGCTGTTTATCATGAAGATAAAGAAAGAAAGAGAAGAAAAGAATGAACCTCTTTGTCATTCTCTTTCTCACTCATCCATGTTTATGGTATAAATGAGCCTTTTTATTAGATAATACTTTCATTTCCATCTTGTCATCTTTTTGTGCTGCTTATTTCTGGTTTATTTTTGGTTTTTACCTTCTACTTGCTTCTCATCTAGTTTGTGATTAATAATAATTGTTTAAAGTAATTGTACTTCCATTAGCTGTTTTGTTTTGTGTTGATTAATTTTACGTTGACTCATCGCCACCACCAACTATTAAGCTAACATGGCTGACAAATTATCTGCTGATCTTGAAAATTTGAAAGTTGCCAACGAGGTAACCATTTTGGAAGATCCAATGAATGAGAATATTGAGAAATCGGATAACCTAGAGTTACCGTCAACATGTTTAGGTAAGATTTGCGGTTAAAGTTTTAATTATCAGCCCAATTTAATCAATTTCACCTTGTATGTTATTTTAAAACAATAGATGTTTCTATAATGAGCTTACTTGTTTATTTTCACGTTATACATTTTAACACTTTGTCTAATTATTTAGAGCAAAAGTGTAACATTTGATTCCAATGGTAGCTATTATTAGACAATTTTTTATAAGTTATTCTAATTTTAGCTAAAATTTTAAGATGACAATCATCAAGGTGAATTTATTTCAGCTTAAGTATACCATGATAGCCTGATGACTCTTTAAAATCTTGGTTAATCTCTAATGGCTCTCAACTCCTTTTACTGATCAAGGCTCAACCTGAAATCTTGTTGCTTTTGAGTGGATTTAATGGTTTTACCTAATATTTTGAAAGTATTGATCATTGATTGATGAATTTCCTTTGAATGTAATTGGCCTACAATTTTGGACGATGAAGATGGACGCCTCAAAGAAGTATTTTATATTGATTTTGTTTATCTTACAATTTCTTTTCTGTTTATCAAATTTAATTTACTAATACATTTTTTATTTTATTCCTTACAGGTCACAAGCACCACCATAAAAACAAGCACCATCATGACCACGGTCATGGACACACTCACGGTCACAATCACGGACACCATCATCATCATGGTGAGTTACACTTTGATAATGACGAGACAACAGAGCTCGATGAATCTTTATCAAATATTAATGTGATTTTCGTCTTGTTAGGTCATCATGGAGGACATGATGAATGGAGTGAGCACTCACACTTAGGACATCACAAACATGGACACGGACATGGACATAAACATCATCATTCATTGAAACATGATCACGATCATGAACATGGCCACAAGCATAAGCATGGACACAAACATGGTCACAAGCATGGACATAAACATGGACATGGACATGGACACAAGCATGGCCACAAACATATCCACAGTAAAAAAGCAGGCAAAAGTGATTCAGATTAAAACGCAATTGTTACTCTGGGTAACTTGCTAAACTTTGAGTTTGCTGCAATCACATGAAATGCCATTCAATTTAAGCCAGGAGCTTATTGTATGAATCATTATATTCAAGAATAAATAAACTGAATTGATAAATTAACAAATACCTCATCTCTGATTTATTACCCATAAAATTCGCGTAATCTAAATACATTAGATTAACAATCCAAAAACCACTAGATCAATCTTGAATTGGTTTAGTTTCCATAGTGAATATGAACTTTTTTCCTTAAAAGAAACGTAATAATCTGAGGCTAAAAAACTACTGTGAATTCATGTAAAATATGATAAAAAAGCCCAAGTATTAATAAATTGTAAATCTTGCTAGCAACAGTTCAATGAAAACCCCAGACAGTCACTTAAATCACAAAGATTAGAGAACATGATTTTTCTCAAAAAACAGGCAGAATAAAACTTTATATGACATCACAACAGCCACTAAATCAATATCAAAGTCCAAATAGCATGACAATAAATTTTAATAATCATGATGAAATATTATAATAAAATGATGTAAAAACATATTAATAAAACAACAGAATAACAACAGAATTATAAAAATTTAAGAATAGCAATGAGATGAAATGATTGATAACCACCAGATGGCCCCACCTAACCAAAGCAATAATCCAACAGTATTAAAAAAACAAATCAAAAGATGGCGCTTTACTCATCGAAAACAAAAAGTTGAATTGAAATGAAAAGCAAACAATTAAAAGCAATTAAAAAAAGGTAAACTAAATGAATACGAATGAATGAATGAACACGAACCTAAATGAAGTGAATAAAGGCATAGATTTTTAAATTGATCACGACTGAGTAAACATAATAAGCGACAAAAATAAATGTAAATCTGTAAATATGAATAAAATTTAATGAAAGCAAAATCAATACAAATTGTGATTGTCCAAAGGAAAAATATTCATTTGTAAGGTAAAAAAGAGTGATAATAAATGAGATTGTAAAGCTGTCCATACCTTTTTTCACTCCCAATATCTTCTTCCTCCTCCTTCATCTTCACCTCCTCCTACTTTTTCAAATTTAACCCAACAACATGAGTTTATCTGAACATAAAAAGCTATAAAAGTGAACACTTGAAATGATAAAACAAAATACCAACAACAACCTATACATTTGCCCATGAAAATACAAAACAAAAGTGAAATACAAATGACAATATCAATCACCATTGAATAGCTTCTTATAACAAAATTGCAGTTTACCTTTTTTCACCCAAATTCAATTTCCTTGAAACAAGACCCAAAAAAACAATTGAAATGTTCAATCAAAAACAATGAATCAATTTGAATGGAAACACAAAGCTTCATGAAAACAAATCAACATCAAAACACCAAAGACAATTAGCTTATGAAAAGTCAATAATTGATAATTTTTCAGTGAAAAAAACATTGACATGAAAATGTTATTAAAATAATGTCAAGTTAACTGTTAACCTGACAAAAATGTTATCCAAATTGAATTTTGTGTGCTTTTGCTCAATGATTAAAGTTGATTGATTTGATGATGAAAATGATCTAATTGAAAGGCATGATGATTGTTCATCATCTTATTATATTTTTGGTGCACAAAAAGGTTGACAATAGCAAATGAATCTTTAAGCATATTAAGTTTAGGTGAGATTAGATGTCAAAAGCATGTGTTACACTTATAATATAAATATAACTTATAAACACGATGAACACATTATTATAGTTATTATTATTGCTATTACTTTTATTATTATTATTATGGGTGCAATGGAAATCGATTATGTTCAATGTACATTTGATTGAACAATTATGAGCCTTGAAGATGAGGAAGATGAGGAAGAAAAATAATGTAATTTCATCCCTGACGCCGAGACAAAGAGTGTTGACCCAAAATTTGTGTATTTGTCGTTTCAAGTTTATTCATGTTTTAAATTGAATTTTAATTAAAAAAGTAGTTCAAGTAAATATTGAAAGATTGCCTTTAAGCTATTAAAGTGTTACCTGTGATACAATCAACCTTTGTATTGATGATGTCTGATGAGATTTACCTTTTTTTCTCCTCATTTTTTCTTTTTCATCTTTTTCCATTTTCGATTGGATTTGAGCTTTTTTTAAACCAACAAAAATTGTCGAGTAAAGTTCAATAAAAATTACATCTTCATCAACAACAATAACAGCAACAATCTGGATGAAGAAACTTTAAGGCAAATAGTAAAGTGAAAAAGTGTTTTTTTCTGGTTTACTTTTTGAAACTGGGCTTAGGGCATGAATTGATATAAATTGAATGTCAGAAACATTTGTAGTTAGTTTAGGGATGGAAATGGAGTGATGCTGATGAAAAGTCGACTCTCTTCATTTTCAGCTTTGCACCGTTATTTTTAACATGTGTTAGAGAAAAATCATAGAAAATAGAATTTATTTTTCATCTTTTTCAATTTCGCAATTTCACTATTGGAAATGAAGATGAGGAAGATGATGCTTTATTAAAAGAAAGATGAAATGGATCTAGATGAGTGTGCAACTCGATGCATGATTAAAGGCTGTGTTGAGATAAATTTGATGGGGCAAGAGCTACTCTGCTCGGTTGTGAAATTACTTGCTCATTCGCTAATCAAACGATGAAAATGTGATCATAGTCGTGAAGAAACAATTAGAAAGCAAATAAAAAGATAAAAATGAAACTCAAAATTAATGTTAATAATTGGACGGACAGTAAGCTCTAGTCAAGTTTAAGTCAAAGGGACGAGAGGGACTTGTTAGGTTGAAAGGTTGATCGACAGCAGCCTAAAACTTACCATTGACGACAAGTGTGTTTGAAGCTAAGCTAATCAAGAAGAAGAAGATGGAAATGAAGACGATAAAGATGATGGAGAAGGTGGTGATGAAGATGATGATGGTGAGGGTGATAATGGTGAGATTCAAAGAAATAAGTTTTTTTCGATTATTCACTCAATTATCAACTCACCTCAATATGGTGAATATTTGCATTGATTTACATTTTGGACCTTTGATTTGGTTAGAAAAAACAGCTTCCAGTTTGATCTTGACTGACTTCAATGAATTTCGAGTTTGTTCATTTCTTTTTTCATCTCGATTCGTCCCTTTTTAAAATATCCTGATAATATTTATATGAAAATTCGTTTTCAGTCAATGAACTTGAATCTTGTTGTATCCACAAATACTCATTGATTATCAATTTTGTTTCAAAACAAAATCCCATTTTGCAAGTGAAATCATTCTTGTATTGAAAAATAATTTCCTATTCAATAACAGCTCAATATTCAGTTTAACCTTTTCTCCATTCATGTAAAATGCATCAAATTCAAGCCCATTATTCAACAACTGTTCAAATGTTCAACTTTTTTTATAGTTTATTTTGTTCAATTTTGTTTATCAAATTGAATCAATTTTTTTTCCTTTTTATTCATTTCTCAATTTTGCATTTCTCAATGTTAAATGTTGACTTTTGTTTCCAATGAAAAGTAACACAAGAAAAAAAATGTTATTCTCATGATAATCATGACAATAATGATATACTCGAACTGAACAGAGAAACCGAGAAAAGGAAAGTCTAAAAAATGAAATTCTCAACATAATTCAGAATTGTTCATGGCTAAAAGTGGCCTCTTGCAACTGAAACTTCCAAATCTGTTTCCTTTACCTTCAACTAAATGAAATGTCAACAAGCAAATAAAGTGGTGAACAAATATTTACTTGAAGAGAGAGAGAGAAATGTTATCTTCTTCATGGTTAACCTCATGTCAACTTGTTCATACTATTATCACCATTATCATATTATTATTATCACTGTTATCAGAATGTTGGCCCTTTTGTTGGTAAAAGTGAAATCACAACTCATCTAATAACGGGAATGCATAATAATCTAGAGAAGACAAAATTTGCTCTCATTTTTTCTTCTCTCATCTTCACTCTCTTTTCATCCTTCTCATCTTGCAAATGAAATGTGTGTTCCATGAGGATTGCCTATAGACTCATAGAGCCCATAAATGTATAATAATAGCAATAATGTATTAATATATGTACTTTTTTTTCAAGTACATCCATTATTATCTCATATATCAACTTGGAGTAAATCAGTATTTATTTAGTTCAACAAGACAACAGAAAACATAACTCCAAGAGGAAAAAAAGTTGCCCAAAATGTTTACTCGCTCTTTCCTTTCGCTACTTTATCATCGCATGCTCATTTTAACTAGCCTTTTGTTATCACTAATGATCACTGTCATTTACAGATTTTCATTGATAAAATGATTTATTTAACCATTCAAGACACTAATGGAGTTGATACAGAACGGTATTTACGTTTCAAAACCAGATACATTATAATGCAATGCTTTCAATTCAATGTAAATTTATATCAAGGTTGAGACATTTTTCATTAAAACTAGTTTTTGTCTTGAAAAGGTCAACATTTGTTTGACTCAACCACTGAGTATTGATTTAAGCTCAACATTTTTGTTCAATTTTTCACCCAAATAATTGCTTCAAAAATGCATGTTCATCATTTCATTATTTGCATAATTGTAACAAAAATCAGTTAATTTGACAATTTGTCTCAATTATGTGGAGTAAATATCATGATAAATATACAAACCTTACAGTAGTTTGGACTAAAATTCGTTCAGCTAGTCTAAAATATTCTGTTTAATATCGCTGAACTTCGAACTTAAACTATAAAAATATTGAAAATAAGCTATTTCGAGTCTAAATTACTGGCAGTTTCTGCATGGTCAATGGTCCTTCTGCGTTGGAACTATGATGATTGATGCTTTGAAATGCGCTCCTAAATACTTTTTCTATTCTTAAGCTTCATCAAGAGCATCTCGCTTCCTATGTTCATAGTTCTCTTAGGTTTGTGATGCGTCAATTTTCATCAAAATTATCGCTCACGAGATGAAAGGGACTGTTGATAATTACTCAGTAAACTCTCGAATTTTAATCAACAGTAATTATTTCAAGATTCTGAAGCTCGGCTATCTCCACATCTAGATATCACATAAAAGAGAAGAGTTTTCTGTCCATCTACCAGGCGAAAGCAAAGGAATTTTCATTGTTATTGCTGTCAAGATTTCCAATTAAATGAGAAGCTAGGT